CCCTAACACCTGCTGTATATTTGGAGTTTGCATGTTCTCCCTGTGGTCGTGTGGATTTTTCTCCGAGCCCTCTGGTCTTTTCCCTCCACGTTTTAGAAACATGCGCTTTGAGCATTTGGCTGCGTTAAGTTTTCACGTGATAAGCCACTTCGTTGAGCTATCATTTCTGGCCAAGTTGCTTCTGAAAAAGAGCTATAACGCTCAGTGGGCCTTACCTGCTAAAGTAAAAAATAGTTTCTAATTTTAATAGTTTAAATAAGCATAATCATACGAATAAAAAAATGCAGCCGTGCAGCATTGTAAATCACGTGACCATGCAACACACGCTGATCGATGCGCGCGACCGTGGCGTGACATAGGCTCACCGATGTACATGGTCCGAGGGGAAGGCATAGGCACCATGGAGCAAAGGTAGGCATCTTGCTGCAAGACAGACACACACACACACGCCACGCAGCGCGCGGCACGAGAGAAACACGGTCTAAGCATCGCTCCTGGGAACGCCCATGTTGTCTCAGAGAAGCTGAGCGGGTCAAATGTTAAATGGGGGAATGCCGTTCGTGTCGTCGTGCCGCTGTTGCGTTCCTTTCGCGTATGCTGTGAGCGTCAGTCGTTGTAAGTTCCGGCAAAAACACTTGCTTGCCGCTCGTTAAGAGACAATGTAGAGTTCACGGAGTTCACGGGTTTGGAAGTTAGTTAGCGGCAAAGGAGAAAAGAATAGCTCCGGCTGGCCGAGGACGTGGTTTACTGATGTGGTTCTAATATTCACAGTGATCCTGAACAAATTATTTGGTGAAGCTGCTACCGCATTGGCAGTGGTGCACAAGGACACTTAACATCTCGCATTCGTCAATAACACCAAACGCCTTGAAAGGAAAAATACAAAATCAGCAAAGTTTTCGGCAACAGCCAACCTTGGCTAAAGCATGTAAATAGGCAAGTCAGAGAGAGTTGGAGACTGCACTTTACACCAAGGGGCCTATGTACACGTGTGAAGAAGGGTTATTTCCTGAAACGTTGCCTATTATATATATTTCCTCTTAATGCCACAGTGTTATTGAAGAATGTGTCGAGTTGAGCGCACTTTAAGGATCGTTAAATTACAAAGTCTACTCTCAAGGAACATTTAGAAATACCCGGATTAAAAAAAAACAACACCAAAAATGTTTCTTCTTACAAAATAATATATTAAATTTCGATTTAAAGCTTTCGTGACTGAAGGGATTCATATTCTTGGTTCTTTCGGTAAAGTCACGTAGAAGGGAAATAATAAAATAATAAAAATTTCACATAATAAACTTTCCACGACGTTTCGGCCACGACGCAAGCAGCCGTCCTCAGGTGAAGAGCAGAGCTGCCGGAAAGACAGCGTCCCAATGAGGACGCTGTCTTTTTGGACAGCGTCCTCAGGTGAAGAGCTCTGCTCTGCTCTTCACCAAGAGCTCTGCTCTTCACCTGAGCACGGCTGCTTGCGTTGTGGCCGAAACGTCGTGAGAATTTAATTGTTTTATTTTATAATTGTATTATTCCCCTTCTACGTGACTTTACCGAAAGAACCAATAATATTATTACTTTGAATATTTCTTTCACCAATCATCCAGTTTGCTATTTATCAGCCCATGTTCTCCCTCTCAAGTGCTGAACTGCAGCGTGGAAGTTGGATTTGTAAGCAACAATTACAATCACAAGTAAATACGAAAACTCAAATAAATATTTCTCATGGTTTGTTGGAAACGTTCAGGATATAACTTCTAATATTACACAGAAGGAACAGTCTGGCATCATGCCAACATAACACATTTTGAAACTTTTTTCAACCGAAGTAAAAACAAAACTATTCAACCTTGGCCTATATAACCTAACAGATCTCAGAAGCCAAGCTAGTTTGAGGCTGGAATTCTTAAAAAATATATTTAAATATTTTAACTGCATAATCCTTTGGGAGATGGAACATCTCATTGGTGAGGATGTTTAGGGTTGTCAATACAGTAGTCCCTCGGTTTACAGTGACATCGGTTAACGGCTTTTTCAGTGAGCGTTTCGCCTCCCATAGGACTCTCATGATTTCGACTAACGCAAAAATGTTGATTCACGGTATGTTTACGCTAGACATGCGGGCGCCAATGTCGGCCAATCCGAGCGCTTGCAAGTGGAACGGATTCATGCTTTTAACATGCAATTCCTACATTACATTAACAGTTATTTCGGTTCACAGTTTTTTTCGTGGAATGGATTAAAAACGTTAACCGAGGGACTACTGTAGACAAATACTTAATGACACTCATGCAGGTATTGAAAGTCTACGAGCTGGCCTGTGGCCGCATCATATTTTTGCTTTCCTGCTCAACTGGTTTTGACTCCACGTTCTCATTTCCTGAAATCAACGGGAAAGTTCACGGTTGAAGGAAATCTCCAGTTGAAGATTTGGGTTTTGTTTTCCCTCCCTCCCCTCCTCTTTAGGCCCTGCCCCTTCCTCTTCAGACCCCACCCCTTCCTGTTTTGGGCGTCTCTTTAAAGGCATTGACATTATTTGTGTTTTACCAGAAGACCTGGCAACTCTGGGCTAAAGTAAGCGGATTCGAGTAAGACAGTGTGAGTGGGTAATGGTGGGGGTTGTGAAAGAGGGGGAGTGTGCACACATCGGTCGGTAGCGATGGGTTGAGACAGTTTTACATTGAAGCAGGCTATTCAAAACACCCTTTTGCAAGAGACACCGAATCAAAATGGGGCCTCACCCGGTTAAATAAAAACCGTGCGCCAACTGATTTCTAGCGTGCTTATTAACGCCGTCATAACAATGCTCCCTCAGCCGGGCTTTACAAGCCGGGCGTGGACCGGAACGCGGACGAGAGTTAACGTGCAGACGAGAGTTAACGTGCAGACGAGAGTTAACGTGCAGACGAGAGTTAACGTGCGTGCGCTTGTCTTCCCCGACGGGGGACGCACGACGGGTCGGGCCACCTTTTGCGGACGGACGGCCGGCATCTGCACGTCGTAGGTGAACTCCGTCGCGTCGCCCGCGTCCTGGGCGGCGGCAGTCACGGAGCACTTGGAGTCGACTCCCGCCCCGCCCACTCGACGCCTGATAACAATCACAACAAGCCGTTTCCACAGCGATCAGGCGTCCAACAATGCACAATCCAATAGGACCCAATAGGCACTGAGCGACTCATTGATTCATCTATTTCGGTCACTATTATGCCCAGGACACACCTGTGCATTGAATTGTGCATGTAAGAGTTGAATAGTTGTGAAAATTACGTGCGGATGTTACATTCAGGCCAGTGGAGCAAAGGGGACTCCACAAAACAGCACGGACGAGATGAAACATTCATTAACTTGAATCCAATCGGATTCCAGAATGGGTACCAATTTAACAAACCGTGGCCGTGATAGAAGGTGTGGGCAATTAATCATTACATATGCCGAGTACACATAAACACATACACCCAACATCCTTCACGGTACGTCCATGAAAGGTACAACATGCCATCATACATTAAAAACAGTGGCACATTCATCAGTACACAAAACAAAATTGTATTAAAAGAAAAATATTCTCACCGAGAGCCCATGATTTCAAATCAGACTTAAAACTAGAAATCAAGGTCCTGTGACTGCTATTGCACTTTCACGGATGTCTCAGAATTTAGAGGAACCTTCACAAAAGATTAAATTACATCGTGAAGCTGCTTTGGCAGTGGTGCAAAAGCACGATTGAGAGAAAACTCAACACGTTCGTCAATAACACCGTGGCCTTAAAAGGAAAAAAAATGTAATAGGCGACATTTTTGGCAATGGCCCTTCTTAGTAAGTTATGTATCTGCTGTGAATAATAATAATTGATTTATGTGTTGTGTAGAAGTGCACAAGCACAAAATGAAAATAAAACCGACGCATTTAACTCCGGCAGTTTACGATTGTAATTTAAACCGTTGCAGAAATCAAGGTCTAAGTCGCGTATGCAAGTTAAAGGTTCAGGACGGTTGTTTTGGTGAGGCAAAAAGGAGGTTCAAACCAGTGGGCGTGAGATTTCATGGGAAACACATCAAACCAGAGGGGGCCTGAGATTTAATGGGAAACACCAAACCAGCGACGTTAGAATTTATGCGAAACACACACGTCACTCAAGCCGCGTGGGTATCCATCACGCAGGACAAAACGAACATTTGAACCCTCAGGGTCTGTAAATGATTATCCACGTACAGCCTTCCACCACCACTGTCCAACTAGCAACTGGTGCCTCTGTCCAATAATTGTAAATGGACCGCACGCTGGCAGCGGTGTGCAAGCGCAAATCAATAGAACTCACTACCGTCACCGATTAACGCTCGATTCTGACTGCAAAATAAACATTACGCAAACGTGTGAGGATATTAGCCCTTCTTCATGGTAGAGCTTACATCATTTCTTAAAACTGTACCACCTCTGAACTTGTCCATTCTATCAGACTGATAGGATCCCATAGGCTTGTCTTAAAAAGGGCCATTGACTGAAAAGTTTGCACACTATCAGTGTAAATTGACCCAAAGAATCCTCATCGGGTCTCAAGACTCTTCATCACTCGCTACTGAGGTTAGCCATTGCTGAAACGCGTGATGCTAAACGAACTCTCACGGACACAAAACGCGAGACACCCGGTGCCAACACTGGCATGTGTACGTGTGTGGCGCTTCTTACCTGTGCAGGCTCGTGTCGGCAGGCGCGACCGCTGCCAGCAGCCAGCACGTACAGGCCACCACCAGCACCAATGGAAGCATGGCTCTGCGCGGGACAGGGCAGGCTAAGCGGCGGCTCGCAGGCTGAGTCTGAGTGCGGCGGTGGGAAGGGGCCCCCGCGCAGAACGTGAATGCTCAGCAGCGTCACGGGGCGTGCCTCACTCAAAATGATATTTAAAACCAGCTCGCGGGGAGCAAGAGGCCGTACTTATAATAATATTTTAAAAAACGCCGTGTCGATCTAGAGTCGACGCCGAATCCACCACACGTCACCGAGCGGACCCCAGATTTGTTTTATGATTTAGCAGGATGCGCCTTCATGTGGTCCATTTTCAGAGGCCGGTGCCAAGAGGTAAGGGTGGAGCTGCCGAGGGTTTTATGAAGCAAAGTTCATTCTCTTCTGCGAAGAGGAAGTCGTCCTGGTGTCACGGCTTACGAGGGCGACCTGGCCAACCTGAAAGACACGGAGAGAGCACCTGACTTACAGTGCGGCCACGCAACGAGGAACAAAACGGCCAAGTCACGGACAGCTGCAGAGGATACCGCAGAGGTCCTCTGGCTGGAGAGCAGTTCTAAAGTCAATGTCAACCAGTAATGAGCTTGGCGAATGAGGGCATTAGGCATGGCTCCCAGGTGTGGGACGCTTACGTGAAAATATTCTGACCACATTGTTTTCCGAAAGATTAAACACATGCCAAACACATAAATTAACATACTTGATCTCAACGGGCATTTTTTGTTTGTCACGCTTGCATGTGTCTTTTTTCCTTGTCGTTCTTGTTTTACTGTGAAGTTAACCCAGCTGGCAGAAGGCTTTGTAATGAAAAAAAATGCGAAAAAGGCCTCTTTGCAAAAACATATTTTTTTGTTTGCAATGGAAACGTTGTTATTGTCCAGACACGAAGCCACTCACGCACACAGAGCTGCAGCAGTGCGGTGTTGCGAAAGTTCCTGCCAAGGCGACCGCTTTCCATCCACCCTCATCTGGCGAACCGTAAATGCTCCTTTCATGGCATCAAAATGTTTCGTAACGTGATAAAAGTTCAATCTTTTAATTTAAACCTTTTTTTAATATGCATTTTTCATAACAGCTAAGCAGCGAAGGCTCCTGGGAATAAAGTGATCTTAGCGCAAAAGGAATGCAGAAGAGCAGGAAGTTGAGAGCAGCAGGAGTTACAAAATGCGATTTTGTTTTTTTCTTCAAACTGAAAAAATCTTCATATGGGTAGATTGGAGCAATGTTTGTTGTCAACGCAGTGACAAACGCAATGACGATGGATACAAGGCGAGCAGGTGTTACATCTCGCCACCGTGGCGCCACGATGCCGAGATGTTAACTACCTCGCCAGGTATACAGGAGGTCGCGGGTTTGATCCCAACCTTCACGCCCGTATTTTTGGAGTTTGCGTGCTCTCCCTGTGGTTGCGTGGAATTTTCACCAGGACCTCGAGTTTTTTACTTCCACATTTAGAATCAACATGCGTTTAGGGCAGGGGTCCCCAACTCCCGGGCCGCGGACCGGTACCGGTCCGTGGCCTGTTAGGAACCGGGCCGCATAGCAGCAGGAGGTGAGAGCTGTGAGTCCGCGCGTGGCCCGCGCCAATTATATTATTTACCACTTCGGTCCACGCCTCTTTCCCGCACTGCGCACTCGTCTCAGTCACAGTGTTGGTAAGCCCGCAAGCTCTAGCCCCTAGTAGCCACAATGAGTAAAAAACAAACGTCGCTGGAGAGCTTCTTTGAAAAGGGGGAAAGACCCAATGATGACCCCCCCCCACCCGTCCGTGATAAAATTGTCTTCCACAAAACCGGTCCCTGGTGCCAAAAAGATTGGGGACCGCTGGTTTCGGGTATTTGGCTGACATATAATTGTCCACATGTGAAGGTGAAGCCACTTCGTTGAGCTATCATTTGTGGCCAGGTCACTTCTGAAAAAGAGCTACATAGCTCAGTGGGCCTTACCTGGTAAAGTAAAAAATGTTTAGTACAATTTAAAATGTGGTTATTTTACAGTATCAGACAATTAACCACAAAACCCACAGCCAAAAGCTGGACAGGCATGAACAAGAATGGCTAACCGACAAGAATGCTCGACACATAAGTGTGAGGAGCTTCTGTACATGCAATGCACACCTCTGTGTGTGCTGTTCAATCAACTTGTAATGCAGCCTGCACCGTCTCTGTTGTGATGGGTTTTCTTGTCATGTTATAGACTTTAATTATCAATATAAAGCAAAGTCGAAGAAAGGCTGTTTGATCACATGTAAATCAAGCTACCACCTGTGTGACACGCCACATGCAGGGAAGCTAGGTGTGTCTTAAAGGCAACACAGTAAGTAGATTATTTCAGCTAAGTGGATAGTGTTCTCAAAAATCCACAATTTTATTGTTTTCTTGTGTATGGCAAAATGTCCAGGAGCTAAATGCCAATGTCTGCTCAAACATTTTTCGATTTAAAGCTTTCGTGACTGCAGGGATTCATCTTCTTGGTTCTTTCGGTAAAGTCACGTAGAAGGGAAGTAATAAAATAATAAAAATAAAACATAATAAAATAATTCTCACGACGTTTCGGCCACAACGCAAGCAGCCGTCCTCAGGTGAAAACCAGGTCTGAGGACGGCTGCTTGCGTTGTGGCCGAAACATCGTGAGAATTATTTTATTATGTTTTATTTTTATTATTTTATTACTTCCCTTCTACGTGACTTTACCGAAAGAACCAAGAAGATGTCCGCTCAAACACTCAACAGAATATTGGCTTGGAATAAAACTGGGACCAATGACAAGAAATAAAATTGGCCACCCATCCCAAAAACGTGAAGACTCTACGAGACTTTCCAGGGCAAATGTATACATTTGTATCATCACACCGATGATACTAATGTGTTTCCCTACAGTGCCCTACATCGCTTTGGAATGTCAGCACAACAAAGGACATGTGCGTGCCACACAGCAATGAAGTGCCCCTCCTGCGCTGAGCTGAATGGTCCACTCCTAGGTGACAGCAAGCAGTTTAATGACCTACCTGGAGCGCCGGGTCTATTTGTTTAGCGAGGTGAGAACTCGTGAGACCAGCAGAATCTCATTTGCGAGAGTGACCGATCTATAATGTTAATCATGTAATTTATAACACGCACAATATTTCATAGACATACATGACCGTGACTGAGGCGAAGAGCCAAGCTCAGCGTCGTTCTAAAGTCAGGCGAGAGAGAGACTGGGGCCTTCATGTGTCTCTTCTTAAAGGAGGTGTGGATTGAACGCTGCTCTGCTGCTGTGAATGAGCAGCAGCGGGACGACGATGATGATGATGGCCGTGTTCCAGATGGCGGGGGCCGCTTTCACGAAGTAACGACGCTGGCAATGACGGTCCTGCTCCTTGGTGTCGAGAGGAGGTTGTGAGTCGTTCTGCGGAGTTCTGCCGCGAGCAGTAGTGCAGGATGAATGGAGCGAAAAAGATGCAGTGGACGACCGAAAGTAGAGGCATATAGGTAGTCCTCTACTTGCGATGGAGATGCGTTACGACGACCCTATCGTAAGTCAAAAATATCGTAAATCGAAGATGGCCTATCCAGGAGTCTTAAAGAATGGTGATAATTTAGCAAAACAGAGCAATTTACAGTACCGTACTGGATAAACTATATACTGTATGTATTTATTAATTACAATACTGTATTGCACAGTGAAATGTAAAGTAAAAAAACAAGGTAAATTCTTAGCCTACCTATATGAACTGCAATTTAATAGAAAGTTTTTTCAGAAAACAATCCTATCTGCTATAAAAACTTTTCACATGCATTGAACACAAGGCGGGAGATGCATACCTCGTACGCTGCTGCGTTTGCCTTCCGCGCGAAATTTAAAATATTTTTCAATTTTGTCGTATCGCTATTGCCATCGTAAGATCGAAATATCGAAAGTCGGACCGTCGTAACTCGGGGACTACCTGTATTGGGTCGATCTTGTGGCATTTCCAAGGTTGCATGGGGTTTTCTCGGGCACTCCAGACACCCCAAGCAGGACCCTCCACAAAGGCACAACATCTGCTCATAGCTTAAACACTACGACCCGATCATGGACGAGCTGACAGCCAGTAGCCAAGGAATCATACAGGTGCTCACCAGCCCATCCATCTACACACGGATATTTATTTTGTAAAATGGTTGTCGTTTCCCCAAATTTTGTCAAAATCGTGCTATCGGTAACACGTCACGAGACGGTGACACGTCATGAGACTAATAATCGATTCAGAAGTCCTGCAGAGCAGTGAGTCAACAATGTTAGAAAATGGCGCGTGGAAGCAGATATCACAAAACTGCTCTTGGAATTTCCCTCGACATTAGGGGGTAACACTTTCCCTACCCGCCCTGCTACAAAGTCATGTGTTGTCGCATGAGAGGCAAAACCGATATTTCTATTATCAGAGCTGGAAGGTAACCAAACTAACCCCAAATACTGGATTTAATACCAGGGTTTTCTTTGAGCATCCATTGGGGAGCATGCCGTGACCATCAGTAATCGCGGGTGGCTGTGCGGATTCAAACCCAGTATCTTCAGCAATGCCAGCTCAATACTCTGACCTCTGACACAACCAGACCACCTCCCACTCGTGGGACAACTGACATCTTCTGAACCCTCTCGAGCAGCACGCTTGACCTGCCCATCTGTCAGTCACTCGATCGCTTGCGACCCACGCCGGGGGGTCACCGACTTCACGTCACCCGGCAGCGATAATTTGTATCGTGTCCAGGCTACGTGCGCCCCTGGCACGTGACGCGACGCCTCGTGCAATCATGGCAACACTTAAAGACAAGGTGTGAATCTATTAACCCCGCGTCTGACAAGGTGCGAGCTTGCGGAGAATCATTAGCTCCTGTCGAGTGGTTGGTTTTCAATGCGCGCAACTATGGTACCACACGAGCTTATACTTGCGGGAATGTCACAATTTAGCATTTCTGGTATGGATGTATTGCGCAAGTGGATAAATAACTCCGTCTAAGAACACAGGTTAATATATGTACGTGCCTAAAATTCGGAGCGGGAATACGCTACAAATGAAACAACCTTGATGCAACCCAGGTCGCCCTTGCAAACAGGGCCACGTTTCGTCCATCTCAGTGGGTTTATCTCGCACATCCGATTAGCACTGATGGCTACGTACGGCGCGAAAGAAGTTCTCCTGTGCGATCTGATGTCACTATATCATATTATCCTTGTTAAATAAAAGACCCTGCCTGACTGACAGTTTCAACATTTTACCAAGTTTAGAGGAGGCAAGATCACACTCGTGGTAAACATTAAATCAGGCTATAATGAATTAAGGACACGTTACGATTTCTCCCGTGCGATCTGACGAAATGTCACCATTTGGGGCTGCAATTCCAATTCAAGAAACATATTTCTGGCCTCCTTTTAACCGACTCATTTATACCCATTTCCCATTTGTTCCGTCTCATTTGTCGTCACACCAGCTGCTCTTAATGAACCTAAACTCAATGCCAGGCGTACGATGTGTGTATTGTTTGCATAAATCGACTCGAGTAATAAATGTGTGAATCATCATCAACATAAGAATGTAAGAATACTTTTTTTGCGATGAATAATTACATGCATAATAAATATTAATGATCATTATGATGATGACGGCAGGAGTAAGATAGATAGATGACCTTTATAACCAGGTAAGATCCCACTTAGACCCGTGAGTTTCTTCATTTACCAGGACACCTGATAAATGCGGCACGGGGGGTAGGGGGGCTTTCAAAATAAACGCCACAATAGGGTGCGGAAATTCACCGTGGAAATTCACCGTGTGGCGCTCTCTGTCGTTTGCCTTTCTGACAGAAATCTGCGTCACGCCGCGCACGGCTCACAAAATAAATGAGAGGTTGCCGTGGGAAGGCCCACGCCGTCGGGGGCCCGTGTAAGAAAAAAACACAGCGGCTACGCTTAATTAGAACGAGTGACAACCCGACACAATGCTCACGTTTCAGAATAGTGCAAACACTTATCTAAAAATCACACCATTGCTGCTAAACTTAGAGCTATCCCCCAGACTCAGCCATAACATGAACATTAATTTTGATCAGTTTTAACCCAAGGCCTGGATATAACATTCACATTGGTCACAGGTAATGGGCCCACTCCTAGATTTAGGCATAACCTAAACATTGTACACAAACACAGTCCTAAACCTAGCCATAACCTGGACTTAATTGCTAATCATCACAAACTCTAATTTACGTTTTGGATAGAAGACCAGCTGTTACATGAATCAAAGATCTGACCACAATAACGTCAGTGGACCGTGACACCACCACCACCACGCTGTACCGCAACAAAGACCACACCAACGTCAGCGTGATGACACCAGATAACCTAAACAAAACCACTCGAGCGCAATACCACCTCGACCACCCTGCCTCACCAGCCTCAACGGATCACCTCCCCCACATTATCTCAGATGCACTTAAACAACACCACGCCAACAACAAGCTGACATCCCCACCGCATTCTCAACAAGCGGATATCCTGACAAAATGATGCCAATACCACAGTGCCATGGAAAAAAACCACGACAGCCCCCACCACAGTACCATAACATCACTACCACAATGCAGAGTGCCATAAAACACCAGCCATGGCACAACATAATCAGAATACCATGACAACATGATGGCAACACCACCACGAACACCACAGTATCATCACAGTACCACCACAATACCACGGTATCATTAGAGTACCACCACGACACCACAGGATCATCACAAAACCACCACGATACCCACAGTACTATTCCAATACCGCCGCAATACCACAAAACCATAACAGTATCACCACAGTACCACGGTACCAATTACAGTACCACCACAGTACCATCAGAGTACCACCACGACACCACAGTACCATCAGAGTACCACCACAGTACCACAGCACCATCAGAGTACCACTACGATACCACAGCACCATCACAGTACCACCACAACACCACAGCACCATCACAGTACCACCACAGTACCATCAGAGTACCACCACAGCACCATCAGAGTACTACCACGACACCACAGTACCATCAGAGCACCACCACAGCACCACCAGAGTACCACCACAGTACCACCACAGTACCACCACGACACCACAGCACCATCAGAGTATCACCACAATACCACAGGACCATCAGAGTACCACCACGATACCACAGCACCATCACGACACCACAGTACCGTTGACCACCACCCCAGCACCTCCGTGACACCGCACCTCTCGATGCTAGGGGACGGCTGGGTGGGGAGTGCTGCCAGGACACGCCGCTTGACGGGACGGTGGTGGCGCCAGGGAGAGGCTGGCCGGGCTGCAGAGACGTCAATGGGCGTTTGCGCTACAGCAGCAGCGGCAGGAGGAGCAGCAGCAGCACTGAGGATGGTGTCGCCATGGTGACGCACCCACGTTACGCACCCGCTCGCCCTGGCTCCCCCACCTCGACTGGGTGACTCATGCCGCCTTCATTGTAATGCGGCGCTCGGCAGCCTTCAGCCAACGCACACGGGGCCCGGCGAGGATGAATATAAATTCAATAAAAGTGGACGGAATAAATGTTTATGGTCCCAATCATTCAGCTTCGGCTCATTTCAGAAATATCTTGTTTTTTGATCAGTGAAAGCCCAGCGAGATTAGAAGTAATTTTTCGTTTGCATTGGAAACTTGGGATGCCCCATTTTACGTGTCTTGCGTGCTTGACTGCAAATATTAGCTCTCTTCTTTGCTAACCGGTCCTCCGAGGCCAATCGGTCGGCAGCACCAAGCATGGGGTACACCGTGACGCATATTTACATAACTGTGCACCTAATGAAAAGTCAACAGGGCCCCAGTTTAAGCAAAATAGAATGCTAAACCTTGATATTTTATGACCCTTTACACGCTAAGATGGAAACTCATTTCAGTAATTGCTTACGCATGTGGGGGGGGGTAGAAATAAAACTCTTGGGACATAGGAGCCGCATCATGAAAGCAATGCAATTTCGGAGTGAGATTAATTGAATGGAAACCCAATGTATGATTTACACACAGTAATTAAAGTAGAATTGTGCAACCCTAACCATTTAATTTATGTAGCTTCAGTGACACAATCTCAGTGGCACAAACACAATCTCAGCGCAATTACATTGCAGAACTCCAGGGCTCGGTGCCATCCGCATCTTTGGGCAGTGGGGGTCACGATCCACATTTGCTTGTACTGTGTAGAGTTGGCGTTATTTTATGCCCTGGAAAGCGATAGCATTTTACTGACGATTACCTTGAGGCCGACTATACAGGCTTCTTTGTGGAGTTCGTCGACAATTCACTGCAATTCAGTCACGGGAACAAACGGAGCCTCTTGCACTTGGGCGGAAGGCGTTGCGCACACCGCAGAGAGAAGAGCGACGAAAGGTGGAGACGGGTCGATTGGCAAAGCATCAGTGGCGCCTACACTACCCCCACGGTTAAGGGACTAGCAATGATGATGATGAATCCATTTCCATTGGTTATTGTAACGACGATAGCATCAGCAATTCTGAGATGGTTAAAAATCCATCCACTTATATTTAACCCGTCAATTCCCCAATGCAGTTTTTGGAAAACATTCGACTGTTGCTGTGAATAACTTTGGCGAGAGCTTCCGACTCACGCCGATACGTATTTTGCAACTTTATGCAATTTCGGTGTAGCTGTTCCACTGTTCCAAAATAGTAAATTGTTCTATAGCTTGAAGATATTTCTTATTGAGCCCTTGGTTTATGAGAGCTTTGAAGAATGCATCAATTCCCCCTACCTTTTCAAGTAGCTTTTCGCAGTATACAAAAGGTAGGGCATAACGATGTTTGATATTAATGAGTTTTTTCCAAAACCTTATTGATAGTATGTGACTGATGGTAGAAAGAAAAACATTCCGAAATCCGGCTTGTTCGCACGGTTGGTTGGCCTCTAAACTGTCAATTTTTCTGCCCTAAATGATCATCGTGAACACGTTACACGCATCGTAGGATGCCAATAGGTCTGTAATTTTACTAATTCAGACTTGGTCTCTATTTTTGTACATACCTATAGAGGCCTTATCTATAATTGAGGGATACGATTTCAATGTAAACAGTTCGCAAATGGAATAGCTAATTTTGTACCCCAACAAGCAGGCTCGTCTTCTTTGACGAAGTCTAGGATCATTATATCCGGTCCAGAAGCTTTACCTTTATCGTACTACAAAAGGCAGCATTTACTTTTTCCTCGACATTACGCACGGCAAGTTTTCTGAACGAAACAATACACTCGTTGGAGGGACACAACTGGAAAACACATGCGAGCACGTGTACCGTAGGGCAATTATGTAGGTCAGGCCAGAGTCAAAATGATGAGATAACGAGGTGAGCGAGAGCAGTTTGGAGAGCTTTTGGAAAACTGAACTTGAGAATGAAGAACGGCGTCCCGATTCTATTCTTGCGCACAGCGGTATGATGTTTCAGGAGCTCACCACGAGAGGACTTCGGAAGAGAGCCGGTGTGGTTTTGAGCTTCCCCTTCTACAACACAGTCCACAGTTTGGGTGCATGACCACAGTCGTAACTAACTGTGGCTATATTCTTTTTTTTCGGTAAAGTCACGTAGATAGAACAAATAATAATATAAATAAAGTGAAAACAATAATAGAAAAACTCTTGTAGACTGTAGCCTGGTTCTTAATCGGAGTGAGTGTACTGGCAGTCTATAATGTAGACTGTAGCCTGGTTATTAAGTTTGGTGGGTGTACAGACAGTCTATAATGTAGACTGTAGCCTGGTTATTAACCTGAGTGAGCGTAACTGTGACTCGTCTTTAACTTTGCATCCATGAATGAGTTGTGCGCATCAGGCCGCCTCTGGTGTTCCGTTGTGGTTGACGGCTCCAGCAGCGTCTTCGGAGAGGAATGTCAAAGGCAGCTGCGATGTGCCTCAGAGGAGAATGAGTGACCCTCCACTGAGGACGATGACGAACATCCTCGGTTGTGAGAAGCATTCACGGAGAGGAGTCGTCTGGCATGAGAGGAAGACAAGCGTTCACTCCACATAAAATGTAATCTTTGATCAATTATGGAACACAATAATTCCCCCAGGTTTCATGCAGCTTTCGTATAGCTTAAGATCAATGTGAAGACGCCATCACAACCAGTGTCCTTGCTCATGCTGACAGCGCCGTACGAATGTGGAAGATGTGCACACCTTGAAGATTCGCCTCAGAACTGAATGAAACACGGAATGTAACTGTTGCTGTACGGGCTACTGCATACCAAAACCTTTCAGAGAGCATAATGTTTCTAACAACAACAATGTTCAAGCCCAAAACCAATAACAAGGATGAATCAGGTATACTGCTATTGTAAGTATGTTGAACTTCTTTCGCACCCTACATACGTAACAGGGCCAAACTGCACTTACAGTCCGCAATAATGAAACCAGCAGCCAGTTATCAAGTGCTGCTAAGCTCAAACACCACAACAGGTAGTGATGAGGTATCATTGACCCACCACATCTCGTGGTCTTAATAAACAGACAGCATCTCGGCATGCACCACACCAGAGCGTGTAATATTTTCATCATTACAATTCCATGTACACAAAATGCATGACTCTAATATTCTATTATTGCGTATGATGGCAATACGTTCAGGAGATTGATGCCAATGTCTGTAGTTTTGCTATTCCCTCCCAATGATGGAGCGCAGAGTAAAGTGGTTATAACTGTGTAGTCCGTGGCTTGGGTTGTATGCCGTCACCACGACTCCGCTTATTGGACTTGAAACGGGAAACCCAGTACGTATGGGTGAACTAATTTCCAAATTAAGCGAAAACTACTCATTGCACACGTAGAGTGCTTTGTTAATCCACTGCTCCCCATCACCTTTTGTGGGTGGTCATTTAACCATACTTCACCACGCTGGTAAGTTCGGGTTGGTGGCGAAAATGATATCACTCGGGGCAAGAAATCTTAATTGTTTTTCTGCTCACACGCATGGAAACAGCCATCTCTTCAGGTTAGATCCAAGTGTTCGAAATTCCATACTCGAAAAAATGAGTTTCTTATTTTACCAGGTAAGGTCCATTGAGCTGTTTAGCACTATTTCAGAAGCGACCCGGCCACAAATGATAGCTCAACGAAGTGGCTTGTCGTGTGGAAATGTATAGCTGCCAAATACTCTAAACGTATGATGTTGATTATAAACGTGGAGGGGAAAACCGGAGGACCACGGGGAGAGAGACACTCACACTCCAAATATGCAGGCGCATGGCAGGGCGAATTTATGCACAATATAAATAATGTTAGTTACTGTAATGTAGCTTTCTACTTGAGACAGGACCCTTATTTATATTATCTTAAGTACCTTTAAAATAATTTAGTACTATATTCCTGTTTTACGGCAGTAAGCAAATGCTGTAAATTTCACATTCCTAAAAGGTGAAGCAGAGTTAACACACATGCATGGCCATGTGTGATGATTTCACACAAAGTGACTTTCAGCTCAAGAGGACGAATATTTATATTAGCTCGGTTATCTGTCAAATACAGTTCACACATTTAGGAGATAAAAACCATTACAAAAACAATACAATTCCAATACAAAAACAATAAAAACAATAGAATAACAATACAATAATAATACAAAGGAGAAATGCAGGGTGGGGAGGGGCTGGGTGGGGGGTGGGAGGGATGGGGCTGGGTGGGGAGGGGCTGGGTGGGGAGGGTGGGGAGGGGCTGGGTGGGGAGGGTGGGGAGGGGCTGGTCACCCCGTGGTGCCCTTATAAAACTCAACGTTTAACCTACTCACGCCGGCTTGTGCCCGCCCTCACAGTCGGCCATATTTGCGGAATACACCACGCCGCCGTTGACCCTGGCCATTGACCGAGCAACCCAACGTTCCTACCAGCTCCCTCCGCAGGAATGTGTTTCGTTGTGCGTGAATAGCCGTCTTCCCACCCACACGCCATATGCCTACTAGGGGTGGGTGGGTGGGGTGTTAATGGCCCACGCTGGTCAGTGTGGGGAGAGTACGCCGAGGAGCATAGCAGTACAGTACAACAATTGATTACGATGAATGACACTCCCTGCTGCCAGACACGCAGGCTCGCAGCGGCCTAGAACACACCACCCCGTTGGGCCCGGCAGCATCCCATCCAAGAAACGAGCCGGGCTTAATGCTGCTTAGCTAAGTGGGGAGTACATTTCTAATTATCGTTGCGTGTAGGTAGTGACGCAGATTATATTTACAGCTCGTGGGGGGGGGGGGGGGGGGGGGTTGGTAGCGCCCGCAGGACGTCAGCTCGAGTTCCTGCTACTTATTATCGCTCCGGTACAGAGGGAGATGGAGCGATGGAATCAGCCCGTGGGTTCGTGTGCTGGATCGATCGTTTTGGATCGTGATGGTCGCAGCGCGACACGCACATTCATGGACATTCACAAGTCAAAACTGGCACTTGATTCATAATCATACTGAAAGTGGAAATAATAAGTGCTGATAACAATGTGCCAACAACCCCAATCACTTCACTGACCCGCACTGACCAGCGTGGTGAAGTATGGTCAAACAACCCTCACGAACGACAACACATGCCAACATTGGGGCAACGTCGCACGTTTAGTGGGGAGGCCGTCATCCAGCAGTGGATTGGACACGCGGGGTGTCACCACAGCCACCAGCCATGATCGATCCGCCACTGGATGGCCTCCTGAGCAAAGTCGCCGCATCAGAAGCTTCATTGAGACTGCGGAGAGGAATCCGATGAACTATGAAGCTCCGCGCCATACCAATCCCCCTCACGACGCGCACACGCGCAGATTCCATCGCTCCATCTCCACAGGGAGCGTCCTCCATGCACTGATCTGTACATGACACGGCTGCGATTAAGTGTTGGCTCTCGTCGTGATCAATCCACTCTCACACTGTGACAATCCATGCATCAGCGAGTTGACGATTCCATCGCTCCGTCTCCACAGGGAGGAGTCGCGTCACCCTCGTCATGTCGTGACCAATCCACTGCTGGATGGATCGAGGGCTGCTTTGAGCCGAGTGGCCGCCACCTCTCGCAGTCCCAGCAGCACGATCCACCTCGCGACACGCGGTGGCGCACTCGATGGCTCCATCTCCTCCGCGGTGGAGCGACGTCCTCGGCTACACCAACAACCGCCATTCGCCACTAACAACACCACCAACACCACCACCAACAACAACACCAACACCACCACCACCAACAACACCAACAACACCACCAACAACACCAACAACACCACCAATACCACCAACAACACCAACACCACCAACAACAACCGCCATTCGCCACTAAGTGGCGGTGACGTCACCACGACGCTTGTGCCAGGTCAAGTGCACCTTGAGGCCACGTGAAGTGTCGAACGTCCGCTGACAGGAGGTCACGGGGCAGACCCAGCAGGTGCCACGGGTCGACTGACTGAGATGTCCGAGATAACTGGCTGATGCACCACCTGTGCCCCCTACTGTACCAACTTGCTGTGCTTTAGCCACCCGGCGCTCCGTTCGTTGTTGTGAGCGTCGCTCCTCCGCCCTCCGTTGTTGTTGGAGGGCGACTGCCCCCAACTGCCCAGTAGCGTCCTTCACGAGCCTCCTCCACTGAGGCCGATCTTGACACCGCTGGTACCAGTCATCGGCAAGTCCACTCAGCTCCACGTCCTCCTGTACCACATCACTCCATCTCTTCTCTAGCCCGTGCCCTGCCCGTTTAGCCCCCTCGATCCGGCCGAACAAAAGCTGTTTAGGCATGCGGTGGCTGGGCATGCGGGCTACATGACCCAGCCAACGCAGCCTTGCCTGCCGGAGGAGCTCACCGATGGGACTTTGCCCAGATCTTTCAAGGATTTGTGAGCTCCTCACACAATCCAGCCTGCAGGTTAAACCCAGGATGGATCGTAGGCAGGCCAGCCTAAATGTTTCCAACCGGCGAAGATGCTCCACTAGGGGGGTCCACGTTTCGCAAGCGTAGAGAAGGGAGGGAATGACCGTGGCCGAGAAGACCTGAAGCTTCGTGAGGAGCGACAGACCAGGTAGCTGCCACACAGCGTTACGGAACCGATGAAAAGATATTGCCGCTCGACTGATTCGGAGTGAGACCTCTGCTGATAAACTGGAGCCGGTCATAAGCACACTGCCCAGGTATGGGAAACTCTCCACTCTCTCCACAACTGCCCCATCACCACCACCAACAACAACACCTCCAACAACACCACCAACAACAACAACAATACCACCACCAACAACAACACCACCACCAACACCACCAACAACAACACCACCACCAACAACACCACCACCAACACCACCACCACCACCACCAACACATACCACCACCAACAACAACACCACCACCAACACCACCAACACCACCAACAACAACACCACCACCACCACCAACAACAACACCACCAACAACAACACCACCACCAACAACACCACCACCAACAATACCACCAACAACAACACCAACAACACCACCACCAACAACACCACCAACACCACCACCAACAACAACAACACCACCACCAACAACAACACCACCACCAACACCACCAACAACACCAACAACAACACCACCACCAACAACACCACCACCAACAACACCACCACCACCACCAACAACAATACCACCACCAACAACAACACCACCACCAACACCACCAACACCACCAACACCACCAACAACAACACCACCACCACCACCAACAACAACACCACCAACAACACCACCACCACCAACAACAACACCACCACCAACAACACCACCACCAACAATACCACCAACAACAACACCAACAACACCACCACCAACAACACACCACCAACACCACCACCAACAACACCACCACCAACAACAACACCACCAACACCACCAACAACAACACCACCAACAATACCAACAACACCACCACCAACACAACAACACCACCACCAACACCACCAACAACATTAACGCTTCTCACGCACTCACCGAAGCCGCCTCACCGCCTTGCGTCTACCACAGCAGCAGTTCCTCGTCCTGCTAGTGCTGTTGTTAATTGACTGATTCGGAGTGAGACCTCTGCTGATAAACTGGAGCCGGTCATAAGCACACTGCCCAGGTATGGGAAACTCTCCACTCTCTCCACAACTGCCCCATCACCACCACCAACAACAACACCTCCAACAACACCACCAACAACAACAACAATACCACCACCAACAACAACACCACCACCAACACCACCAACAACAACACCACCACCAACAACACCACCACCAACAACACCACCACCACCACCACCAACAACAATACCACCACCAACAACAACACCACCACCAACACCACCAACACCACCAACAACAACACCACCACCACCACCAACAACAACACCACCACCACCAACAACAACACCACCACCAACAACACCACCACCAACAATACCACCAACAACAACACCAACAACACCACCACCAACAACACCACCAACACCAACAACACCACCACCAACAACAACACCACCACCAACACCACCAACAACACCAACAACAACACCACCACCAACAACACCACCACCAACAACACCACCACCACCACCACCAACAACAACACCACCACCAACAACAACACCACCACCAACACCACCAACACCACCAACAACAACACCACCACCACCACCACCAACAACACCACCACCACCAACAACACCACCACCACCAACAACAACACCACCACCAACAACACCACCACCAACAATACCACCAACAACAACACCAACAACACCACCACCAACAACACACCAACACCACCACCAACACCACCACACCACCAACAACAACACCACCACCAACAACAACACCACCACCAACACCACCAACAACACCAACAACAACACCACCAACACCACCACCAACAACACCACCAACACCACCACCAACACCACCACCAACAACAACAACACCAACAATACCACCAACAACAACACCAACAACACCACCACCAACACCACCACCAACACCACCAACACCACCAACAACAACACCACCACCACCACCACCAACAACACCACCACCACCAACAACACCACCACCACCAACAACAACACCACCACCAACAACACCACCACCAACAATACCACCAACAACAACACCAACAACACCACCACCAACAACACCACCAACACCACCACCAACAACAACAACACCACCAACAACACCACCACCAACACCACCAACAACACCAACAACAACACCACCAACAATACCAACAACACCACCACCAACAACACCACCAACACCACCACCAACACCACCACCAACAACAACAACACCAACAATACCACCAACAACAACACCAACAACAACAACACCACCAACAACACCACCACCAACACCACCAACAACACCAACAACAACACCACCAACAATACCAACAACACCACCACCAACAACACCACCAACACCACCACCAACACCACCAACAACACCACCAACACCACCAACAACATTAACGCTTCTCACGCACTCACCGAAGCCGCCTCACCGCCTTGCGTCTACCACAGCAGCAGTTCCTCGTCCTGCTGGTGCTGTTGTTAATTGTATCTGTTGCCCTGGTGATGTTGTTAATTGTATCTGTTGCCCTGGTGATGTTGTTAATTGTATCTGTTGCCCTGGTGATGTTAATTTTATATTTTGTCGCGCGAATTAAAAGCGGAGAATTAGCGCGGTCTGTTCGCGTTCCGCGGCGGCGCTTTACACTTCCCAGCGCGCTTACGCGTCCGGCGCGCCACGTGACCGCCTCACGACCAATGGCGAGGCGCCCCCGCCTCAATGAGTTATAGTGAGAGCGCGCGTATCTGCATTACGATTTACAATACACGCCCCGCCGTCTGTCTATGCGGACTACGATTTATAATGCGATGTGAGTGAGCTGCTTTTCTGCACTACAGTTTGTAATCAACGAGCGTGAGCTAAATACCTTCTGGTGTACAAAATGCCTGTCACTGCATACCTGTGATGAATTATGATTTGTAACGTAATGACAAGTAGATACTACTTATACGGACAACGCTTTGTATTTTAATGAACGTGAGCTAACGCCTATGTGAATTGCGATGTATAAGGCGTGCCATACGTATTATAATGTATAATGACATCACGCTTGCCGCTTATACTGACTACGGTTTATAATGCATGGCAGCGGATACCTATACGCACTGCGATTTGTAATAGCTGTAATTGCACGCCTATACGCACTACGATTTGTAATAGCTGTAATTGCACGCCTATACGCACTACGATTTGTAATAGCTGTAATTGCACGCCTATACGTACTACGATTTGTAATAGCTGTAATTGCACGCCTATACGCACTACGATTTGTAATAGCTGTAATTGCACGCCTATACGCACTACGATTTGTAATAGCTGTAATTGCACGCCTATACGCACTACGATTTGTAATAGCTGTAATTGCACGCCTATACGCACTACGATTTGTAATAGCTGTAATTGCACGCCTATACGCACTACGATTTGTAATAGCTGTAATTGCACGCCTATACGCACTACGATTTGTAATAGCTGTAATTGCACGCCTATACGCACTACGATTTGTAATAGCTGTAATTGCACGCCTATACGCACTACGATTTGTAATAGCTGTAATTGCACGCCTATACGCACTACGATTTGTAATAGCTGTAATTGCACGCCTATACGCACTACGATTTGTAATAGCTGTAATTGCACGCCTATACGCACTACGATTTGTAATAGCTGTAATTGCACGCCTATACGCACTACGATTTGTAATAGCTGTAATTGCACGCCTATACGCACTACGATTTGTAATAGCTGTAATTGCACGCCTATACGCACTACGATTTGTAATAGCTGTAATTGCACGCCTATACGCACTACGATTTGTAATAGCTGTAATTGCACGCCTATACGCACTACGATTTGTAATAGCTGTAATTGCACGCCTATACGCACTACGATTTGTAATAGCTGTAATTGCACGCCTATACGCACTACGATTTGTATTGTATCGATGAGCTCGGGTATGATGATGATGATGGTTGTTGCATCGGCCCCGACACAAGTCACGCACGTCACGCGGCGCAGGCGCTTCGGACTTATTACGCGACAAAGATGTTTGTGATGAGATGTCATTATTGCTAGATTTGAAGCTTTCGTGACTGCAAGGATTCATATTCTTAGGTTTTTTCGGTAAAGTCACGTAGGTAAAAAATTAAAATTACTTTGATTGTTTATTTAGTTAGCAATAGTTCGTGATGTATGGTGACAGTGGTGATCATCGGCGGTTCCAACTCCACGCGTGGCATTGCCGTCAGGGGCCGTCCATAAATGACGTCACGCGATTTTGGACGATTTTTGACCCCCCCCCCCTCGTCACACGGCGTCACAAAGTCAGACCCCCCCCCCCTCAAATATGACGTCACAAAGCTCTGCCCCCTCCCCAAATATAACATGCTTCAAATCGCTTTAAACTATTGTCATTGTAGTGCGTATTTAATGTGGCGCTGCATTCTGATGTTGTAGGAGAAAACATTTATTAAAAAGTCAATTTAATTAAGTAGAACGTTATGGGAACCTCATTTGCCAGTAAAAATATGATAATTGTTTTTTTACCTTCTATCTGGCAACAAAACTGACACCTTTTTACAAGGAGTCATGTTTGCATAGACCACAATACCTGCAGTCATAATGCAAAAAAAACCATAACTCTTGATAATGTACACTGTCCTTGAAGTTGATTGGTCCACACTAAAAAGGCGCCTTTTGGCGTCATCTGGTCCAACCCATGTGAGACTGGGCTCTAAGGAAAGCTGTCTCGGGTGTGGACCAATCAACTTCACGGACAGTGCACATTATCAGTTATGTTTTTTGTTTGCATTATGACTGCAGGTATTGTGGTCTATGCAAACATGACTCCTTGTAAAAAGGTGTCAGTTTTGTTGCCAGATAGAAAGGTAAAAAACCAATTATCATAAGTAGAACGTGTTGTCTATATTTATTGAAAGTTGCGCATGTTTATGTGACGTCACATTTCTCAAACTCTCTCCCCCCGTCACACATCGTCACCATGTCTGACCCCCCCCCCCCCCCCTAGGTGCGTGACGTCATTTATTGACAGCCCCTAACGAGATGGGGCGGTCATCTTCTTGGTTCTTTCGGTAAAGTCACGTAGAAGGGAAGCAATAAAATAATACAAATAAAACATAATAAAACAATTCTCACGACGTTTCGGCCACAACGCAAGCAGCCGTCCTCAGGTGAAAACCAGGTCTGTCGAGGCGACAGCGCTGTCCCTTCTACGTGACTTTACCGAAAGAACCAAGAAGATGAATCCCTGCAGTCACGAAAGCCCTAAATCGAGAGATGGGGCGGTTTATCTCAATCTCGACGACTCCATCGTCACCTGTCAACCCATACGGTTCAACACCCAGTGCCGGATTAAGCTAGAGCGGCACGATGTTATAAAGGGGCACTAAATATAAAAAATACGTAAATATTAAAACACAAGCTTTTTTATTTGCACAGTAAATAAATTGTATTTTTTAATTTGCTATACAGCCAGAAAATATGACCGATCGCTAACCTTAAACACCCAGTCGTTCATACAAGTTGAAGGCAGTATAGTACTATAGTAATAGAGCAAGTGCAGAATCACTGAACCGGAATTGATAGCTTGAAAGCGTTTAGCGCGGGGCCCTTGAAAGTGCGGGGCCCGTAGCTACAACACATGTAGTAGTAGCTACTACTACATCTGTTCCAACATATGTTCCAACATATGTACATATGTAGAAGCTACTACATATGTACTTAGCTACCTTTGCTACTGGGATAATCCGGCACTGGGTCTACCCGTATTGTTGTGCAGGGAAATCAAGTAAAACATGAATAGTCTCCTTGTTTGTGTGTCTCCGTTGTGATGATGGAACTTTGTAGGTTGAACGTTGAGGTTTATGAGGGGCACGGGGTGACCATTGAGGTCTGAGTTGGTCTGTAATGAGGTAGGCAGCACTGATAAAGGGTTGACGGGTTTGCGATTATTCTCTGGGTCTTTCGGTAAAGTCACGGAGATCGGTTCAAAGAAAATAACAAAAATAACAAAAAACTACGACGTTTCGATCACAACACAAGCAATCGTCATCAGGAGGAAAAAAAAGAGTATGCGATTCATAGAATTGGAACAGATTAATCGATGCTGCTGCTGCTGCTGCGTTGGCGGTGTAACAACGCAAGCACAATTCACACAGGAAGGGTCATTGCCTGAAACGTCGCCTATATGTTTTCCTTTGAAGGTCACAATGTTATTAATGAATGCGTTTCGGGGTTGTTAAAGTCACCATAATGTTCTTATTTTAGGCGGTGGGATGGTGTGTGCGTGTCACTCGTCACATTGTCACCCTCCACTTGGACACTGCATCACCAACACTTCACAAACCAGCTTCTCTTTGAAGCCGACCAGTTGGGAATTCTTACGCAACTTTAACTTGTTTCCAATGCATTGTTTAATTAGATGAAGATTTACACAAGATTACGCATTGTTTGTATCGGCGTGTCAAAATTACTTTCACTGCGGTCCGGCAGGCAAACACATAAGTTTAGACTCGTCGGCTTTCGAGACCAATATTCATAATAACGTTTTTTGGGTTCGATCGCGTAAATAAGGTTGATTTGAGTTTTTCTGCAGGTTATGATTAAATTTTTTTTTATTTCGCTGCAGATTTCACCCCAGTAGTACCATCAAGTTGTTAGCAAGAGCTCAGAGTTTGAAGGCACGATCTTCTTTATCCGGAGTCTTTAACGTGGCGTCTTGGGCCATCACGAGCACAGCCGCGCAGGGCAACAGAGTCCAATCGTTTGAAGTGGATTGCGTGCGATTTAAATGGTTAGACTCTATGTTGAACTTCTTTTACACCGTACGTAGCCAACCGTGCTAATCGGATGTGCGGGGAAGGACAAACCAAATACAAAAAGCAGTTTTAAAGAAATTAGATCGTCAATCGAGATGATGATTTCAAAGTGTAATATCGGAAGAGCGTTCCAGACGGCCGCAGAAGCGCATCTGAAAGCGCCACGCGATGCGGTGACGACCGCCGTCGATGGTTAGCAGCCAACAGCCGAAATGTGATCAAGTAAATCTGTTTATTGGTGAAAAGTGTTACAGTTAAACATTCACATTATACCTACACGATCCAACCTCAAAAAACTATTCTGAATTATATATCTGGCGTGAACGCTTATGTAGGAAATTCTAAACTTCCAATTGCGAGATCGAGTTTCTATTCGGCACAATGTTAATTAATCAATAAAGCAGAATATCCCTTCAGAGCCAGGTTGCTGAATACACGCGTTCCTTTTTAAAGCCAGAACCTCAGCCACGAGACGCAGGTCCAAATGAAGCAGCAATGGTAACACTACAGTCATGCATGTGCCATGGGTGTTTAAACATTCCATTAATATGGTGGTAATTTACACTAAATAAGTCACAAGTCCAAATTTCAGCCACCGTCGCACCGATAGTGAATGACTTCAACCCACCGAACCTCCCGGTTCCCCAGCTGCCCGGCTAGCTCAGTCGGTAGAGCATGAGACTCTTAATCTCAGGGTCGTGGGTTCGAGCCCCACGTTGGGCGCGCACCTTTTTTTATAATCACATTTTTTTCCCTCCCTGAATCGTACCTTTGAATTAAAGTTGAAACTGATGTTCACGCGTTTGTTGCCAGACTACTTGTTTGATCAAGGATGTCAGTTTGAAAGATACTCGATGTTTTAACGAAATCCACATCTGGTTATACGTCTCTTGCGCCCCCCACAGACACATGTTGTAATTTCAAGAATCCTTTAGAATTTCATATTCTACATTCCTTAAAGATTTAAGTGCCGTATAAAACACTTCCCTTGCAGCGATCAACACATCGTCAAAGTTTAAGTTCAAAGTCAAAATAATAAAACGTAGTGCACAAAGATGGCGTGTAGCATAACAGTGTGCGTCCATGGTGAAGACGTTGCATAGCAGAGCGCCGTGTTTAATGGTGAACAATATGGTATATGGTACAGCATAGTGTTGTAAACGGTAGTGAACAAGATGGAAGATCACAGCAGTGTTCATAGTGAAGATGTTGCATAGCAGAGCGCCGTGTGTTCATGGTTAAGGGGAGTGGATTTTGGAGGAATTTCCCATATTGTTTTAACCGTGTAAACCATTTAACTCCCAATTGTGTTTTGCAAGCTATAATGTTAAGTCGTACGTGTATTATTTTAGGAAACAGATGCAGTGAAATCTAAAGAACGTATTTTTCTCAGGACCCCATATTTGTGGATATTGTTTCGCGTGTAAAAGTTGACCGATAGTCAATGAGCACCTGGGAATCCGTGTGAAATGTAAACGAACGTTGCGTTACAAAAAAACCACATTCACACACAACATCCAATATTGAGGGCACACTCTCTGGGGTTCACGTCAGTGCAACGCACACATTGTTCATTTTATTTTGAAGCCTCGCCCAGAGAACATCCACACTGCAAACCTGCACAACTCCCTCAAGCCAGAGCCATCGTGACAACAGGAATGCAAGCACTCCACTCAGTTTTCAATGTAAAGGAATTTAAATCACCCCCCCCCCATTTACAGCGTCGAAATCGAAATAAAGGAATTTCTAGGGTCTTGTTTGGGTAAATGAAGTTGTAAGGCATTACGTGGCAGTGAAACATCTGTTATAAAGGGCACTAAAACAGGCCACACTCTCAAAAGCAGGTTTCACACCCATGATGGAATACTGTTGGTGCGAATTTTAATTGTTGAAAACATTTGCGCAGAGTTTTAGAACCACTAAATGCCCGCATCGCACCTGTACCCCAGAGCAGTGCATCGACAACATTTCCTTCGGGGGCTGGTAGGTCATGCCAAGAAGCCACTTGGATTCTTGGCGTTAGCAGCACAAGACGTTTGTACCACGGAAAGCCTTCCCACCCTCTCATTAAAGCAATATCAGATGGGCTTGGGTGGATAAACAAAGCAAAATATATTGTTCCGTAATTATATGCATGACCATTATAATGAGTTACACTGCCGTTTGAAATTGGCGGTGGGTACTTCACATTTGTGGAAAACCGGTTCCCAAAGCAATTTTGCTTCGAGTTAACCCACCACAGGTGGTCCAAATCTCACAACGGTCGCCCGCACACAAAGAAATGTAACGCCCCAAGGCCCAGCGCCATCCAACGAGAACTGGAGACGAGACAGTATGAGAAGATGACAGTATGAAGAGACAACAGTATTTTGAAAAGCGCTGCGCAGGGATGGAATTTCTCCGTGGCACAGTAACATCTCCTAGACTCCAGCACAAGCAGTGGTGATTTAGATAATCAGTGGGTTTAAAACATGCACCGAACAGCCGGGGGGGGCACACACAGGGATTCTGAAACCAACATTTGTTGCAGTCATTTTCTTGGCAAGGTTAAGGGAAGAGCGTAGCAAGTTCAATTTATTAATCTTATACTACAACCCCCACCCCAGCTAGTAAAAAAATTACGCCATCCCCTACCATGCGCGTTTCAGTGTGCTCCAACTTTAGATCTACGCTGCAGCGTTCAGCACTGACAATTGCCAGGCCGTCCTGGGAAACAAGCGCTTTACACACAGCAGGGCGAGCCAATGAAGTTGCCGTCATGTAACCAAAAAAAAACATCCAAAGGCTTTAAGGCCTGGCCTTGGATTATCACAGACAACACAAAAAAAATATTACAAAATAAAACTCGCAGTGTCTGGGAATGTGCCGTGAACGCTGCGGGGGGACTGGTCCAAAAAAAAAAAAAACCTAAATGTTGTTGCTTTTTACAAAAAAAAGCAACACGCAAAACCCATCCCCATGATCAAGTGCTGCCCGCCCCCCCCCACCCTACACGGCCACCTTAAAGCTCATCATCGGACTTCTTTTTCTCTTTCTTCTTCTCCTCTTCCACGACCACGGGCTTCTTGGTCGCCTCCCGCTTCAAGTAGCTGATGAAGTCGCTCACCTCGCGGCCCCCCTGTACACGTACATCCACATACACGTCAAACTCCATCCAAGTCTCTTTCGTATGGCATGGGGCACACGGAGGGGGTAAGCAACAAGTGTTTATAGGCGTCATAGTTGAATGACACCGTTAGGATTGCAGCAATACTGTCAGGACGTGCTTAGATGATGTCGCATTCCCTCCGAGTGGTACGGCGTTTTTCGAGAGCGTGCACTTGCCTTGCAGGCCTCACTCACCTCGTATTTCTTGGGGCTGTCCTTGCTACCCATCGGGGAGAAGTATATAGTTGGGAACCTGAGTATGTGAGAGGGGCATGGGGAGAGAGTAAAGCACTTAGTAAACGGGGAGATGGTTAGCGGAGGTGTGCACATCAAACGCAGCTTCACGGAACAAGGAAACTCACCCTCTGACATCATACTGAGCCGGAACGTCATTCGCTGTGGCGTCCATCTTGGCGATGAGGATGTTGGGGTCGTTCTTGAGCTGTTGAGGAGCAATTATTGAGAACAAATCAATAAAAATCAATACATTTATCAGCAATAATTCAAAGCAACAGGCTAAATTTAGGCATAACGATTTAGTGGCCAAAATAGATCTTGACTTAAAGCCTTCGTGACCGCAGGAATTCATATTCTTTGGGTCTTTCAGTAAAGTCACGTAGATGGGTTCAAATTAATAAAAATAAACCAATCTACGTTACTTTACCGAAAGACCCAAAGGCGGCTAAAATAGATTTACACTTTACTCCAAACGTGCACGCAAGAATGGATTACCTTACAGATTGTGAAGTCTATGCACAAATTACTATTATTTGAATGAATGAACGAGAGGGTGGAAGACGAACAATAAAATGAGTTTCAAATAACGATTCTTAACAAGGTCATGAAATTACCAATACGGGGAGAGGCCGTACCTTATCGGCGAGCTCCAGGTACTTGGGCTCCAGGTTCTTGCAGTGTCCGCACCATGGCGCGTAGAACTCAATCAGCACGTCTTTGCTCTCGTCGTTCACCAGCTCGTCAAATATCTCGGCCACCACCACCTGCGGAGGTCAGATTGTGCTCATCGCCGCATCACGATCCCCCTCCGCTCGCCCCACCCCATGCCCGTTCGAGTAACAAATTATCCGTACAAATATTGGTTATTGTCGACCACACATGTATCAGCACTTTGTCAAAATTCTGCTGGATGAGGGCCTTCCATGCTAGCAATGGGAGTTTTATTTGAGCACACTTCACCATGCTGGGTAATGCAGGTAAGTGAAGATGGGGAATGTGCAGTGGACACCTACGGGCTCTCTGCCCACAGATTGTGATGATGGGGAGCATAGTTGTAAAGTACAACAATTGATTGTGCGCAACTGCCATCTGTAGATGACCACGCAAGCAATCCTGCAGCGGTCTATGACAACTTGTTTGCATGTGGTGGCGACGAGTCAAAGTACTGGCCCCCCAGGCTCCACCCTGCTTAGCACCCAAGATCAGGTGCACTCAGGATTATTAGCGATAGGAAAATGCCGAGAGACATCGCACGAGGACATTGGCGAGTCGGAGACAGCACAACTATCTGAAATTACTATTACACTCATGGCTTTCCTCGGATTGCTTGAACCAAAGTTCCACACTGCTATGGCAAAATGACTTTCACTCTGGGCCCTAGAGAACAGAGTAGGTGATGAGGTCATGTTAGAGCTGACCTTCACAGGCCCATCGTTGTCCTCGGGGATGGGCTCAGACTTGAGGTGCTTCTTGAGTTTTCCATCGAAGTAATCCTGCAGGAAGTTTTCAAGAGACTTTCCGTCGCGCCTGTACGCACACAGCACCAAATGCACGTGTAAAAAAAGCACGTGTTAACCATCGCACATGGACCTAGCAGGGCTTCACATTACACACCAACGTCATGCAGCAAAAAAACCTGCAAACTAACACAGATTTAGAAACAAACGGCAGAATTATATTATCAGACACCTCACATTTAGCACCACGTTTTCAAATATTTCACCAACATTCTAGATGACAAGCAAACACAACCAAGTTAACTATTAAATCACCTAAAATACCACCTTTATAAAAGTGACAGTGCATAGAAAGGTCAAACCCGATGTGAAATAAATGCAACAATTGACTTTTTTTGGAGGGAGAAGCTTGACATCTATCGTACTTTCAAATATTTGAACGTACCCGGAAGTGAAAAGCCCCGTGCCAACTGAAAGTCTGCACCTCACGTCAGTCAGTATTTTGAAACCAGGCAGCATCCGCGATGGTGCGAGGCGAGGGGGGACACGCTCACTCACGTGAACTCCTCGCGCAGGATGTATTTGTCGCCGTTGCTCTTCTTGATGGCAACCACGGGCACGTCCCCACTCACGTGCTCCAGCCCGTAGTCGGACAGCTGCTGCCCAAAGTCCTTGTGGTTGGCGATGGCGTAGCTCAAGGTGTGGCCCTCCTCGATGAACTTTTTGGCCACCTTCATCACCCTGCGGGGGGGGGGCACACCAGAGCAGCACGAGTGGTTCAGCCAGCGTTACGGAAAGGGGGGGGGGGGGGGAAACGCACGCAGGGAGGCATCCACAAACAGCACGCAGGGCAAGACTTCACGCAGAACATGGTTTGTTTTTGCAGTATTGGTCAGAGCTGCGGAGCTTTTAAAAATTTGAATGCAATGCACAGTTGAAAGGTTAAGGATTGTGTGTTGTTATACTGAATTTTATATTCAAACGATTATTTTTCTCATCGGATTCGATTTCAACGGATGCATCGTTTTGCCGTTCTGGACCGAGGCAAAGTAACGCTGCACTTCGTTTGAATGCTTCGTCTCCCTTACAAAAGGGCGGCATTTGTATCGACTGCTCAACTGGCTGTCAAAGTTCATAAGCGTATGCGAGTAAATGCGCAAATGGTGGGTGGGTAGGAAGTGCACCTGTTCCTCCAGTAGTTGGAGCCCTTGGGGTTCTTGGTGTAGTCGACGTCATAATAAGCCACCAGCAGGTCCTTGCCCTTGAACAGGTCCTTGTTGTCATCCGTAAGGTGTGGGCAGATTCCCAGACTGAAAGTGGGGAGGGGACAAAAAAAAACTTAAGACCACCCCCTCCTCCTCCTTCCATAAGCGGTGCATCTTTGGGAATGCTTACGTTTGCAATATTTTTTGTACAATTGAAAACAAATTGTGGACCACAGCCATCTCAAAAGAATGAGCCGGGTGTTGTGGAGAATGCAAGTGATCTCACGCTTTGGAGGCAAGGGTTGGTGTAGATCAGGGGTCGGCAACCTACGGCTCCGGAGCCGCATGCGGCTCTTTACGGGCTGCTTCTTGACGATATGTACGTATGTACAGTATGTACTCAGATGCATTGCGGCTCTTGAAATACTGAATTTTGTACCGAATTGGAAAGAAATGGCTCTTCTTGTTATTTTGGTTGCCGACCCCTGGTGTAGATGATATAGATTTGTGATAAATCCGATAGAATATGAAGTGGACAGTAGGGGGCAGTAAAGCAAGCGTGTTAACAAATGTATGCAGTCATTGCTATCCCCACCTGGTTCAAATTCATGGAAACAAAGCCTAAAAATTGGCCAAGTATTTTTTTACAGCGCCAAATTAAATCGAGACTCTGCGAGGCTTTTCTGGATAAATACAAGGCACTGAGATTAATACCACGATGCATTCTCAATCCACTGCTAGACGAGGGCCACCCCACACCATGCAAGGGTTATTTGACCATATTTGACCATGCTGGTCAATGCAGGTTGAAGGCAGACATTCCACCATTGCAAAATGTACAAACACTTTGTGCACGTAGAATGTCGTTCACACCATAGGTCGCCAACCGTGCTAATCGAAGGTGCAGGGCGGAGAGAGACAACAAACTAAACACTTGAACAATGGCTGTAATTACACCGCCCCCTGCTGGGAGCATTATGCAGGGCTAATGGTAATGGTTGGACGGGCCGCATGCCGGCGATCGCCGTCGTGCTCACATGTTGTCCTGGATGAAGGCCTTGATCTTGGCAGAGCTGTAGGAGTCCTCGGCATACGTCACCTGCGTCTCCTCGAACTTGCTAGCGAGGCGAAGCGGCCGAAACACCACGATCGCCCTGAACGCGCGCACACACCACGCATGCAATACCCCCAGATCAGACGCATGTCCGTGCGTACACCTGACACACTGACATTGTATGCACACCACCTACACCACTCTTAAGTGCCAACTGATAAGTACTACAACTGCTTCCAGTAATTACAGTGATGTATAGGTATACAGAATAAATTGGCAATTCACAGCTATCGTTTAATAATCCTCTACTACAAACGATATCAAATCGAAAGCAGCTAAGTACATAATTTGAACGCTTAGAAACCCTCCCTTACAGGAAGCAACAGCACCCAACGTTATGAAATAGTAAAGCCAAAATATTCGGCCACTGGAATTAGGTTTGACAGAGCAGCAACCGCCAGAAGTGTCAGGCAGGGCACGTGACGTGTGGTGCGGCAAGCAGATAGCACGGCCGAACGGAGAGCCACTCACTCGTCAGTGCCCTGCTTGTCCAACACGGCCTGTACGTTGCTGTGAGCAAAGCGGTAGTTATCCCTCTGCGAGCTCGCCACCTTCATGAACTCCGTCTGTGCATCACCGCTCGCATCCTTGAAAAATCCTGCCAACGTAGAAAAAGGGAACAATAACGAAGACAATCGCATCGTAGCTTTGTCGTTCGTCATGGAAAATTGCACGCATCCAAGTGAAGAAATTGAAAAGTGGGGAGGGATAACAAATGGAGCTGCCAACACGGTGCCAATAACCTCGTCATGAGACCAGTCAAGAACGGTGTAGGATCCTAACAGCAGACGGACGTGGGTCCGGTGGCTCAGGGAAGCTTCTCACCTAAAATGCTGGGGTCGCTATCCCCAACAAACTTCTCCAAGTCCTCGACAGTCTTCAGTTCCACAGAGCTGGGGCCGGCTTGCTTCTTCAGGAAGCCAACGATGCCATCTGCACAGCACACAGACACAACAGAATATGCACGTGCTCAGACACGTGGCTGGTTTAGCCGACTTTTCTGGACAAAGGGCAACATTATTTGCATCAGCAAAGGGCACTTTAGGAAAACACGTTGTGGAAAAACACCAAAGGGTTAGGTTACCCACAGAAATGACACTACATGTCATCATTATTCCTCCTAAGCCAACACATGTTGTATTAGCTCTTATCAAGTGATTGGAAATGAAACAAAAATTCAACAAAAATTAATAAACGTGTCTAACGGGCTTAAAATGATTCAAAATGTTGCAATTAAGCCACCTCAAAAGTAGTATTATTTTTTTGGTTAAAACAATTTGTGCAAATAGCCATCCAATTTCTACAACTCTTATGCTTTGTTTACTGCAAAAAATGTACACTTCACTTAAAAATTGCTGGTGGTATTTAATTTAATTATGAACGTCTTAAAAAGTATACATAAAAGTGGACATTTTTGTTTTTATATGATGCACTAAAAATCAGAGGTGTGGACTCGAGTCATGTGACTTGGACTCGAGTCAGACTCGAGTCATGAATTTGATGACTTCAGACTCGACTTGGACTTGCATAACAATGACTTTGTCCCACCTCTGCTAAAAATAGACCCCATCATACACAGGTCGAATATACCAGATGGTAACTTAACCAACATTTGCCAGACACCCTTTCAATGAGCATCTCCCCCATCCACATCACTCCAGTATCGATTCGCAAGAAAATGCGAGTACCAGCAGTCCGGGGGCCATCGTAGTCGCTGGACAGCTCGCCGTCACGGAATATCTTCAGAGTGGGGTAGCCACTCACGCCAAACTTGTTACACGTTTCCGTGTTGGCGGTGCAATCCACCTGTGACAGTGTAAAGAAAAAACGTCACACCATGCTGAGATTGCCATGTATTTCCTCCCTCCAACACAAGAGGGCATGGCCGTAAAGACTCGGCGTTGATTTTGCAAGCGGGCGCACCGCTCTGAAAGGGTGAGTAGTGCTCTTACAATTAACTGAAATAAAGCTATTGTTACTTAGACTTGAGGTTTCCACGGCCTTGATACCAATTCATATTATATCCTCACCTGTGTACGACTACGTGATTAACTGTAATTTAAGCAACAATTTGTGTTTAAGTTACACACCGATTCATACCTCAATTAAGTTAGACTCTAGATTATTTTTTCTGAAATTACAGGTATAGGGAGGGACCTTTCGGCTGACTCTGTAAAATCAATATACAACATCGTGCCTTCTCTTACAGGCAATACTGCACACCCACACCCAAGTTGGACTAAGTGTACCGCCCTTTAAAAATGCGCTTCCACAGTAAATCGGAGGATTTAAACAAAGTGAAGAATAAAATAAGCCTCTAATGTCATTACTTAAAGTAGCATGCTATAGTTAAAATTAAATTGACCTTTGGGCTCCACATATTTGCTTTGCATGTTTAGGCGGTGCGGCTTAGGTCGATTGAAATGCATTCTGCCACGTGAGACAGCACACATTCTAATCCTTAGGATTACCTAAATTCAGTGGCAAGAACTGAAAAGCTGCACACACAAATCCACACTACTTCTGAGGAGCTAACACATTCACAAGGCCGCATAAAACAAGTGTCCTGCATTGGGACCTTTGCTAACTACATTTTAACTTTAATTTACCAGTGAAATTAATCATTCATTTCTTAGTTTCCTGCTTTTGTACTGGTGCCCATTCAAGCTCATTTTATAATAAAAAAACTAACCTGCTCAGTATAATTCTAGATTTGAAGCTGTCAGTGACTGCAAGGATTCATACTCTTAGGTTTTTTTCGGTAATGTCACATAGGTAAAAATAAGAAATAAAAATAATCGCCTGATACAGTAAATGTATCTGTGACGGTCCCACCTGATGACGGAGACTTGTGTTGCCTTCCGAAACGTCGTGATTTATTATTTATTTTATTATTATTTCTAGAATTTTTATTATTTATTTTTACCTACGTGACTTTACCGAAAAAACCTAACTGCTCAGTATAGTCCGCACCCATAGCGATTTACCCCCGTGTCCCACGCACTCTTTGTACAAGATGAATGATAACACGCTAAACATTCCTCTAAAACTACACTGAGGCTGCACATCATCTCTGGCGACTTCACTTCCGGGGTCACGGATTACAGCGCGATTAACCACTGCTGCTCACGCAACGAGTGCGCTATAATAGAAGGGGGGGGGGGGGAGAAAAACAGGCGACCTGGAGAAAGGGCACTCGCACAAGGATATAAATTAAAATGGGTTCTAAATCGTGTCCAATTTAGTCGAGTGGGTGCAAGGTGGCCACATCGAATCACGCAAAGCGCTGCAAATACCAAGTATGCGCCACCACGGCCGGCAGCCCTGTAGTAGTAGGGTTGCAAGGCAGCATCAGCGGTGTTCACATTTCTAGACGTTGCGTATAAACGCAGACACAATGCACTACCCCCCCCCCCCCACTACAACCAAGCTTTGTGCAACATTCAGGGCAACGCTGCATCGCCCACTTCACGGAGCCCTCCCCTGGGTCGACATCCGTGTCCGGCTCGGGAGGCGTGAACGTGCCCAACCCCGGCAAGTTTACTGAAGGGTGGCAATGAGGAGGGAGGGGGGGGGAGAACCGGGAAGCAAGAGGTGGAGTGTGTGTGGGGGGTTCCTATTGAAGTGGAGAGATCAGCGCTGACGACAGCAGCCGGGTGTGGCCAAACGAGAAGACGAGTGGGCGACAAGGCGAACTTTCACCCCTGCCGAGATACCCATCCCCAGCAGCTGGGGGTTACGTCGTTAAGGGCGGCAGAAGAGACCCCAAAAGTTCGCCAGCGAGCACGGCAGAGCACGCACCTTGGCCAGCGCGACGGTGTTCTTCAGCTTGGTGGCGGCCTTCTCGTACTCGGGGGCAAGTCGCTTGCAGTGGCCGCACCTGGAGCGAGTGGACAATGATTTGGGCAGCGTCAGGAGGAGGAGGCGGCGAGGAGCCGCGGCATTTGTCGAGTTACACGACACGAACCACGGGCCGTGCACCGACGGCGATTGCGCAATACCAGAGTCGGGTTGGCCACCGTCAGTCAGCATGCGATGACCGAACCGAGATTCGTTATGTCCACATCTAACGTTAGGTGGACGGCAACGCTACATTAAACATATTTAATGACAGCTTTATTAACTCGTACATTGAGCTATATTTTCGCGAAGTTAGGTCACATCGATTAATATTTATTACACGGAAAAGCAAGTTTGCGTCATGCATTCGTTTTAATCACTATACATGCATTAGCCAATGTACCATTTGACAAACACAAACAATATCTCACGAAAAATCACGACGAGCCTGAACCTGTTTAAACAAAAGTCGATTTACAGCCGAGGTTGGAATTTGACCAAGTCCCTTGTAAAAATAGATTAAAACCCATTCTCAAACATTAACAAATCACCCACTTGGAGCAGGCACCAGTCAAGCAACTTAAAAATCACGGCAGCACACACGATGCATTTAAACAATTATTTTTACTTTTAAAACGACGGGGAAATTTATTCCAAATTAGTTTAAAGTGCCCGGCCGCGAGCATTTCCTTTAAGACTCGACGTGCAAATTAATCGGCGCCACTGCCACACAAACACGACTCATTAGCAAGTGCACGGTCACAACTACCGTCACATCTCTTGAAGTGGCGTTCGCCCGGCGGTGTTCTTTCTTGCAACGATTGTCTTTTTAAAAAGCACCGAGACATTCCCATTGGCAACTCAACCCCCTCAACGCAGAGGCACGCGAAGCCGAGAGCCGCGGCCTCGCCTAGAACCCCTGCCGGCTTCCCTGCCACACGCCGGGCGACCTCGCCTCCAGCAAGCGCCTCGCTCACGGCCTCCCCCTCCTCCTCCCCTCGCTCACCAGGGCGCGAAGAACTCGACGAGCACCATGTCGTGGCCGGCCACTCTGGACGCGAAGTCGGCGTCCGTGAGGTCGAGCACATCGCTGGCGCTCGCCGCGGCGAGCAGCGCGAGGAGGGCGACGAGGGAGCAGGAGGCGGCGGGCACCATGACGGACAGCGTGGCGGGTTGCTGCTGCTGTGTGCTGCTGTGTGTGTGCTGCTGCTGTCTCTGCTGCTGTGTGTGTGCTGCTGCTGTCTCTGCTGCTGCTGCTGTCTCTGCTGCTGCTGTCTCTGCTGCTGCTGTCTCTGCTGCTGTGTGTCTCTGCTGCTGCTGTCTCTGCTCGCGGCTGTCTCGGGGGTGGCGGCAGCGGAGGACCGCAGGAAGAGTGGCGGTCCAGCTGTGTGGCGCGTTTTGATTGGATCCCGCGGCGGCACGTGATGCGACGCGTGCGCTTCTGATTCGTCGCCGACTGCGGGGCGACGTTTGACCCCCGCGCCCAAATCCCTCGCCTCGAGCGGCCCCCCCCCCTCCCCCCGCCCCCCCCCACCCACCCCCCGCCCCCCCTCACCCCGCCCCCCCCCACCCCCACCCCGCCCCCCCCCACCCCTCGCTCCCCCCCACCCCGGCCCCCACCCCCCCGCCCCTTTGTAGTGCTGGCCACGCCAGACAGCACGACAAAGCCAGCGACGTTTCGGGCAGTGGCCCTTCTGAATAGCACAGAACACAGAGTGTTAGCACAGAATGTTAGCACAGAGTGTTAACATAGAGTATTAACATAGAGTGTTAACACAGAGTGTTAGCCCAGAGTGTTAACACAGAGTGTATAATATTAACAGAGTGTTAACACACAGAGTGTTAACATAGAGTATTAACACAGAGTGTTAACATAGAGTGTTAACACAGAGTGTTAGCCTAGAGTGTTAACACAGAGTGTATAATATTAACACAGAGTGTTAACACAGAGTATTAACACAGTGTTAATACTCTGTGTTAACAGAATGTTAGCCCAGAGTGTTAACACAGAGTGTATAATATTAACACAGAGTATTAACACAGAGTATTAACATAGAGTGTATAATATTAACACAGAGTGTTAACACAGAGTGTTAACACAGAGTATTAACACAGTGTTAATACTCTGTGTTAACAGAGTGTTAGCCCAGAGTGTTAACATAGAGAGGCCGAGTGGGTAAGTGTTGGGAGACTTCACTTTGACACCGTGATTTCCTGATTATAATGAAACAATGCAAATGTTTCCTGATGTTTTTTTTATTGTCTCATGTAAGTATTCATACGCCAATTGTAAACCTGTTAATCGGTAAGTCTTTTAAACGTTAACATCGATCAGGCTTCGTCAGTCTCCAACTTACCCACCCTTTATGGCCTCGCCGTTTACGTGCTATGAAGAAGGGCTATTGTTCGAAACGTCGACTGTTTTATTGGTTTTCCCTTTTCAGGCCACAGTGCAATTGAAGAACGTGTTGAATGATGTTTTGTTATTTATGCAAAGGGAACGAGTTGACCTTGCTGCAACAGATCTACCCATAATGCAGTGCATCAGCAACATTGTTTAATGTGACGTTTAATACATTTTCGTTTTTTGAGCAGAAATCAATTTTTGGTGATTAAAAAGTTCGTCTGTTGCTCATAATCTACTAATTAGTCAACCGTTCATCAGAAAACACGTGAAAACGTCAACTCTTATCAGACCCCGTGGTGAAAACAAGTGCAGTCTCCAAATATTGTTATCAGAATATTGTATTTATCTATACTGGAGGAAGGCGATGAGCGATCAAGCGCTTTCTCACAGATGTCCAGTAGCCTGGACGATGCCACTGCATTAGCTCTCTGGCCTCTCTAATATACGCTATGGAGAAGGACTGTTACCCGAAACGTCGCCTCGTATATATGTTTTCCCGTTGAAGGCCACGACACCGAGTTATCGACAAACGTGTTGAGTGTGTTGACATGTCCCTCGCTGGGTGCGGTTCTTCCGCCTCTGTTGATAAGCAACGCGTCTCGATTTCTGGCGTTCTTGCATGCTATGGCCACGTGACTTTACAATCTATTTGGTTCTTTCGGTAAAGTCACGTAGGTAGAAAATGAAATTTATTTTAATAATACAATAAAATGAATTATTTATTTTCTACCTACGTGACTTCCCGAAAGAACCAAAGAGTATGGATCCCTGCAGTCACGAACACTTCAAATCTAGATTGGCTTTACATTGTTTGTCGAGTTCCAGTATCACGGGATGCAAATACTTGCAGATCATTCGCATTATATGGAAATCTTAGGATTCCTAAAAAGCTAAATTCCACGCATAATCACCACTCTCGCAGGAATATTTCGACACACCAACTGATAAGATCCTTACACATCGCCAGTCAATAAGCAACGTTGGGTCAACGTTGCTTGTTAAATTGGATGCATCATAAGATACTAGTTCATAAAGTCTGTCTTCGCCAGGCAAAAGTTTTCAATAAATATAATAATTAACCTGATTTAATGTTTTTACAATCCGTATCTACGATCAGACACTAACAACAACTCAAAATATTTGAATTTTTCGCACAAACACAAAAATTGTTGACGAATTTATTCAACTTCGTATATTTAAAGACGTACTCATCGGAAAGCACTCAATTTAAAGATTACGTTGTTTTTTATTTTAAAGAACACAAATTAATACTCTAAGGAGAAGCTCCTATCTTTAACCGTTTTCGAATTATTCAGATTTGAATCATAAAATGTGTATTTTTTCGTTCCGAAATATCTCAAAAACAATAAAAGATAGAACAATGGTTCTCGCGTTAATTAAATTTGCCGTCGAAGGCGAAAACCCCCTGCAATGTTACATTTTGAACGCTTTCTGAATGACACGCACAAACATGTTTATAGGGCGCTAAAAATCCAGTTTTGGGGGCCTTAAAATAAAAAATCTCAGATTTTCAGATTTTTCTGTGGTTTCTATCCTAAAAGATACATTTATACCAAATGTCAGCTGTCTACCTTGTCGGGAAGTACCCTAAAGGTCTCTGAGACATACAGATTAAGGTCTTTATTTTCTAGATATACTTTCAACATTAACTAAATTATATGATAACAAGGTTTTGACAGAAAGCACTGAGCTGAACCTGTGTTTACATTCAATTTGAGTTACACAATGATGCTGTCATAGAGTGAAATGAATGAAAGCCAAGTAGCGACTGGCAATTTGGACAGGAACCAAGACTTGAGAGCAAGGGAGTAAGTAGCACGAGAGGACAACCCGAATTGGCTGACTTCACCATGTTCTCAATCCACTGCTGGATGAAGCCCTCCCACGCCGTGTCGGGCATGCTGGTTTGGTTAGCCCTACTTCACATGTTGGTTAGTGAGGGTTGGTGAAGGGTGGGTGGGGGGTAATAGTGGGAGGCACTGGGGGAAGCCACCACTCGCCACTTGTGTTCGGCGTGGTTGGGAATCGAACTCGAGGTTACCGGGCGCGTAACGCAGTGAATGAGACGGTCTGTCACACCACCACCACCACCCTCCGGCTCGGGCGCCGCGGTGGCGAGGAGATGTTAACTACCTCGCCTGGTATGCAGGAGATCGTGGGTTCGATCCCGACCCTGACACCCGTTGTATATTTGGAGTTTGCGTGCCTCTCTCTCCCCGTGATCGCGTGGATTTTTCTCCGAGTCCTCCGGTTTTCCCCTCCGCGTTTATAATCAAAGACACGCGTTTTGAGTATTTGGCTGCTATACATTTCCCCGTGATGAGCCACTTCGTTGAGCTGTCATTTGTGGCCCGGCCACTTTTAAAAAGAGCTACAGAGCTCAGTGGGCCTTACCTGGAACGATAAAAAAAGTTTTTCGAGTTTAGGATACTTTCATGATAACAATCTTGCGATTTGCTAATTCAGTTAACGCGAATGCCAGCCACATGGCGTGGCCCTCTGGCCATGTGAATGGGCGTGGGGGGTTTAGACCGCGGCTGGGCACGTCACACACGCGGAAGACACACACAGCGCTTGCAGGAGAAGCTGCCGTAGTGAACCTCCACTTTCATCATCCTTTACCAAGTTGTCGAACCTTCACACAGACTCCCAAGCCGCCAATGCTGGCGAGGCGGTGCCGAGTGGCTTAATTGATTCACTCTCTGGAAGCGAATCGAATCGCGCTCAGCACAATGAGTCGCATTTACGACAACAAGAAGCTGGAAGCGAGGCCCGTGCACAGCGAGACGTGGCCCGGACCCTGGGAGCCAAGCGCGTTTGAGCAGTGAGTGGTGCAGTGGTCGGTGGGGGCGGTGGCTATTGTGAACCACCCATTGCTGTACGTCCATGATCTCCGTGAGCGCGATATATCCACTGCTGGATGAAGATCTCCCCCACCCCTTACCTCCCCCTTACCCCGCCTTACCCCCCCCCCCCCTTTACGCCGCGACCGTCGCCTACCTCGAATGGTGCTTTGTTAACAAGACAAAGAGCCCCCGTGTAGCCTGTTACAGACTGTCGGGGCAAGTGCTGTGAGCGAGCACCTATGAAGGCCGGCACGGCACACGAGGGGGGGGAGGCGTGCCCACAACCACGCCCGGCCGCCTTTGTCTTCCCAGTGCTGTAACACACCGCACCGGGTACTCGGGACCCGTTCAGATATCCGTCACTGGTGTTCGGCCGTGAGCGGGAATCGAACTCGGGTCGCCGGGTAGCGCGCCGCAGAGCGCTCACCACTCAGCACCAATCCCGCGTGGCACGTGCACCAGCTGACTCCATCGCTCCGTCTCAGCGTTGGATGTCCTGCCGGGCACCATCATCAGCCTTGCGAGCGATTATTTAATCCCCCCCCCCCCCAACATGACCGGATTCTCCGGAATATAAGACGCACTTTGATCCTGTTCGGTATTGTAGAGCGAAAGTTTGGGTTTGCGTCTTATAATCCGGTAGCTGTGTGTGCTTGTGTGAGACTTGGATGTGGATTAAACATTTTTTGTATTAAACTATTCGCCTAGCTCATGTATATGCCATGAAGCAGGACTATTGTCCGAAACGTCGGCGTTATTGACTAACGTGTCGCGTTTCTTGTTAATTGTGAATGTGCACCGCTGCCGAGATTGGCACCGCTGCCGAGATTGGCATCTCGTCATTTTCTCCAGTGGCCGATTGTATCACTCCATCTCCGCGAGGAACGGATTCCCTCCCTCCCTCCCAGTGCGATGGGATCCAACTCAGCCCCCCAAAATGTGCGGAATCTCGCTCTCCACAAGTTCAGCCACAATGTGTCTAGGTGAATCTTTATTTTGTAAACCATACCCACACGCTCTGCCCATCACCAAACCACGCGGGAAGCCGTCACTGCCAAGCTCAGCCTGGTGAGCGCTTGGTGATTGGTGCAATGTGAACTCGTAGACTTGATTTGAGGGGCGCCACGGTGGTTGTGACGTCAACTACCTCGCCAGGTGTGCAGGAGGGCACGGGTTCGATCCCCATCCTGACGCCTGCTGCTGCTGTATATTTGGAGTTTGCGTGTCTCTCTCTCCCCGTGGTCGCGTGGATTTTTTTTTCCGGGTCCCCCGGTTTTTCCCTCCACATTTAGAAACATCACGATTATTATTTGGCTGCTTTAAATTTCCACATGATTGTCCACTTTGTTCAGCTATCATTTGTGGCCAGGTGGCTTCTGAAAAACAAGTTAATGCCACAGTGGGCTTTGCCTGGTAGGATGGGGGTGGTTTAGTTTCATTTGTTTGTGTTTGGGCGATTTGTTAACCTTTCCTGTCGTGTTTGTGTCCTCTTTGTTGTTGTCACGTTCTCACCCGCCCTACTGGACATCGATAAAAATAGATTTATAGCTCATAGGATTCCTCCAGTACAAATATGCCAATTCTGAATTGGTGACCACCACTAACAACGTTTATCGGCGGAAAATGGGGTCACGTGGTGGGCAGCAGCGGGTGGTGCAGCGAAATCTCTTATATTGTATTCGACCCACCTGCACACGAACTGACCCACGTGGTGAAGTATGGTCAAACTACCCCCACGGTGTACGAGGCCCTCATCCAGCAGTGGATTGACACTGTACATGAAGATGATGCTAGCCAAGCATTATTGAATACGGGGGCCAATGTTAGGCAAACTCGCCCAACGGTGTTGTGTGGTTAGTGATTACATATTAATGCGGTGCTGTCTGTTTGTTAAGTCCAGTGCTAAGGACTCAAAAGAGTGCACATTAGCAGGCGTCATCCAGAATTGTAAAGTCTGCATGCTCGCAAACCCAGCGCAGTGATATTTGACTTCCTTCTAAACCCAGAACTATGGACTCAACAGCTGAGATGCAATCCAGTCCGATGACACAGGTGTACAGCCAAAATGCTTCCGAAATGAATGTAGTCCAACTTTACTAATTCTGGGTCACTGAGAATGAAAATGATACTTACAATTGTTGATTGGCTCTAGTTTTCAAGCTATGCTACTGATTCTAAATTTGAAGCGTTCGTGACTGAAAGGATTCATACTCTTAGGTTTTTTCGGTAAAGTCACGTAGGTAAAAATAAATAATACAAATTATAGAAATAATAATATAAATAAAATTATTAATCACGACGTTTCGGAGGCATCACAAGTCTCCGTCATCAGGTGGGACCGTCACAGCTAAATTGACTGTATCAAGTAAATTTGATACAGGAATTTTAATTATTTATTTTCTATTTTTCTACGTGACTTTACCGAAACAACCTACGCCTATGCTACTGGGTCAGTATATACGACTCTTGACTTGGGAATGGCGGAGGATAAGTGAGTTATACAGGGAAGGCATCGCAATTTAAACCAGAAATTACTAAAGTACATCTTTGACTAGATCTATGAATACATCTATGACTAGTTTTGGACAGTACTTGATTTTTGAGCAAAACAATGAATGACGCAATCTGAACCTGGTATTGCTCATACACGATATGAATTGTATCGTGTTATTCCTATAAGTCATGGATAATGCAATCATAACTAGGCTTACATCCCTCTGCTGAACAAATTGCCCTATATCAGCTCTAGAAATCATGCAGTGTCGTGCTCTCTTATTTGTCAGTGTTTGATTTTGCAAAGGGACACATTTTTGTTTAGCCAAAGTGAGCAGAGATGCCTCGTACTTGTGTGAACAAAGCGGGTAACTTCTGCTATGTTTGTGGTGAAGTGATTTTTGCATCACAAAAGCGCAGCATAATCACTATGGTTAAGAAAGCCGATCACATTTACTTTGGCTGCAAAATTGGAGATCAGGATAAGATGTGGGCCCCACAGATATGCTGCAACACTTGTGCAACAAATCTTCACCAGTGATTGAACAGGAAAAGGTAATCTATGCTTTTTGAAGTGCCAATGATTTGGAGAGAGCCAACAGATCATATCAAGAAAAAGTGGACTGTGCATTATCTAAACATTCCATCAGCTATACGCCCAGTACCCCACGGAGAAGGACTGCCGGTTCCTGATGCACCAGAATAATTCTCACTTGAGTCAGACGAGGAAGAGGATGAAACTTCTGGTCCTAAACCATCAAGGTCACATGACCCAGATATTCTCCCATCCTTCTCCTCTGAACCACACATCATAACAGAAGGTGAACTGACAGACCTTGTCAGGGATTTGGAACTACCCAAGAGCAAGGCAGAGCTGTTGGGCTCCAGACTGCAGCAGTGGAATCTCCTGGCAGGTGATGTTAGGGTTTCCATGTTCCATGACCATCAAAAGGATCTTGGCCCATTCTTCTTCATGAAAGGTGATCTTGTAGCCTGCAACAACATCGATGGTGTGATGGCAGCCCTCAACATTGTTCATGATCCAGATGAGTGGAGACTGTTCATTGATTCATCGAAGATGAGTCTTAAAGCTGTTTTGCTGCATAATGGCAATGTTTGCCATCAATTCCAGTTGGTCATGCAGTCCATATGAAGGAAACCTATGACAACATGAAACAACGTTTGAGGTGCATAAACTTTGACCAACATCAGTGGCAGCTTTGTGGTGATTTGAAGGTTGTTGCTCTCTTGCTTGGTCTGCAGACTGGACACACAAAGTACTGCTGCTGTTTTATCTGCGAATGGGATAGTCGTGCGAGAGATTCCCGCTACATCAAGACAGATTGGCCACTCCGACAGTCATTGGAGCCTGGGAGAAAACTTGTTCAGCATCCACCACTTGGTGAATCAAGGAGGATTTTATTACCACCCTTACACATGAAGCTGGGTCTGATGAAGAACTTTGTCAAAGCCATGGACAAAACACAAGCAGCTTTCAAGTACCTCCGTGGAAAATGTCCAAGGTTAAGTGAAGCTAAGATAAAGGAAGGTGTCTTTGTCAGTCCTCAGATTCGTGAACTTCTTCGAGATGATGCATTTGACAGTGCACTGTGTGGCGAGGAAAATACGGCATGGAAAGCCTTTCAATTAGTGGCAATACATTTTCTCAGAAACAACAAGGCAGACAACTACAGGGAGTTGGTGTAAAACCTCCTCAAGGCATACAAAAGCCTTGGTTGCAACATGTCACTAAAGAAAAATGTTTTTCTCTCTCATCTAGATTTATTCCCACCGAACTGCGGAGCAGCGAGCGACGAGCGTGGCGAGCGATGTCACCAGGACATTGCGACAACGGAGAAACGCTATCAGGGCAAATGGAGCCCATCAATGCTTGTAGACTATTGCTGGACAGTGACAAGAGATGCTCCATTTAATGAATACAAGAGACAAGCCAAGAAGCGCCGAGTAGACACTGAATAAGGACTAGACTATGCACTTATGTATACATTATAGTTGTTTGCCTTGTGTTTCATGATACATTTTATCTATATAACCCTTTTGCTGATTTGTGTTACATGAACAGGCCAGGTGACATGTTACCATGTAAAGCAACCATAAACACATAAAAAGGCCTAGGTTTACAATTTACGAGTAAAACTCTACTACCTATACAATATATATAGACGTAAAATGTAAAAACTTGAATATCTTGGGAACAGTAGCCAATCAGTTGTTATAATTGTCATATTTGAATTCAGCACGTAAAACTCCATAATAAACAGCACATTTAATCTCTGAAGCAGACGATGTCTAAAAAATTGTAGGCCAGTGTTATATGAAACGTCTCACCTATCCCTGTGAAATCTGACAGCGTGCATACAGTCTCTGATTCAAAGCCAGGGTTCACGAAACCAGTGCCTTGGAACCTTTCATATCGAGGGCTGTGTGAAGGCCAGTCAAGGCCGGATCCTCTTGGCTGATGTCAGTTGTTGATATCCGCTTCCTCGTGTTGCTGCGCTTATGTCCACGCTATTGCTCTCGTAATACCGGTGACCCAAGTCACTCCTGTGAATGATCTCTCGAATTCTCACCGACTGAAACGAAACTTGCCAGTCCTCAGACAGGCCACACCCCTGAGGCCAAGCATTGAGACCTGAGGTGTTCTTGAGGCCAAGAACTGGGCAACAGGGCCCACGGATGCATGCCTCCAGACCTGGAACAACACTCCCTGTCTTCCCCAGTGCTGCGGTCGGATTGCATGGTAACGTTTACTCGGTTCTATGGATTCCGGCCGAGGGTGGTGGCACGCATGCCCGTGACTGAGCACTTGGTAGGAAAATGGGAAGATTGTGCCATCACTGAGCTCCTAGCACGCATGTATGCTGAATTTCTTTCGCGCCGTACGTAGCCAGCCGTGCTTATTGGACAAGAGACTTAAGACAAAAAGCAGTTCTAACAAAATAAGTTTAGATTTAAAAGTGCATAGCTCAGAGTGGCTTCCGAATAGCAGAAGGAAGAGTGTTCCAGACGGTTGCAAAAGCGCATCTGAAAGCGCGCGATGCGGTGACCATCTTTGTTCGATGGCTAGCGAAAACCCACCGCCGTGAGGATGACCGGAGTGTGAGTGATGGTTTATGCTCCTTGAAGAGATCAGCAAAGTATTGTGGTTAATTCGTAGCAAGCACTTTGTGTGTATTAAGCGTGACCTTACGATGTATCCGTTCGGCAACTGGAAGCCAATGCAGCTCAGCGAGCACTGGCCGGACACGGTGTCGGATCTTGCGGTACCCCTCACGACACGTGCCACCATGCCGTAGGTGTTGTTTTGGCCAGGGAAAGCGTGGCTATGGGTCCACTGTCTGTCTCTGCCCATCAGCCTGTCCTGTCCATTCGTCTGGCACTTCGTCCGTCCATCTCTCTGAGTGTGTCTCATTGGTCCATCCGTCTGTCTGTTGCTTTCAGGGGGAGCGGGGTACTGCTGGAGGGAACCCTTGGAGAGATTTCCCGTCACGTGATGCTGGATTCTGCTGGAGCCAAGGTGCGTGGCGGTTCGCTGGTGATGACCAGTGGTGCAATTGCGATGATCGCCAGGTTACAATAATGAGAATAGTCCTCTACCAAATAGCGTTTCGTCGAGGAGCGAGACTAAATTTAGAAAGTATGAAAAAAATGCTAAATGACGTGATTATATTTAAGCAGTTATCGGCGCATTCATCATTCATCAGCTGGGTCTGTCCCGGACACTGAAATGAAGCCCTGGTTGAGTTGGAGTTTGGCTCCACAGAACCGGAGATCAACAACATCATTATGGAGAGGAGGCCTTAATCCAGCAGAGAAAGCATGCCCGTGGTAGAACGTGGCAAAACTGGAGTGGTTTAAACTAAGGCCTGCATATGTGTGCGAGTCTCCGGCTGGGGCGTAGTTTTGGCCACCCACCCCCTCGTGCGCCGTGCTTGGCCTCCATAGGTACTGTTACTTGCTACTAACAGCACTTGCCCCAGCACCCTGTCCGAGGCTACACGGGCTCCCTGTGTCTGTTGTCTCCGCTGTGCAGCATCGCTACTCGGTGCTGCACGTGCGGCCGGAGCGAGCCCACCGGCGGCGCTGGGACGCCGGCGGCCGCGAGCTGGAGCCCAACTTCGGCGAGACTCGGCTCGTCAGCACGGGGCACCTCTTCTCCTCCTACAGTGCGGACGAGCACAACAAAGACAAAGATCCCCCGTGTAGCCTTTAACAGACTGTTGGGGCAAGCGCTGTTAGTCGCGAGCAGCGCCTGTGAGCGCAGGCACGGCGCTCCAGGCGGCAGGTGACCGGCACCGCGCCCGACCGCCTTCGTCTCCCCAGTGCTGATGTTTTATACACCGTGCCAGGTGCTGATTTGAGGTTGAGTCGATCTAGGGAAGGCCCAGGCCCCGTTCAAATTCTATAATCGTCACTGGTGTTGGTCGTGAGCGGGGAATCGAACTTGGGTCGTCGGGTGCGTAGCACAGTGTGTGAACCGCTGCACAAGCGCTCGCACACACACAAAGATAAAGATCCCCCATGTAGCCTTAACAGACTGTAGGGGCAAGTGCTGTCAGCGAGCACCTACGAAGGCCGGCATGACGTACCCTTATTCCTACCGTCGCCCCAACCGTGCAGAGTGCGAGGCCAAGGGAGAGACGGACCGCCTGTCGGAGAGCGAGCTGCGGCGCGCGGTGGCCCAGGCGAAGCTGGACTCTGTGGTGGGACGGCACGGCCCCCAGGGGACCCTGCCCTTCTGGGTGGCCGAGGACGACATGGACAAAACAGAGCTGGAGCTGGGAGACCGGATCCGCATCAAGACACGCGGGGACTCGCCATTCGTGTGTGCGTGAGCTGTTTCGTCTTGGTCTGGCCCGGCGTGTCGTGCGCTGTGGCGTGAGTGGCCCACGTGGTACCCAGCGGGGACGAACCTGCCCGGGTGCAGTGTGCACGTGGCGCTCGGTCAGTCCCGCAGACCGCGTTGACGGCGGTTGCAATTTACGTCGCGTCGAAATGCAACTCCAGCTGAGGCCACTCTATAAATGAGAGGGACCACAGCGGGGGGCGGAAGGCTGGCAAGAAACATTCACGGAGAGTGACGCTCCAATGTCAATCAAGACGTGCACATCAACAGTGCACGGTGCTAGGAGGGGATCGGTGACATCGCACGTGGCCTTCACGGCCCACGTGATGATTTATTCAAATTCGTATTCATGAGGTGACAATCGTGGAAATGACTGCAACATGAAAGCGAGAGGAATACAGTCGCGGCTCACAGTGGGCAGGGCGTCTTGTATCTTTCTGTGTCGTCTCCTCGCCCTCTACGTTCTCAGTCTTTGCCGTATCTCTCTATTCCTCCTCCTCCTTGCACTCAATCCACGCTGTCGCTCTCTCTTCTCGCCCCCCTTCACTGGAACAAACTTCCCCTCCACATTAAGCGGTCACCTTGGTTGACTCGTTTCCGCTCCGCACTAAAAATGTACTTATTGTTCCCGAGCTCACCCCACGACCCCCCCTTAATCCCCCCTCATAACCACCACCGTTGCTGTTCCCTCTTCATATGCTCATGACATGGCCATCACTCATTCACCCCATTCATCATTTACCGTCATCAATTTCACTTTCACCGAATTCACGCGATGTCAGATTCACCCCCGTTGCTTCCTCTCATCTCTTGTATTCACCTCATCCACACCGTCACATTCACATCTTGTACCGTTCTTTATTCTCTGTAAAGCGCCTCGATTAAGGCGCGAGATAAATGACGTGAAGATGAGATGAATGAGACCGCACCAAATCCACTGTCCTCCACAACTTTCCAACAGTTTTGTTTGAAGGAGACGTCCATTTCGAGGCTGTATTGTATCCCTCTCCGAACCAACCACGCACGCTTGATGAAATTCTAGAAACGAGATCTTCTTGTGAGGGACTCGAGCAAGATATGAACCCGTTAAAAAGAGTACCTGGCGAGAGGGTTGATGGCCATTGTAAATAGAACAGCAGCAGCTAAAACAAGACTGAAATAGAAAAGTACTATTGTTTATTTGACCAGGTAAGGTCCACTGAGTTGTGTAGCTCTTTTTCAGAAGCACCTTGGCTACAAATGATAACGAATTGGCTCAATACGTGGACATTTATAGCAGCCAAATACTCTAAACGCATGCTTCTAAATGTGGAGGGAAAAACCAAAGACCCAGAGGACTTGGAGAAAAAATCCACGCAACCACGGGGAGAACATAAAAACTTCAAATTTTCAGGTGTCAGGATTGAACCCATGTCCTCTTGCATAAGAGGCGAGGAAGTTAACATCTCAAAGGCAGTGAAGGTCACATGAAAATATTACCGATGCTGTTCGACCACCACGGTGCAGTTTAATGTACAAAGTTTGGTTGAAATCGGAGCGTCACTAACTGTAAATGTGCCTTGTGAGAGGGGCGGGTGATCAGGGCACAGAGACATGGGAGAGAGAGAACAGAGAGAGAGAGCAACACCACGGCACAGCTTGGGATCAAGCAACCGGGACCCGGCGCTGATGACGACCCGCGGGGTGTCGCCAGCGCAGCACCAACAGCCCAGGGGCTGATGGGGTGACATCGTTTGGAGAGCTTTCAAAAGCCAACATCCTCAACAGTTCGTTAGAAACCCACGGCGCGTAAACTCGCGTACGATGTCGGTTCATCTCGCCTCGTCGCCCACACGACCCTCACCCCGTTCTCCCCCCCCCCCCCGGCTTGCCGCCCGAGCAGTCTCGCTGGCGCGCGTCGACGCGGGGACGGTGACGCGCTGCAACTTTGCGGGCGACGCGGCGGCGGGCGCCTCGTGGACCGACAAGATCCTGGGCGTCAAGTCCGGCCTGGACGCTCCGCCGCCCGGCGCCGGCGGAGACGGGGAGGGGGCGGCTGACGACGAGTGGGTGAGCGGCGCGCGTCTCTGGAACGGCGGCGTGGGGAGGAGACGCGTACGTTGAACTCCTCTCGCACCATACGGAGCCAGCCGCGCGAATCGGAGACGGAGCGATGGACGGCGCTCTGTTTTCCCACCGTTGGTCCCCGGAGCCAATCTGCGGGGCCGTGTTGGGCTTCCTACGCCGAGGGGTGCAGGTCCACTGGACAAACCCCGAGGATTGACGACATTCTTGGTGATGGGTAGTCAATCCCGATTGAGATTTATAATAGTAAAAATATACAGCCCATTGTCACTACACTGCTGGATTAAGGCCTCCCCATGATGTTTCCATCCCGGGGCTTGTTTGACCATGACCTTATTTTGCACCAGACGTTACTGACCGTGCTAATGGCAGGTGCAGGTTTAGGGCAAGTTGGTGAAGGCAGGGTGGGGATGGAGAAGTGGTTCGGCATCATTCGAAAGGGCAGGAATCGGACCCAAGTCGCCGGTTTCATGTCAAATTCAGGAATGACGCACCAAGTCCAGACTTCTCTATCAGGAGGATCCTACATTGGGATGTTGGGCCAATTCCTCTTTGAATCGTATTTCCCACGTGGAAAGAAACCAGAGCATCAGAGAATGTGTGCAACCACCACCAAAACTAAATCTCTCGTCGTGTGTGCGCGTTCCAGGACTGACCTCGCCGTCGCTACTCAAAGGAGATGGAAGTGAACGCCACATTACTCTTCTCCATCAGAAGTTTCCAAGTGTCTCCTCTTCCACGAATCTTCCCGGCTCACCATGCTGCCAGGGATTCAAGGTGGCCTCCTGGAAGACGGTGGCTTTTGTGGCATCTGGCGGCAACCACAGCATCAGGGAATGTTTGTCCATTGTAGGAACCGTCACATTCTCGCCGACACCAGGGCATGCGCACTGGGTTCAAATCACCATCTCCCGACCCTCCCTGCTGTAATCCCAACATGTAAACTATGCACGCGCGTTTTTTTTAAGCTACTTTGTCAAAATTAATATTGAGTTGCATTTTGTTGCGATAAATAAAAATATCAACCATTCCAAACCATTGTTTTGTGCTCACAAATCTCTTGCGGATATCTTCACGTGGAATAAAATACCTCGACACCCGAGATCAAGTTTGTAAAGGCTTTATCGCAATTGTATTCTAATGACCTTTGCGTTGTGGAGTCTACAAACACTTTGGTTCCTTGCAGGACGATGCCGAGTAGCGTTCTACTCGTTGGTTTTGGGGGGGGGGGGGGGATCTGTTAAAAATGCGGACGTGCTGTGGTGAGATGGAGCACAAGTTGGGAGGTGCGAAGCAAACGAACCGCTGAAGTCTTCATGAACGGGGCGCCCCGCCCGTAGGTGGACAAAAAACAGTGAAGAAAAACGCAACTCCAGTGCACGGCACACGAAGCAACACGCGTGGCGGGGGAGCGTCGTGTGCGCGACCGCCGACAAGACTCCAAACGAGACGGGGTGATTCACCACGCCCGGCTGCTACCGAGCAATATGAATGCATTGTGAAGGTGGACCGAGTGCGTTTCCACAGGACAGGGGGATCCATTTATAGATACCATTGATTTCTCGTGACCTTGCTGCTTGAGGAACTTATTTCGCACGGTAGACATCCAACTGTGCTAATCGGTGCGGGGGAAGGACAACAAAGGAAATACAAAAAGCGGTTCTGAAGAAATGAGTTTGTCAATCGAGATGATGATGATTTAAAAGTGCATAGCTCCAGTGGCTTCCTAATATCGGAAGGAAGAGCGTTCCAGACGGCCGCAGAAGTGCATCTGAAACGGCACGATGCAGTGACCGTCTTTGTTCGATGGCGAGCCAAAAGCCACCACTGCGAGGATGACCGAGGTTTGCGTGATGATTTATGCTCCTTGAGATTGGCGACGTATTGTGGTTAATTTGTGGTTAATGATTGCGACCTTATTCTGCATTCATTCGGCTACAGGAAGCCCTTCTCAACGGGCGACGTGGAAGCGATGGCTCCATGTTAGAGGGGTGTTTAAGGATTGAGGATGGTGGTAAAACTTGTAGTCTTTGAAATTATATGTTCTCTGTGTCATTGCCTCCGTTATTTTAGTGTGGTATCTATTAATGGATCCCCCTGTACAGCGAGACAGCAGTTGGGTTGAATTAGCCTCTGGTAGAAACTCTCTCCAGGGCCTGGCTACAGAATCCACAACCACCAACTCCACAGCCATCCCACTTCACAGAAGACGACGCAAGTGTTCATTTTTCCCACGATGCACTCCGTTACCCAGAATGCCACTGACAATTTATGGCCAACAAATCACAATGCCAAAAACAACTTAAAGCTATAACCAAAATGACACCAAAAAAAACATAAGCAAAAAATCCTGAAGCCATATTACAATAATTAGTCACAAAATAAACTTTCAATCCCTAAGTACCGCAAAAATTTATATTGTATTGCCTCTTCCACTTTTATAATACTCATTTTGTAAATGCAGGAACGAAAACACAGAATACAAGGACAAGAAGCCCACTGGCTCTATGGACCAGGATTGCGAAGCTCGAGACGCATACCCGGCTGGGGACAGGGGGAGTATTCTGTACTCTCAGCCTGACTTTTGCGGGCCAGTCGTAGTGAGAAATAACTGGTTTTCTGAAAAATACCGCTTGCAGCCAATCAGTGGCCCAAACTAAATCCCAAGACCTCACCCCAACCATCATTTTATCCGTACATGATTATGGCGGATCAGTTAATACACCGATTTCCGTACCCCGCGAGTCTCGAAATCTAATTGCGATTGGCTGCACAAATATGTTTTTAGGGAAAGCAGTGTTTTTATCTACACAGTTCGTGCGTGTGCAGTGCAAGGACTCCCACACAGGGACATCGGCCAAGGCTCCTACTCCACCCTGGGATAATCGCACTACCACAGCGACAAATAAAGGAGGCGTGCGAAGCCGCAGCCAGAACCGTCCTTAACCACGGAATCTGTCGTGTTAGGAAGCGCATGCGAAAGGGGGGAACGCACAATATTGTAAAGGTGTGACCGGCACGCTCCCTGGCTTTTTGGGCCATAAGCCAGGACTTCTCTTTATTAGGCATGTAACGATTCGTAGATTAAAATGAAATTTTACACTCGTGATAGACGCCTGGAACCGCGAGTGTACTCATCAATTAACGATGTAGCCAAATTATATGCGAATTTTACCTTCAGACTCATGGAATGAAATATAACATGAGACAGAACGTACGAGACAGACGCTACACACAAGACAGGAAACAGAACAAACTGAAGTCAGTTCATGATTTGTGACCTCCACTTCATGATGAATCAACAAATCGTGAAAGGGGTGAAATTGTTACATGCCTAGAAGCTAATGTTCAAGCGTAATGCAAGCCTCTACACATTCCCCCCCCCCCCGGGAATCGGCCTGGCCGTGGGCTCATTGCGGCGGCCACCAGCAGGAGAGCTCTGACACAGCGGTGGGGCGTGGGGTTCCCACGGCGAGCCGAACCTGCTTCAGCGGGTGCCCAGAGCCGGTTTATCACGCACACAAGAAATATGCAAATGTGACCAATTGAAAATCCCAAACTTGAGTCGTCGAAGTCTTAAGGAGCTCGGAATTTCAAACTGGCAGCCAGCTGGTCACGTGGTCCGTGAAGGTTCTTGTAGTGGACTGCCAGAGCGAAGGGCCCACTGAGAGAGATAAGATAGTGAGATGACATTGAGAAAACACCAATGGATGAGATACCTAGGGACGTGAGGGATATGGATCGGTGGCCACACGTACAGAATATCACGTCGTGACGTCACGTGTCCTACCATATGATGTTACGTGACCCATCGGCACACGGCAATTGTTTCATGTGGCCCGCTGGAAAGTAGAGCTACAAAAGACCGACAACAAGAGTTGTACTGCTTCCTGGCACACAAAGGAGCCTCAGTGATCATCGCTGCCTGCTCGTTTAAAGAGGCGGCCTTCTTAACCGAGCACGATTCCCAAGCACGATGCACATCTTCCATGAGTCACGATTCCTGTTCATATTGAGTTGTACCCAGTGCAAGTACAACGCTCGTTCATCAACCGATCAACTTGCCCGATTCCCGTCCGCAGCACGTGTATAAAATACTAAGCAAAAAAATCGAAAGGCGAAAACACACAACATGCGTGGCTACATTTTAAACCCATACATCTCAAAACACAGGCGCACTGGAGACAAAAAAACCCAGATACCCCCCACAACAACCGATGTCCATTGCGAGTGAGGGCCATGCGTGTGATGCATTGTGGGACAATAACTACCGACAGCGCCCGCCGATCAGAAGCTTCAGATCCCGTGCTCGTCACATTTGCACAGTTCACAAAAGTATTCCTTGTACTTTTTTCCCACAACTACTTAATCGTTTCAACATTCAGCAGTCGAGGAATAACTTACTGAAGCAACACAGGTACTGTTTTTTTTGTTGCAGAAAAAAAATGCCGCCTAAAACAAGTAGAAAGACAAACATAATTTCATTAGTATCGTCTTCAGTGATTGTACTCTTATAAATATTAAACAAAAGTGAGTGCACCCAACACTGACACGCGTTTTTTTGTAAAGAACCAATCGTTCAGGACAAATTATAGATCCTATGTTTGTATCACTAAAGCAGCTCCCCTGCACATATTGAAATTAACTCATTGGGGTGTTTCTCTTTTGGACTGGAAACCCAAGGTCACACGAGTGACCATCCTCGCTAAAGATACTAGTGAGGGTTCAACGGGGGGCACCGGAGGTCCATCAGCTCCATGCGAACACGAAAGCTCGAGTTCTTCAAATGTCCAAAGCGAGGACCGGCTGGCTTCAACATTCGGACGCTCCTCCCGGCGAACCGGGCGTTAAAACGAGCCGAGACCATCGCTCGCCAACGGGGACCTGATAGACCCCCCGCCGCTCCCCCCGAAGGTTTCATGGCCACACGACGACCGTTTCCACACTCGTGGTACCGCTCTGGTTGTCATTTTTATTTTGTTGCAGCTAAGAAATTTTCATTTTTTAGTTCCCTTTTCTACCCCCCCACCCCCCACCACTCCCAGGTGGCGGTACTGTCAACAACAAAACAGTTTTACTGAAAAAGTGGGAGCATTTTTACCCAATCTTGCCAGTGCACAAGGCCACATCTCAACGCTTCGAGAGCGTGCGGACGTCGTTTCGTGGAACCGCTGACCCCGGGAGCGCCGCCATCACTTTCCAATAACAGGCGCATGCGGGTCGGTGGGGAGGCAAGGGGTGTGTGGAAGTTGGTGTTTCTATCTTTCTTAGAAATCGTTTGCAAAAAAAAATAAAGACACGTGCCATTTCCAACACCAGCCTTGGGGTTGCAAGTTTAACCAAAAAACTAAAACAACAGACACGGCGACATTTGGATGAAAACCCACGTCAAATCTTTCCAAGGCAATACACGTGCGTGCACTTTCTGCATCGCGTGCATTGTGTGCCCCCCCACCCCAACTGCTTTAACAACCAACGCCCAAATATGTATCGCGCGCACAGTATTAGCAATAACCATCATTGTTAAAATATGCGCGTCATAAAATAAAGGATTTTTTTTTTGCACTTTGCTAAACCACGGGCGGAGTTCCTGTATTATACAGCCTGTGCATACTTGTCGAATATAACGTGTTTATTGTATACGAGAGCTACATATATCGTATAATTCACAAGTTCTCTGTCCATGTCACGCTCTATCTCCCAAACGTCACGTCGGACACAAAACATTTATGAAACAAACAAAAAACCGTCCTCTTGCCGAGGTCACTTCCGGAACACCGTCCCCGCCATTCCCAACACTCTGACCCCGAACTGTCCGGGAGAAAACCTCGGAACGGTCAACAGGCCGCTGTTTTCAAAAGATGGTGGTCATCGCCAGGCGCCTCGCGCCACGGTAAGTTCTCGCCTAACGCGCATTAGCTCGACAAGGCACTCCTCGGGATCGCATCCACTGCGCAGGACGAGGAATTACGACTGTACATTGCTCACTCCTCATGCAATTCATTAATCATGGCCGCTTGCAAGTAGCCCAGCAGGTACCATTGGGAAACGACTGCACCTCCGAGCTGAGATTTCTGTCACACGAATGGACCGGGGTTTGTAATAATGGACGTGTCAAAGGGAGGCATTTTTTCCCATTTCCCCGATTCACGCCTTACAACTCATCGCATCTTTCTGTGAAGGATTTCACCATTAAAATCTTCTCCGAGAAGGCAAACGACTTGATTCGCTTAATCAAGTCACACCCCACCCCCCTCAACGTAGTCGACCGCCAAGTCACGTCAGTGCTTTAGCGAGTGCGAATTCTGCTCACAGCAATGCTCACGACAAATTACATCCCTTGCACAATATTAACGCAAAGCAACTTTTAGATTTAGAGGCCGATTAGAACGGAAGTTAAACGAAATCCACATCGCTCGCGCCGCACTAAAGCTGTACCCCCCCCCCCACGCAAACGTGCGGGCTAGTATACAATAGGACGCCATCACTAACAGCGGACAACAAACCTGCTGTTATCGGACGCATGGAGCCGGACATTTATACGGACATTTGTAGCAAATGTCTGTGGCTACATCCGTAGGGAAGCTCGGGGGACACCTGTGTGGTAGGAGGCAGAAACTCGGTGCTCACCGACAACTCCCTCTCTCTCTCCACCCATGTATCTTGCTCATGCCCCCCCCCTCGCCCGCACTGTCAAGCAGGTGCCGCCCTGCAAGTGTCCAGAGCTCCCACTCGACTCGCGCCACGGCCACCCGAGACAAAAACTGCGCCGTTCCCACGGTCGCCGCGGCCAACCAACGCACAAAACCACGTCACCTGACGTGCACCGCGTGTGCAGCCTTGACATCGCTACGACACTGTCAGCGCGTGCTCAGCACGCGTTGGACGCACAGCACCGAATGTACATTATTAGTACTACACTGACAGATGTCTTAAAATTCGCATCAGAGTACCGCGGCGAGGCGCTCTCCTGCCCTAATAGTTCACTAGAAGCCAAAGGGGGCCTCAAAAACCAGAAGAGCATTACGCATACCGAGGAGCACGCCATGAGTAACTTCCGCAAGGCGGCATGCCCTGCGCCACACATTTTGCTTTGCAACTTCATCCCAGCGCGGAGTTGACGTGAGCACTCTCTCGCAGGAGGGAAAGGTTACTAACGTAGCTCCGCCACTAACTCGTGGGCCAGAGAGCTATTTACCCCGGAGTGTTTGATCGTCATAATTGGCCGTATTCTGGCCCAAACGTGCAGAGGACAATAGCAGAGCTGACTCGAGAACATCTCCACAGCTCATTTCGGCGGCGTCAAACCCAACGCTCAGAAGATCAGCGAGCGCGACACTACTAAACCCCTGCACCTTGCCCATTCAAAAGGAGTTTTTTTTTATTAGCGTCTCTAAAAGTTCAGGAGCGTTATAATTTTTCACGACGGCCCAGCGATCAGTGCAGAGTTCCCGGGCAGCAACTTGCATTGCAGCTTGCCCCACACCAAATTAATATCTGGAACAAAAAAATAAAAACACGTTAAATCAAATGCAAAGCCGGTGCCCGCTTTGCAAGACCCCTGTAACGAGGTGCACTTCCTGAGTCGCGCGGTGCAGCGAGCCGAGAAGGCACGAGGACCTCCCGGCCCACAAGTCTAAGGGCGGTAAATAAATAAAAGTAAAACAAGCAGCGAGTTAAATCGGGGGGGGGGGGGGGGGGGGGGGGGGGAGAGGGGGCCAAAGTTGAAGAGCATGGTGCTCTAGATTCTGCGAGTTTACAAACCGAAGGTGCGCGATCGACTGCCAGTACAGGAGCCCAGAAATAACAAGCTGCTGGGAGGTAAAGGTCAAACATGGCTTTGTTTATAGGGGAGTGGCAGGAGTCAGTGTTAGCAAATTCCCATCTTCATCACGACCTCTCTCGCGGTTAGCTGGACTCGCCGCAAACGCGCCAGGCAAGCGGCCATCGGTGCGATTGGGCAAGCGCGGCGAGCGAGAGGGAGGCAGGGACGGCGAGGGGCGTGGGGTCGCACCGCAGGCCACGGGCGAGGCCACGGACGTAGTCGTCGCTACCGAGCGGCACAAACGGGGTCGCATCATCGTGGTGGTTGCGGCAGCGTTGGAGGTAGCCGCTTAGTCAGACACTCTATCCCATCCGTGTGGCGGGGGGGGAAAAGCATTTTGCGGCCTCCATTCGACGTCATGTGGGTGCCGCCGCACGTCGGTTGGGTGGCGATCGTCGGACACCTCGAGGGACCGCGGCCACCGCCAAGAGAGCTTCAAGATTGCTCCGTAAGCCACTTGTGCAGCGCCACCCGGTTGGTCGCCAGCCAGCGGCGGTTGGCGCGGATCGTGTCGCGAGCCTCTTTGAAGACGCGAAGGTCTCCGCTGCCGTCGCGCAGGCTCGCGACAAACTCCTCCACCTGCGGCCGGCACGAGGATTAGTGTCGGTCGCCAAATTGTTGGGTTAGACGCATCACGACAGCATGCAGCACGATCACAAATATAACCCGTACAAGTTGCATTGATTGATGATGCAGAACAAGAAACATTTCAAGACTGTTATATTGATTTGTAAACATTTTTGGGTTAGGCCACGTAACGATCGGACCACGCGATGCAGCCAAATTAAATTGTTACGTGGTGTACAAGCGTTTAACGCTCAAGTTATTACCGTTTAAGTTCACGGGTGAGTTAGAAAACAATTCTCACTACCGATTAAATACGTTTCATTAAAAAAAATATTGTCAAGCATCTTCAGAACAAGTTTGAGAACGTCAGGATATGCAGGAAGTCCTTATAAACACGTCACCAAACATGTTATTTTTAAGATAGAAACGTTAGCTGTGTGTTCAAGGCTGTCCGAAATTAAGTCTAAAGCTTCGTTCATGTGAAAACTTTAAATGCATCACTTGATCTGGCTCTCCAGTGAGATCACTGTGACATCTCACCAACAAGTGACAATAAAACCTCAATGGAGCACCTGGCGGTCCTTCTAAAGCATTTTTCCCCCCAAAAACAAAGCTCCAGACTCGCATTACAAAACCTGGCGACCCCGCAGCCGAGACACGTACAGCACCAACAAGATAAGTGCTCTTTGTTGCCAAGTTGCATTGCCCCTTTAACTGCTAAGATACGTGAATGGCACAATGCACGCATTGCAAAGCACTTTCAAGGATGCGCTCACACCGAGGGGACTGGTAACGAGGCTCGTTTGGTGGCAATGGTAAGTGTTTGCGTCTCGACCGCTGCGTTGTCGCGCAACATCCCAGTCGCGTCTGCGTGCAGAGCGCCCACCTGGTCGAGGTGGTACGTGCTGGAGAATCCCGAGGTCACCGACATCACCATGTTAGAGAGCGCAAAGGAGCCCAAGGAAAACCTGCGCAAGCCAGCAGACCCACCCTGGTTATTACCGCGGCGAATATGAAATAAAAATACTACGGCGCCATACACTGCACAGCAGACACCGCCAACCGCAAGAAACGAAGACGTGACGCAAGTCTCTTATCGCTGCAGTTGGGAGGCGAACGTCGACGTCATGTGACCACACCGCCCCGAGCTACCAAGATTGCTCCGCGAGTCGCTTCTGCTCTGGTTTACTCCCACGTGCGGTACTGGTGGTGGTGGTAGTAGTAGTAGTGGTGCTCGTAAACTGCAGTGGCCAGTGGTGGCTAAAGTGAGCGACAGCAATGGAGCTGCTGGTGGTCAAGGGGGGTGACCCTCAGCGGTGGTCATCAAGGCTACGGTGGGAATGGCAACGCCACTGATGGTTGTGGTGGCAATAGTGGCGGCGGCGGTAGAGGTGGTGATAGTGGCATCGGGGGATCACGGCATCGTACTTCTCCACGAGCAGGCCCCATCTCTTCCTCAGGAAGTCCCAGGTGATTAGTCGCCCGGTCCAGGAGGTGCGCGCCATCACGCCCACGATGCGCGGAAGCTCCTGGCTCCTGACCTCAATGCCGGCCGTCGCATTCTCCAGCAGCCTGTAGATGCGCAGGACAATCCCCCACAAATCCACAGCAACTCTTGGTACTGGCGACACCAGCCTGGGTAGCTGCTCGCACACAGCACGTCCCCCGAAAGTCTATACATCAGAACTAAAACTAAAAACTATTTAAACTATTTTGTTTTTGTTTTATCAGGTAAGGCCCACTGAGCTGCATAGCTCTTGTTCAGAAGCGACCTGGCCACAAATGGAAGCTCAAAGTGGTTTTTCACGTGGAAATGTATATCAGCTAAATACTCTAAATTGCACGTTTCTAAATATTGAGGGAAAAACTGGAGGACCCGGAGAAAAATCCAAGCAATCACGGGGAGACTCCAAATATACAGGCGTCAGAATCATGATCGAACCCACGATCTCCTGCATACCAGGGCGAGACACATCTTTGCATGGGGGGTGAATCTGCCTGTGGTTGTGGAATCTTTATTTCGGTGACTGTTGGTTGTGCAATATTTGTCTGTCCGTGGTCGTGGCTTTGCCACACCTCCACTGCTGGTCCTCGTCGCTGGTGCTCGCCAGTGCTTCCAGGTACTTGGCTTGCTCTGTGCTGGACTTGGCTCTGTGGTAGTGCTCCTGCACGCTGTCCCACTTGGACTGGTCTCCGTCACGCACCGCCACCCGCAGCACCGTGCCCATCAGGTCCGCCGACAGGCTGCACGCGCACACAGCGCCACTCCCGTCAACGTCAGCGGAAAAAACTATCCGTTACCAAGCTGAGACGATGTCGCCAAAATGTGCTAGGCTAGGTGCGCTATGCTTGCACTGGGAGTAGCCAAGGATTCAAGCAAGTGACGCAATCGGCTCGAGTCAAATACACAGGGCTGACAGGCGGATGCAACACAAGCACTGTACGCCAACTTGCAATGTTTTAGCCGCCCGACGCTCTCCTCATTGCCCCGCATGTCGCTTCTACGCCTCTTGTTGCTGGCTGCCACCAGTTGACCGGAAGGGTCATTTGTGAGCCTACAAAAAATGCCCTCAAAGCCAGTCCTCACCTATCATACTATCCATGCATCGTACACATAGAATGACACGGCTAACGTGCAGAGTCTTGCCGGCACAGGACTTGAGAAATGTCGTCCCTTGACAAAAAGACGAGGTTTGTGGCGAACGGGAAGGGAACCCGGGGGGGGGGGCCCTCACCTCTCCGAGGCACTCCACTGCTTGTACGCAGCCGTGGCCCTGTTCAGGCACTCTGAGGAGCCATAGGCGCACAGCACCGACACGAGCGCGGCGTCCAGAGAGCGCTGGGGCACCGTGGCCTCCTCGCGAGACTCGTTCCAGGGCAGCTGCGGCAGGAGCTCCTCTCCCAGCTTCACAATGTACTTCTGTCTCACGCACAACAACAACAACAGCAGCAGCAGCAGCCGCCGACATTCACCACTGAGTGGTGGTGACATCACCACGGCGCTTGTGCCGGGCCAGATGCATTTTGAGGCCATGTGAAGTGTGAAAGGGTCGCCGACAGGTTACGGGACAGACCCAGGTGCCACGGATCGACTGACAGAGATGACTGGCGGATGCACCAGCTGTGCCCCATACTTTGCCAACTTGTGACATTTTAGCTGCTCGGCGCTCCGCTCGTTGTTGTGAGCTTTTCTTCTTTGCCCTCCGTTGTTGTTGGAGGGCGACTGCCTCCAACTGTCCAATAGCGTCCTTCACGACCCTCCTACAGATCGATCTTGACACCGCTGGTACCAGTGTTTGGCAAGTCCACTCAGCTCCACATCCTCATAAACCGCATCAGTCCATCTCTTTTTCAACCCGTTTAGCCCCCTCTATCTCGCCAAACAAAAGCTGTTTAGACATGTGGTGGCTGGGCATGCAGGCTATATGACCTAGCCAATGCAACCTTGCCTTTTGGAGGAGCTCACCGATGGGAATGTGTCCAGATCTTTCCAGGATTTGTGAGCTCCTCACACAATCCAGCCTGGTTAAACCCAGGATGGAACGTAGACAGGCCAGTCCGAATGTTTATAACCGGCACAGATGTTCCATTAGAGGGGTCCACGTTTGGAAAGAATAGAGAAGGGAGGGAATGACTGTGGCTGAGAAGACCTGAAGCTTCGTGTGGAGTGACAGACCAGGTAGATTCCACACAGCGTTAGGCAACAAATGTCTCACTCACAGAGACACCTCCGATAAGCACAGTTGGCTACATATGGTGCAAAAGAAGTTCAATATACATACAGAAGCACGACAAAAAGTGTCAACGCTAGAGATAAAGATTCTGCAGAGGGAAATGGTCTGGTTAGGAGCTTGTCATTTGATATATTATTTTCCATTTTTTTATTGCCTTTTCCCCAAATTGTATTCCGCTTGTGCTGCCGGTGTCACGAGACAAAGAATCCCCTTGGGAAGGGTCGCAGAGCAGATCGACTCTCTACGTTCCACTACATCCTCTTAAAGGAATCTAATAAGCGCCTTATCCAAGGCACTTTACACAGAATTAACAATGGTACATATGAATGTAATGGTGGAGATGAGGCGAATGAAATAGATGACAGGGAGCAATGGGGCTAATCTGTGGTGCGTGAATTCGGCGAAAGTTAAATTGATGGCAGTAAATGATGAAGAATGGATTGAATGAATGGGTTAATGAGTGCCAGCCATATGATGAGAATATGAAGACGGAACAGCAACGGTGGGGTGAACTGGGTGAACAATAAGAGAGTTTTGAGGGCGGAGCGGAAACTAGTGCGCGAAGGCGACTGCTTAATGTGGACGGGACGTTTATTCCAGTGAAGGGGGGAGAGAAGAGAAAAAGAGCGAAAGCGTGGATTGGGCGAGAAGAGGAGGAGAGAGACAGCAAAGAGTGAGAATGTAGAGGGCGAGCAGGCGACATAGAAAGATACAAGAGTGGCTTGATATGGTGGGGCAAGGCCATGAAGGGATTTGTAGACCAGAGTGAGGAATTTGAATAGGCAACGGTAATAGATAGGGAGCCAGTGCAGTTGCACGAGGAGGGTCGAGGTATGGGAATGATAGGGAAGGTTGAATATGATGAGCTACTTCTGAGATCCCTTTAAATGATCTCTGGTCCACACAGTAGTTGACCTCAAGGGCTCTACCACTGAAAGTAAATGTTGGCCGGGTGACAGTCAAACCGATATTATCATACTCAATGCTGGCATTTTGTCTAATTAAGCACGAAACTCAAATGTAACGTGACGGATGTTTTTATGAGACACTCAACGGCGACTGGGAAGACACCATCACCTCACTATACTTAAGAATCCTGTTTGATCACAGCAGACTGAATCCTGGACTCAAAGGCAAGATTCACAGCGATGCAAGCTCAGCGCTCGGACCTCTGACCCACAAGATGAGACGCGTCTGTCTTTTTGGTTGTGCCCTGCGTCAAGGGGGGACCCATCACTGCAGAGATCCGGATTAAACTCCCGGTGGCCCAGTAGCTCTGACCTCGTGAGTCCTCCTGCTCCCCTCTCAGGAGATCCCAGCTGCTTCTTCTTGCATTGGCTCCCACAAGCCCGTATCCAAAGTCACCCCGGGCCACTCAATCGCTACTTCATTCAGTTCAGACAGCTCTCTCATTCCACTTCTATTCATCGTAAGGGACAGCCCTCAACCATGTGGACCGGCTGGCTATTGGGCAGCCGCGCAGTTACACGTAGCCGGGGTGGCACACAAACCGAGACGGTGCCAGATCGGCGTGCCGCAGCGCCCCCCACAGAGCCACACACCTGCCCGGTCCAAGGCAACGTGGACAACTGGTGCCCACGGACACTTGTGACACACGGGGGGCTAGCGGAGGTGTAAACGCGGCCAGGTCCCAGTGGATCCCAGCGGCCTGGGTGCGGCCGGTTCCAAACCTGCAGCAGCTGGACGTCATTGGTGTGGGAGGAGAGGATGAGCAGCACTCGGTCCAGGTGCATCAGCGCCACCTTCCACGGAGTGACGTTCGTTTCGTTGGGGAGGAAGGACAGTAGCGGCATGGCATCTTCGACATCTACTCGGCCAATGCTGAAACGCGGGGGGACAAAGAACAAAGCTCCAATGAGAGAGGGGTAGGAACTCGCGTCATTTCCCCTTTAGATATTATGCAACATGAGCAAACATGAACACTTAAGTTATAGCAGCCGATATTATGATCTTTAAGTGGCCTAACAAAAAAAATATATATTTATGAATCTTTATTGACACTGTTAAATAGATGCTCTTTCACCACCTACCTCCTTTTGTCAGAAAAAGTGACTTTAAAAAGTTGATGCTTGTCGATGGAGCTTTATTAACCACTTAGCAATTTTAAAAGTGAACATCAGGCTTTATAATTTACAGTTTTATACGCTCATATTTTCATCGATTCGGTCGTATACTTTACAACCGAGAACCAAATCACCTGGGTGCTCCCGATCTCATCAGATCCCAGAAGCTAAGCCTGGATACCACAGCGTATAAGAAGGGGAGACCACAGCGTATAAGACACCTGATGTCGGCTACTGCGAGAATACGGCGTGAGCAGAAGGCAGTGCAGCAAAAAAAACAATTGTAGGTTCATTAATTCCGTGCTACATCTATGCTCCCTGCCTCCATCAATCCACACTGACCGGCATGGTGAAGTATGGTTAAATAGGCTCCGCAACCCGCAAGAACATAGGGCAGAGGCCCTCAATTGGCAGTGGATCGACAGAAGCCTGGCTGTAGATGGACACCATTTACAACAAGGTGGCAGCTCGGTGTTTTACAAGGGAGACCCCCCCCCTTGGTAATACACTAAAGCAAACATGTGCATAAAAACAGCAAGTGGCATAAACCTAACATTATACAATAACTTTCGGCTAAAATAATAATCACAATATACTTATGTTAAACTTGAGATTTCAGTCGTATGCTTTGTATCGAGCTATAAGGTAGCGTTCAACCATGATAAATGTTAACAATGTTGAACGATCCCTCTGTCATATGTATAGACAAACTGGCCAGGTGGCTCAGTGCAAGGGGCTCACACAACAAACGGTTGCGAGTTCAATCCTTATTTGGGATTGACTCAATCCATCATCGTTCCGGTGTCCATAAAATAGGTACCACTTTGCGTGGGGAAGTCGAGCAGTTTCTCAATGCACATTTCAGCAAGAATTATTTTTTTTTACTGGAAAACCAGCATTTTAACATCTTGTGAAGCCATTTCACACTGGACAGCTGGACAGAGGGGACACCGACGATGATGAATTCACAGCTAGTTTATAGCAGTAAGGGCCCAGCATCATTACCACACCATCGTCCCAGCATATCAACACCACTACCAAAGTTAAAAGAGCTCCCCCCTTGTCGCCTTCAACAGACTGATGAGGAAAGTGCTGTTTGGCAAGCAGCTATGAAGGCCGGCACGGCAAACGAGGGGGCGGGTGGCCAGCACCACGCCGGGGTTGCAATTGTCTCCCCAATGCTTACACCACACCACCAGGTACTCGTATCAGCTGAGGGGACCTAGGGGAGGCCTGGGCCTGGTTTAGATATCCGTCACCAATGTTGGCCGTAAGCGCGAATCAAACTCGGGCCGTCGGGTTCTAAGCGCAGTGTGCCAACCAATGCGCCACCGCTCCCCACAAAAAACTCAAAGCCACGGTGAGAGCCTCTCACTTGAGGAGGTAGAAGACATCATTGAGGAGGTTGGCACGGTCTGCGGGGGAGAGGAAGCTCTTCGAGGTTGTCAGTTTATTGGCGAAGGTGGCCCAGCCGTCCTTCCCGTAGTCCACCACGTAAAAGCCCGTCATGTTCGTGTTGGCCTTTATCCACTCCGTCGACTTCGTCACCGCTATATCTCCTGTTGAAGGGGGGGGGGGGGCGGCAATATAGGTGCATACATGTGGCGTGTGCGAGAGACAGAGCATGAGGGATTTAACAAAAAGTTTGAATCGAAGGGGACATATTTAGGTGGTAGACAGGAAGCCATTCCCACATTTAGAGACCTTTGTACATGTGCAGCGTAACACCCCTACACATGATAATTGGTTCTTTACCCTTCTATCTGGCAACAAAACTGACACCTTTTTGCAAGGAGTCATGTTTGCATAGACCGCAATACCTGCAGTCATAATACAAACAAAAGAACATAACTCTGATAATGTGCACTGTCCTTGAAGTTGATTGGTCCACCCCCGAGACAGCTTTCCTTAGAGCCTAGTCTGACATGGGTTGGACCAGATGACGCCAAAAGGCGCACAACTTTTGGCGTCATCTGGTCCAACCCATGTGAGACTAGGCTCTAAGGAAAGCTGTCTCGGGTGTGGACCAATCAACTTCAAGGACAGTGCACATTATCAGAGTTATGTTCTTTTGTTTGTATTATGACTGCAGGTATTGCGGTCTATGCAAACATGACTCCTTGTAAAAAGGTGTCAGTTTTGTTGCCAGAGAGAAGGGTAAAAAAACAATAATCATATTTTTTCTGGCAAATGAGGTACCCCTACACATGTAGAGCCCTTTGTGAAGAAGCATTGCTGGATGAAGGTCTCCTCCCCCCCCGTAACATTTATAGACCTTTGTACATGTGTAGCGTAACACCCCTACACATGTAGAGCTCTTTGTGAAGAAGCATTGCTGGATGAAGGTCTCCTCCCCCCCGTAACATTTATAGACCTTTGTACATGTGTAGCGTAACACCCCTACACATGTACAGCCCTTTGTGAAGAAGCATTGCTGGATGAAGGTCTCCTCCCCCCCGTAGCGCAGGTTAAATGTGGGCTAGCTGACCATACTTGACCACTCTGGTCAGTCTGGGTTGTGAAGGCGGGGAGAGAGAGAGAGGCAGGATCTGTACAGCAATGAATGTTTCTGTACTGCCCTCTCCGGCCACCACGTATCCCCATAGCCCTATCCTGCCTGGGCATATGGCCATCCACCAAAGCACTATCCAGGCCCCTACCTGCTTAGCTTCCAATGTCTGATCCAGTTGAGGGCATTCCATGCAACGTTTGTTGAAAGTTCTATGTAAGATTTACTGCACAGCTAAAACAAAAAAACACAATGTAGCTGGCATTGGTTAAAATTTATTCAAAATTCTAATTACTCAATTGGGATTTTACACAAAGCAGCATCGCCCCTTCCGTACTGCAAAAGCTTAGGCAGGACCCTCCTGAAAAAAAGTCTTGAGACTCGGCGAGGACTTTCCTGAGTAACACAAGCGTCATGCTGAACTATGGGCCACAGAGCAGAAAAGGGCATGCCACTCACTAAGGCAAGCTTGGGGAAGATAATGGAGCAAGGCCTCAGGATGATATCGGTTTTCGCACCCACGTGGCATGGCTGGTCGTATCGACTGGCCGCAACGGAATAATGAACGCGTCGTTAACAGCCCCCACGCATAAAACAACGATAAAGTGAGTGGCACTGACAGAGCAAACAGAACCTTGTTTATCCGTGATGAGCTTGCTTTGCGAGGTTGAGATGTCGCTGGTGATGAAGGTGAGTGGGATTTGCCACAGGCTGCTGTTCAAACAGACAAGCGTAACAAATGCATGACAACATTGCACACGTAGGGCCCTTTTGGTCAATCCACTGTGGGATGAGGGTTTCCCCCACACCGTGTGGGTCATGGGTGTTATTTAACCGTAGTTTGCCGTCCTGGTTAGTACGGGTTGATTAAGGCATGAAGTGTATATATATATTGGGAGCATGGTACAGCACAACAACGGATTTTTCTGCACTGTGCTCGGATGACAACGTAGCCCCGCAGCAGCCCATGATGCCCGTTCTTGAACGGTGATGACCCATCCAAACGTTATCCAGGCTCAACCTTGCACAGCAGCCCGCGATGTAATGCGTTCTGAGTAATTTGACCTTAGGCGTGACAACTTTACAGAGCAACAAAGCTCTCGCATGCAGGGGCACAGTTGGCGACGTACGGTGCGAAAGTTGTTCAACATACAAACATACAGCACACAAAAAACCAGCTAAGGCCGCGACTGCACAAGAGTGGGTGGGGTGTGGCAATAACCATACGCCGCTGCCGCATGCTGTACGTTTTTACCTTGGTGCGATAGATGCTTCTGCAGACTCGATGGGAAACGGCTCTTGCTTGTATGCGATCTTTAATTCCTTGTTGACGGCGGCGAGCGTGAGCAGCGGGAAGCCGCGTTGCCTCACCCAGGTCCCCATCACCTCCGTCACATTGACGGAGTGCCCCAAATGCTGGTCCGCGCTCTGCGCTCGCACGGCGGATACAGGCGTGCGCACTCGTCAAACAGTCCATATTTATTTTACGTGCCAATATCGCCCTCAATAAAGAAGGCATCAGTGCATGCGGCCGGACCGCGTCTGACACCCAGAGCCACGTCATTTGCGACGGCCAGGTCGCTTCTGGAAAAGAGCGACGTAGCTCAGTGGGGCCTGATCTGGTCAAATAAAAGTCGTTAATAGGAGCTTGGCTGCATCGAGACCGAGATGTCGTCGCGGCCAAAGCCGACATCACCACCACACCTCGCACATTCCCCACCCTCCGCTAGGCGCTGCAGCCGCAGTGTAAGTCAACATGCGACGTCCAAGATCGGTCCTGACAGTACCTCCACCAACTGCTCTTTAGCTCTTCCGCCTGGGATGCCGGAATCGTGGAGACCGCTCCAATGTTCGTCTCGGCAACCGGCCCTCACCCATTCTATACACACGTACCCCCCCCCCCCCGCCAGCTCAACCGCTTTTGCCCAATTCTATCGACAACACTCGCCTGCCATGTTCCTCTTCCAGCCTTGCGCAATGCTTATTACCGCCTTGCCGCCACGTTTCTAGCATCTGTCTCAAGACACCTCTACTCAAATGCCAACACCTCCTTTTGAGTGTTCTTCGTTAGCGCCCAATCTCCCCTACATATAGCACTCCTGCCTCACCAAACACACGGCCACAAGCTATGATAATTTTTTTCGACTGGACAGGATCACTGCATGAGTTAAAGGAAGTTGCAACCAAAAAATTATTACCTTATCTTAAAAGTCATGTCACTAAAACATGCCTAAGAGTAAATTTATTTTTCACCGATTGCATTTCAAACTCACGTTAGACAGCTCGGGACACACAGTTTGGGTAAGTATACACGAGATAAGAGGTGTTGAGGTGTGGCAGCCGGGACAGGGCTCCGAGCACTTAGCCGGGCACTGCTGAGGACCTGGGTTTGAATCCAAGTACCCAACTTTGATTCTTTGCGTGGGTTGAGTCTTCCTGTAAGTTCCAGTCATGACACTTCTCAATGCAACGCCATTCACAACCCCAACCTTGTAAGGACACTGGTTATTAGGTCGGCAGCATGGCCCAGTTCTAACACTTGTGCCCTGCAGCAAGAACGACATGGGTTCCATTCCCGCCTTGGGTGCCTTTCCGTGTCAATGTTCTCTGTTCTCCCCCTGTTCAGCGTAGGTCTCCTCCAGGTTCTCTGGTTTCCACCCAAGAGCTAAACATAAACAATGTGACTGATGTTAGGCTAACATCCCAATGGAGGAGCCTACTGAAATAAAGTACTTAGTCTCAAGTGTCCATTTCCAAGATACATAAGTAATTATTATATTATTATATATGGGGCCGATTCACACGCAAGCTCCTCGATTTGGCTATTACATCACCGTAGATGTATCCCTTAATCTACTGCAACAAAACTCATTACAACGTTCCCACTTTGTTCAGTTTACTATAATATGACGTCCCATTTGTAAAGTCCGAACAAAAACCCCCAAATGACACGTATATCTCCATATATAAAAAAGGCAAAGTTGTGATTATGTGTGTCTGTTCAAATTGTTTAGCGTACTTCCCGACATGCAACAAACTTGAAATTTGCCATGTGAGTACTTTCCAGACTGTACACCAAGCAAAAATTATTAAAATACACTTTTGTTTTTTTTGGGGGGGGGGGGGGGGGAGCAATAATGCATATATTTTTTGCACGGCAAGTAAGCGATATGACGTCATGTGACCCGCGCATGCGGAAGATTAAACGCATTGTAGTGTAGCGGTGAGCGTGCTGCGCTACGAACCCGGCGACCCGAGTTCGATTCCCGCTCATGGCCACCACCGGTGACGATTATTTCAACCGCTCCTGGGCCTCCCCTAGGTCGACTCAGCCTCAAACGAGTAACTGGTGTGGTGTGTGAACATCACCACTGGGGAGACAAAGGCGGCTGGGCGTGGTTAATCCAAGCCCCGGGCGAAGCCGGGTAGTAAAGCTAGTATATGTATATGTTGAACTTCTTGCACGCCGTACATAGCCAATTGTGCTCATCGAAGGTGCGGGACACCATTATAGCCCACGATTCCTGATTTAACATTGTCCTACGAAAGACAAGAGATCACTGTACAACAATTTTCAAACAGGAAAGGCACAACGTGGACTGTGTTCCAACATTACGAGCGTTTCTTTCATCACGGGAAAATGGTTTAGTGTTGTTCACTTACGTCAACTACTTGTGATATTCTCAGAATGTTTCACGCAAGTTTTACCAGCTGATGGGGATGACTGTTAGCCCCGAGTGGATGCTAAAGTGAATCATGTATCCCCACAGGCCATGCCAGACTTAAGTGAACCGAAGCCTTAAAAAAATCCTGTTTCTTACCAAGACTCCTGCCAATGCTGCTGCGGGAGAAACGATAAGAATAATAATGTAATTTACCAATCGAGCAAAAACAGCGCTGAGTAACAAACTCTTTCCCAGGAGGAATTGTCACCTCAGATCAGCACTGTTAGCTATGTACGTTGCAAAAGAAGTTCAACATACATAGGGACGTTTGGAAATGTTCGTTTTTTAAAGAGTGTTTAGCCTGTGGGTAGAATAGCAGAGCACCCAGCAGAGAAAACTCACAAATAGGAGAGGGATAACAACACTCCAATGAACACAGAGAAACTCCTCACAGCCCCACCTACTGTACTGCGAACTCAGGGCCGCCAGCAAGCGCCCCACCATGTCAGGGAGTTCCACAAATCTGCCTGGATCCACCGACTCTCCCCCGGCAAGAGCACCAGATCACGGGCACACACCACCACTTCCACGATTACGGCGCATGGCCAACATCCACGACGTTTATATCTGAACTCGTGGATTTCTCCTAGGTCACCTCGGCCTTAAATAAGTACCTGGTACGGCTACCCACTCCCTCGTGTGCCGTGTCGTCCTTCATAGGTGCTACTCACTAAGAGCACTTGCCCCAAGAGTCTGTTAAGGCTATACGGGGGATCTTTGTCTGTTGCGCTGTAATTGCACTGTGGCTTTGCCGTGCTGCAGGTGCGCATAGTTGGCGGTCGGCTCCCGCACAAGCTCACGGCGTCGTTACGCCGTTAACCCCTTGCGCCTCACCTGCGTCAACGACTCCCAGAGGTCGTCGGTGTGCGCGTTGCTGTAGCTGTGCACGAGCAGGTAGTCCCGTATGCCCTCCACGAAGACGGCGGGCGTCAGAAACGTGCGCAGCATGTTCAGCACGCTCGCCCCCTGCACACGCGCGGGGGGGGGGGGGGGGGCAAGTGACGCGGGTCCGGAGGAACGCTCGTCAGACGACGGTGGAGGGACGCTGAGATTCGACACTCACGAGCGTCGCGAGGATGGGAAAGCAGGCGTGCCTTCAGCTGCGTGTTGTACAGCAGAAAGCAAAAGAATGCAAACCAAGTCGGGATGCGGGCAGTTTAGATGCAGGCAGTTGAAGAGTTTGGATTATCAGTACTTTGTATTACTCTTTGTGATGATTGATCTAAGCAAACTGATGTAAACAATGAAAATAATAAACACATGGATGTGTCTTATTTGCATTTAACAGTTTAATATAATATTCTTTGGTTCTTTCAGTAAAGTCACGTTGATAGAAAAATAATAAATATAAAACAAAAACCACGACGTTTTGATCACAACACAAGCGATCGCCTTCAGGAGGAGGGACGATCACTTAATTTTTATTCACTTAATTTTTATTTTTCTATCTCCGTGACTTTAACGAAAGCACCAAAGAAAATGAATTCCTGCAGTCACAAAAGTTTCAAGTCAAAGTTTGTTATCTTCTCTTTTAAACTGAAGAACTATTTTGCAAGCTTCAATCTTGAAGAACTTTTAGATCTCTTGCAGGCAGCACCGACTCTCTCCCTCCTCGTGTCCCCGCCCTACCACTCCACGCTGCTCTAATGTTCTATGAAGAAGGACCATTGCCTGAAACGTCATCATTTTTTTAATGAGTCGAGGTTTATTCGTTAATTCTGCTCTCATGACACTGATCGTGAGCCTCACACCCCGATCTGTCCACCAGTTGCGGCACAAAGCACATGACACACACACATGGATAAATCGATAAATCAATTAAAATCGATTCGTTAAACGCAAGATATGTGAGTGTGGGAATCAATTACTTACGATTCATACAAATGATGCGTGAATGTTACAATTATGTTGATAGAACAGAACTGTATCCACCTAAATCACCGTTCCTCTAAAGCTACTGTGAACCGAAATAACGGTTAAAAGAATATAGGAAAACCTTGAATTGCGAGCATGCTTCGTTCCAGAAACGTGTTCCAATCCAAAGCACTCGTATATCAAAGCGAATTTACCCATAAGAATTAATGGAAACTCGGATGATTCTTTCCATAACCCAAGAATACTGTATTCATATAAAAATTATTAATACAAAATACCTTTTTATATTTTTATTATTAAAATGTAATATAAAGTAATCAAATTTATTAATTAAATTTAATCGTGGCTGGTGTGAGGGAGACGAGTGAGAGGAGAGGAGGGTTATTGTGTTGGACGACTTTCACTTGCAGTACAGTTGCTAAAGAACAGTCACTACACTTGGACACAAAAGAAAAAGAAAAAACATGCTTTACGCACACACTCGTGGTCACAACACGATAGTAAGCAGTATACGCTCGCACGGATGTTGACGATACGAGTGAGGCACGCCGACTGAGACCGAGCATGGGAGACGATTACCCACAATCCCGCAGCGAGAAAGAAAGAAGAACCATCGGCTCAGTTGTGATCACGTGACGCTCGGCAGACAAAGCGTATACTGTACGTACTGCTCGTATTGCAAGACCTCGCTCGTTTATCAAATTAATATTTATTAAAAAATGTTGCTCGTCTTGCAAAACACTCGCAGATCAAGTTACTCGCAATACAAGGGTTTACTGTATAGGAATTACATGTTGAAATAACAGAGTCTGCAAGCGAGCTGTTTTCACTGCCAAAACAGAACATGTAATGTAAACAAAGCAGTCGAGGTCTAAACGCTCATAAATGGAGGTCACTGATTGGCCGAGGCAATGCTTAATTCAGCACTCGGATTCACCGAAATTGGCACCCGCTTCTCAAAGAGAACTCTATAGCTCAGTGGGCCTTACCTGGTAAAATTAAAAAGAGTTGAGTTTTTTTAAGGGACGGGATTAGGGCGAGAACGGTACGAATGGCGTAGAGGGGCATGGTACCTTGTTGTAGGAGACGGAGTCAAACATCTCTCCGATCTGCATGGTGCCGACAGTCGCAGATGAGATGGCGTGTGAGGAAGGCAGCGAGTCCTGGGTCAGAGCTTCCATCACCACCTCCGTAAGGAAGGCGTCCATCTGCAAGCGCAGGGCACAGAGGAGGACCAGCTGCGGTTATACTCGGTGCCGCATGTACATGGAATGCACCGTACAGAACAGGCACGGAGCACATCCAGTGTATGTATGTTGTATGTATTTTGAACTTCTTTAGCACCGTACATAGCCAACTGTGCTAATCGTAGGTGCGGGGGAAGGACAACAAATGAAAGAAAAAGCAGTTCTGAAGAAAATTTTTTATCAAAATGTAAAAGTGCATAGCTCCAGTGGCTTCCTTAATGTCAGAAGGAAGAGCATTCCAGACGGTCTTTGTTCGATGGCTAGCCAAAAGCCGTTGCGACCGGAGTTCGCGTGATGGTGTATGCTTCTTGACGAGATCAGCAGGGTATTGTGGTTCATTTGTGGCAAGCACTTTGTGTGTAACGAGTGCGACCTTGTCATGTATTCGTTTGGCAACCGGAAGCCAATGCAGCTCGGGGAGCACTGGACGCCACTATGCACAACTGCTGCACACCACCACCACACAGTGCAATTACAGCCCACACGCACACAGACCCCCCCCCCTGCCCCCGCCTATAGCTTTCAACAGACTGTTGGGGTAAGTGCTATTTGCGAGCACCTATGAAGGCCGGCATGGTACACGAGGGAGTGGGGTGTCCCGGACCACAGCAAGGCTGTCTCCCCAGTGCCAATATTTACAGACCACACCAGGTACTCATGCAAGGCCGAGTCGACCTCGCAGAGATCACGGGTACAGACATATACGTCATGGACATTGGCCGTGAGCGGCAAACGAAGTCGGGTCGCTGGGTTCGTAGCACAGTGCACTAACCACTACAGTACAAAGACATCACACACATACTACCAGACACACAACAGCCTGGAACCTTTTTTCCAGTATGAAAATTATTTAAAAAATAATTGGCTTTACCCTTTCTGCCATTAACACAGGAGGTGTTAAAATGTTCAAAAACCAAATAGACATCCATTGCGAGACATCAAGTCTGCATTAACCACACATACTTGTGACAAAACATGCAAACACACATGCTCTGATAATTGATGATGCATTGTCTTTGAAATTGATTGGCCTACACCAGAGACAGCTGCCTTCTCTATGGCCTCGTCTCAAGTGACAGACCACAGGACGCCAACAGGCGAACAGGAGAAAGAGAACGCAAGAATCAGCGCATTTGTGGCTCGGGTTGAGCAGTCGATGGGACTTCTTTGCCAGTATCAAAATTATGAAACAATAAGAATAGACACCAAATCAGTTTAAATGTACGTTTGTTTGCATGTTTTGCCCCAAGTATGTAGGTTAATGCAGCCTCGTTGCCTTGCAAAAGCCATCTATTTGGTGTTTGAATATCCTAACACTTCCTGTTCCATTGTATCATCGTAAGTATTAAAGTGTTAATATCTCGAGTTGAGCAGCTGGTGGAGGTCAATCCGTTTTAAAGACAATGCAAGAACCTTCGCAGTCTGTACATTTACGCTCCTTTTGTCAATCCTCTGCTGAATGGGGTCTGCCCACACAGCAGGCTCGTGGGGGTTAATTTCGCTTTGCTTCACACTGCCAGCAGGGGGCAACGCACCCCCCAAACGAGTGTACGCCAATAAGTGGTGGCGTGGTGTTTGTTGCGTTCCCAGCTTGTGGAGCTCGCGTGTGGCGTGGTGGGGGGAGAGGGGAGAAGCGTGGTGGGGGGAGAGGCGTGGTGGGGGGAGAGGCGTGGTGGGGGGAGAGGCGTGGTGGGGGGAGAGGCGTGGTGTGCGGTGCGTACCATTAGCCAGTCAGGCTTCAGAGAGTCGGTCGCTACGAACTCCATGAAGGTGGCAAAGCCCTCGTTGAGCCAAAGGTCGTTCCACCAGTTCATGGTCACCAGGTTCCCGAACCACTGTGCAGACGCCCGAGCAACAAGAGAGAAATACGCGCCGTGTCAGCAACCAACCACAGCGAACGCTGATTAATAATTCTAATCACAGATACCACTTTAATTGCGCTTTATGATAAGTTTGGATTAGATCGTTGTAGGTATGTTAGTGTTTAACTGTAACCCTCCGCCAACCGACAGGGCCAATGAAATCAAGTTGCCACGTTATGGCTGCCAATTGATTTGGTTTTTCAGCCAAACCAGAGGAGGAATGTTGGCATGCACAAACAATATAATGACAATTGTACAGTGCGAAAGAAGTTCAATATACACACACACCAAAATAACTGAATTATGAATCATAATAATAGGTTTTACCTTGTCTGCCAATACAATAGGTGTTAAGATGTTCAAACACCAAATAGAAACATTTTGCAAGGCACCGAGGATGCATTAACCACACGTACTTGTGGCGAACATGCAAACAAAACATGCTGTGATAATGCTGGTAGAAACCTCCTGGTTACACCAGCCCACAGGGGATTATTGTGTCCGTCCGTCATGCAAGGAGGGGCTGGGTGGGGAGGAGAAGGTGGGGAGGGGCTGGGTGGGGAGGGGAGGGTGGGGAGGGGCTGGGTGGGGAGGGTGGGGATGGGGAGGGTGGGGAGGGGCTGGGTGGGGAAGGTGGGGAGGGGCTGGGTGGGGCTGGGTGGAGTGGGGCTGGGTGGGGAGGGGCTGGTCACCCCGTGGTGCCCTGATAAAACTCAACGTTTAACCTACTCACGCCGGCTTGTGCCCGCCCTCACAGTCGGCCATATTTGAGGAATGACCATGGCCATTGACCGAGCAACCCAACGTTCCTACCAGCTCCCTCCGCAGGAATGTGTTATATGGTATTGTCTTTGAAACTGACTGACCTACGCCAGAGACAGCCTTCTTTGTGGCCTCGTCTCACCAGTGTCAGACCAGAGAACAACCCCAAAAGGAGAACGGTAAAAAGCTAATGCCACTATCAGAGCATTTCTAGCTCGGGGTGAGCAGTTGTATCGATGGGACCTTTTGGCAGGATAAAAATGATGAAACAATAAGCTTTACCCTTTCTGGCAATAAAACACCAAATTAGGTCACCACAAGCACGTGTGATTAATGCGCACTTGATTCCTTACAAAAGGTATCTAATTGGTGTTTGAACATCTTAACACCTGTTTTATTGCCAGAAAGGGTAACACCGATGATGATTATTCATACTTTGATACTGGCAAAAAGGTCCCATGATATGAATCATAATATTGGTCATGAAAGCCTCCATATAAAATAACTTTAATGACAGTGGTGGTCATGCTATTAATTTCCCAACAACATATCTGTTTGCATCCCTTAAGTTGCGCAAACTTAAAACGCCACAGCAGAAATCGCATCTGTCAAAATACACACCACAAGCCATCTTACACCGCATATATTATCAGTCACAGCTCGAGTCGAGCCGATAGCAAAATGATCCACGAGGCTGATCATGTAAGGCTATACGCCAAGGGACAGGCAAACACATCCCGGACTCGGCAAACAAGACAGAAAACACGCGACGGTACAAACGAGACAAAGTAGAACACGTTCTTCCGCTGAATGGTGCGAGCAAGCGAATCGTTCTCGGGCCCCTGAGAACACGTCGGTCCACGACCACGGCAGGACAGACGAGGATGACGAAAACCGCTCTGAGAGTCGCCGCACAGGCGGTGGGGGGCACGTTAGACGATCCCACGGGAGCACGTTAGACGATCCCACGGGGGCACGTTAGACGATCCCACGGGGGCACGTTAGACGATCCCACGGGGGCGCGAGATGGCGGTGCGGAGAGCGGCGGTGCACGCGCCGGTCACAAGCTCACCTGGTGAGCGAGCTCGTGCGCGATGACCTGAGCGATCCACAGAGTGTCCCGCACGCCCGAGGCCTTGGGGCTCAACAGCAACGCCGTCTCGCGGTACGTGATGAGTCCCCAGTTCTCCATGGCCCCGGCCGCAAAATCTGGGATTGCCACGAGGTCTGGAGGTGGGGGGGGTGAAGGAGTCGTGGGGACAGGGGGAAGCAAGGGCATAGGAACACAAGTAAAAGGGGGCAGTTGGAGGGGACAGAGGGACGGGGGATCACAAAATGATGGGATTTAAAAACATAAAAGATTGATCACATTTGTGAGTGGCACGTAAATCACGCATCTCTATTGCATTTCAGATCTGTATCAGCAAAACAAGTGTTTAATGAGATGCATGCAGAGGTAAATATTAAGCGAGATTGAGAAGAACAAGTTTGGATAGAAAAACAATAATGCCTTTTATTTATTCATCCAGGAAAGCCTCATTGAGTCTCAAGATTCTTTTCAGGAGGATCCTGCATTTGATGAATCACAAGAACTGAAAAACCCCGTGCAAAGGAGGTGCTAATACGCAAATGTCTGGACACACAAGTTGAAAAAATACACTTGCTCCACGGCCATCTCTTGTTTACTTAAATCTAGCGTGTTTGAGAGTTTCACAAATCTACGTGATAAACCGCCCTTGTATGTATGAACTTCTTTCGCACCATACGTAGCCAACGGTGCTAATCGGAGGTGTGGGGGAAGGACGACAAACTAAACGCAAAAAGCAGTTCACAAGGAATGAGTTTTCAATCTCGATATAAAAGTGCACAGCTCCAGGTGGCTTTCTAATATCGGAATGAAGAGCGTTCCAGACGGCCGCAGAAGCGCATCTGAACGCGCGCAATGAACCCTTGCCTCCAACGAGCCTCTTCACCGTGTGCCCTGCATTCAAATATGTATGCAGTTTAAATTCTTTCGCAACGTACGCAAGCCAATTGTACTAAATTGGAGGTGCAACCGTGCTAATCTGAGGCATGATCATCAAAAGGAATTGTGTGGTGTGGATGAGGACAGTTCAAGACGCAACAGTGGAGGCAGCACCTTGCTTGGGCAGTGGATAGGAGATGTTGAACAATTCCTCGTAGAAATCCAAGAACTTGATGGCATTTTCCAGCGCAAAACTCCCCTGCTGCTCCTTGCCAGGGGATGTGTAGATCGACACCTGTGGACAAATTGCACTGCCATTACCATCACTACCTAACACGTAGCAGGCTTTCGCGACCAATATCATCCAGAGGTTTTTTTGGGTAAGATCGCGTAAATATATGTCGTTAAACCCACTACAGCCAACTAGTAAGGGTCGTCACGTAAACAGAGCATGCCAATTCGTCACTAGTACAGCACACCGGTGTGTTGGAGAGCCAAATCTGGCTGTCGCCTGACGAAGCTAGTTGTAATATTACTGGCGAAACGTCGTACTCCGATTGTAAATGTTGTGGCTTGGCTGTCCAATACACCGGCATGCTGTACTAGTGACGAATTGGCCACGTTCTGTTTACGTGACAACCCTTATTAGCTGGCTGTGTCGGGTGGTGGCGGATTTAACGACACATTTATATATTTACACGATCTAACCTCAAAAAACCTCTATTATGGACCATCACTACCGTTGGCTACGTGCTTTCACTGGGTACTGGCGACGTACAGTCTGGTGAAGCAATTCTTTTTGCAGGAGAGATGCTGGCACGGAGGTGCGTAACGCAGCCAAACCAGTTCCCATCCGTCATGGTTCAGTACGCACGACCCACATCTTGCGGCGTGAAATATATACCAAATTACACCTTGCGTCGATTCGTTTTTTTCACCCAATCTTCTTCTTCTTTCGTACGGCTGCTGATGTAGATGCAGAGCAATAACTACAATTTCACATTAAAGTGGTCAAGCCAAATAACAGCGTCAGGAGTAGCGTAGTGAATCATCGCTCTGATGTCTCATACGTATTTGTGAACTAGGGCATTACGTCCTTATATGTTGGATGGTTATGTTTTAGATGACCACAGTCACACACTGGAAAGTTTTCCATTTTCCACACAATGGTAAGGGCTCAATGAAAAGCCTCATTTTAAATACTCTAACAATGCATACATTGTGTACATATTCAGCCCTTTGTTAATCCACGCTGGATGATGGCTTCCTAATTTCTGTCACCATCCCTCATGGTCCAGGGCTGCTACCATCTTATCTCAATGCAACTCATGTTGACAAAAACAACAACTCAAACGTTTTTATTATTTTATTTAACATTGCACTCCTCGTGCACATTGCATCTCAATACACTGTAGAATTTGTAACGTGTGCATGTTTTCGCACGGAGGTGCAGAAAACCACAGCCACTTATAGAACGCAGAGCCTGAAACCGGTGTCAGCGATCGGCCAAGCTCCATCTTATTCCGGGACATATGACCAACTCCACATCACAGTAAACACTCCCAAAGGGAGTGCATTCAAACGAGAGAGACGGAGGCGGTCGGGCATTGTAAGGGAGCTGATGTGCACGGCGCTACGTACGTTGGTTCCGTGCTTCGTTTTGTTGGAGATGCTCTTGAAGTCACTGACGATGAAGGCGACGAGGTAGGTGCTCATGACCACACTGCCCTTGAACGTGTCCTCGAGCAGCCCGTCCTTGCGTGTCACCGTGTCGTTCTGCACTCGAGAACACAAACTAAAACTGTTAACTTTTTATATTACCAGCTAAGGCCCACTGAGCTGTGTAGCTTTTTTTCAGAAGTGACCTGGCCACAAATGATAGTTCAACGAAGTGGCTTATCATCACGTGGAAATTTATAGCAGCCAAATACTCTGAACGTGTGATGTTGATTCTCAATGTGGAGGGAAAAACCAGAGGACCTGGAGAAAAATCCACACAACCACGAGGAGAATAGGCAAACTCCAAATATACAGGCATCAGGGTCGGGATTGAACCCATGATCTCCTGTATACCAGGTGAGGTAGTTAACATCTCGCAACTGCGGCACCTCAAACACAAGCCTTCACATCCGTCTGGCCGGCTTGTGCTTGGTTGGGGCAAGAACCATTACTCCAAATTAAGTAAGAACCATTACACCCAAACTCTCTGGTCATCCTCACATTGGCTTTTGGCTAACCATCGGACAAAGATGGCCACTGCAACACGCGCTTTCAGATGCACTTTTGTGGCCGTTTGGAACCCTCTCCCTTCCAATATTAGGAAGCCACTGAAGTTACGCAGTTTTAAATTAAAATTGAAACTTATTTTGTTAGAACTGCTTTTTATGTTTTGTTTGTTGTCCTTCCCCTGCACCTCTGATTAGCATGGTTGTCTACGTAGGGTGCGAAAGAAGTTCAACATACATACATCAGTGAGCACCAGAGCTTCATTTCAGCCCGGCCTGTCTGGGTCAGTGACCCAGAATATATTTCTGCACTCGGCACACCACATCCAGTATCCCTCTGGTTATAGCTGTGGCCACGACTAGTCACCTGCCACCTAATGCAGTCTACGAGCGACCCAAAATTTCTTCAGCAAGAAATTAAGCCCAAGCGTGTGCAGCATGCAGCGGGATAAGGCCAGCACCACACCAGTGCACAAAGAACAAGATCCCCCAAATAGTCTTTAACAAAATGTTGAAGTGCTGTTAAGGAACACTTGTTAGGGCCGGTGCCGCACACAAGGGGGTGGGTGGTCAACACCATGCCCTGCTGCTTTTGTCTCTCCAGTGCTGATATTTATACACCGCACCAGCTCTTCATTTTGGGCCGAGTCGACCTCGGGGAGATACAGGACCGGTTCACATATATCCATCACCGTTGTTGGCCGTGACCGGGAATCAAACTCATGTCGCCAAGTTCACAGCACACCACGTTACCCACGACGCTACCGCTTCCCACATTCCTGTGCACAGGCGGACCCACGCACAACAGCATGGGAGGTGCTCAAATTCATGTAGTCAGCCTCACCCACTGTCTCCTGGACTAACGCAGTGAGCCTCACCCACTGACTCCTGGACTAACATAGTGAGCCTCACCCACTGTCTCCTGGACTAACGCAGTGAGCCTCACCCACTGTCTCCTGGACTAACGTAGTGAGCCTCACCCACTGACTCCTGGACTAACGTAGTGAGCCTCACCCACTGTCTCCTGGACTAACGCAGTGAGCCTCACCCACTGTCTCCTGGACTAACGTAGAGAGCCTCACCCACTGACTCCTGGACTAACGTAGTGAGCCTCACCCACTGACTCCTGGACTAACGTAGTGAGCCTCACCCACTGTCTCCTGGACTAACGCAGTGAGCCTCACCCACCTGTCTCCTGGACTAACGTAGTGAGCCTCACCCACTGTCTCCTGGACTAACGCAGTGAGCCTCATCCACTGTCTCCTGGACTAACGCAGTGAGCCTCACCCACTGTCTCCTGGACTAACGTAGTGAGCCTCACCCACTGTCTCCTGGACTAATGCAGTGAGCCTCACCCACTGTCTCCTGGACTAACGTAGTGCGCCTCACCCACTGGCTGTGGAGGGGAAAAACCGGAGGACTCGGAGAACAATCCACGCCATCACGGGGAGAACATGCAACCTCCAAATATACAGGTGTCAGGGTCAGGATCGAACCCACGACCTCATGTATACCATGCGAGGTAGTTAACATCTCCTAGCCACCATGGGGGCCAGTGGGTGGAAAACCAGAAAATTGTCTACACCAGCAATATAATTAATTATTTAACGTTTTTATGCGGCATCTGGGCCAAAATGCATTATATAAGCAAGTGGATTGGAACAATATCAACCACCCTCCCTGTTGCTTGGGCACAACTAAAGAGGTCAGTAGGCATCGCAAAAAAATTGTTTCTGCAAAGGTTACTTTACAAAACAAGACTATTCTCTCACGAGGGCTTCACATATCTTGTATGGGGCAGCGTTCATCGCCCAAGGCAGATAATTTACTCGGTCAAGGCTTTTGTGTGCTCTTCGCACACGTCCGTGTATATATGCAAGTAAGCGCATGAGCGTGTATCGCCTGCACGTAGGTTCACGTCCGCATGCACGCGTGTGCATCTATGCAAATGCACGTATACTTGCTTTGAATATACGACACTGAACGGGGGACCTGTGCGCTTGTGTTTGCATGCGTACAATGCACGTGTGCACAATGCGCGTGCAAGTGTTTCCATACATGGCTGCGTATGCATAGTTGTGCGGGCATTGTTAGCGTGCGTGCATCCGCACGTCTGCATTTGAACGCGAGTGTGTGCGCGCATCGCGGTACTAGAGCGGTTCGCGTGCTGCGCTACAAACCCGGCGACCCGAGTTGGATTCCTGGTCAAGATCAAAACCACTCGCGATTATCTGAACCGGTCCTGGGCCTTCCCTCGGTCGACTCAGCCTCAAATGAGCACCTGGTGCGGTGTAAACATCGCCACTGGGGAGCCAAAGGCGGCCAGGCGTGGTGCTGGCCACCCACCCCCTCATGTGCCACGCGGGCCTTCGTAGATGCTACTCGCTAACAGCACTTGTTCCAACAGTCTGTTAAGGCTATACAAGGGATTCGTGTCTTGGTCTTTTGTGTGTGTGTGTGTGTGCGTGTGTGTCGCACCAGGGGCATGTTGGAGAGCGTGGTGTGCGCGGCGTCGCGCACGATGCTGATGTCGAACGAGGCCTTGAAGTCGGGCTCGTCGAAGCACGGGAAGGACTCGCGCGCAGACGTCGGCTCAAACTGTGTCACCGCCAGCGGTCTAGGGACAGCCAAACCGCGCACGCTCTGTCGCCAGCCACCGTAGCAATCGTGCGACATATCCGCCGCGACATCGCAACCGTACAAACATCAAAGGCTGTGCCGCCGCTCACGGTGTGGGGAGTGGGGTGGGGGGTAAACCCCGCCTCGCCTCACCGATCACTGCCGTCCTCGGCGCGGTAAGTGCTGCGGTAGAAGCCGAGGAAACTGGTGGACAGGCGCCCGGTGAAGGTGATGTTGAGCAAGTATATCTGGCCTTGCGTCAGAGGCTTGCGGGTGCAAACCATCAGCTGGTCGCGTGGCTCATAGCGCAGCAGCTTCGCCACCAATGATCCATCGGCACCGCCACCTGCTGCGCCAACAGAAGCAATGTCAGCCTGGCAAAGTAGGGCAGGCCAGACAAACCAATAACCACACACGGGTGTCGCACATACGCGAGACGCACAGAAAACGAAGAACAATGTGGCGCGGCGCAGTGCTGTGTGTGCGTGGACCCCGGCGCTTGCCAGCGTACCCGGAGCTCCATCAGCAGGCACAAGGGTGGACTCCGTGATGGTGAGGTTATTTGCGTGCAGCACCACGTGGTCCGTGCTCTCATCCACCAACAGCCACACACTGACGTATCCCTCCACGGCCAGCGTCGTCAGGTTGGGGTGCAGGCACAGGTGGTAGTGCAACGGCCGCACAGACCTCGGAAGTCGATCGTCCGCCCAGGGGAAAACCTCTCCGTCGGCCGTGAAGGGGAACGTCGCGTTGCCCGCACCGCTCGGCGTCGTGCCGCCGTGGTGGTCGTGATCATCGCTGGCGGCACTGCCGTTGCTGCTGGCGCAGCCGTTGCCAATGCCCAGCGCGCAGGGCACGTAAGACAGCGCGATTCCGATGACCACGATGACGCCGATGACGCCCGCAGCGCAGAACATGAGCGTGCGGGGGCTCATCTGCTGGCAGCAGAGCTGCACGCCGGGCCCGTCCGAGCCGCCGGGTCCCGACGACGGCGCCGCCCTGCCGCCCGGGCCGCGCCCCGACCTCGGCTCGTCGGGGTCGCGGTTGAAGAAGGCGGCACCCAGCAGCCTGCGCGACGACTCCTCGTTGTCGTCGTCAAAGTCTTCGTCGAACTCGTCGGGGTCCCCGGCGTAGATTGGCAGTCGCGACAGCGTGTGGGGCCGGCCGTCGTCCTCCGGCGCCGTCGGTCTATCGGCACCCCCGCCGCCGCCGCTGCTGATGAGAGGGTGCTGAGTGTAGAGCGGCACGGAGCTGGCGGCGAGCGTGCGTGGGGACGACAGCGCCACGCTGTTGCCGAGGGCCGGGTCGGCGCCCGGGTCGACATTAGGCATCCCTGCATCGGCCTCCTCATCTTCCTCCTCCTCGTCGTCATCTTCAAACATGCTGTTCTCAATCATGTGCTTGGGCAGCGGGGCCCTCTCTGAGGAGGCGGGGAGGGGGGCACTCATTAAATCGGCATGGATAGTCACCGCAAGAGGAACAGCCTTTCCAAACGAAAAGACCGATGACAAAATTGGCCACAGTCTTGACCGAGCGATTCAGGGTGATGATGGCATGCAAGAACACTGAGCCAGCGCCACCGCAAAATAATCCTTGCGTGTGTTCCAGCAGGCAGGGATTTTTATCGAGGCAGTCAAACCTTTCCCAGTGGGAAGTCGTTCATTTTCTTTTGTTGTCCCATGTTATCGAGCTCCCTTCCCCCAACCATGTGTGCAATGTCCTTTTTCCTGTTTTTGACTGACTACATCTCTCTCTAAAATAAATATACCCACTTTTTTTGTACAGCATCTAGAGATGCAATTGCATGCTATATAAATCCACATTGTATTGTATTCAGTTTTTACAACCCTAGGGTGAAATCCCATTCTCTTAATTTAGTTTGTCATTTCACTTGACATATTTCTAACACCGAAAATGTTTTCAAATGTGTTTAAACTGATGTGACACAAACACTATCTTCAAGACATAAGAGATGTGTCCCGAGTATGTACTGAGGCATTTGAAGATATTAACAAAAATACTCACTTGTCAACAAAGAAAAAAATATCCCAAGTTGGTGATATTTCAGGAAATGTCCGTTCTTAAGATATGGTTTTGTTATGGAATAATCCAGGCCCATTCTCGAACACAAGCAGGCGAACTGCTCACTGTGAGAGTTCCAAGTGCGAACTTCTTCATGCCTTAACGAAATAACACCAACGGGCAACTTGCGGAACACACGTTTGAAACCGAATTGATAACAGCGCATAGGGCCCAGCAAGTTTATTTGAAGCCACATTCACTTTAACTGTGACAACTTCCATCTCACAGAGGCGAGACCTGCACCGACAAACTGGCACGCGCGGTGCCCCAGGCAACCAGCGTGCACCTCGTGCTCACCACCAAGCTTGCTCGTGTTCACCACCAGGACGGAAATTGTACTCAACCACCTCCGTAAAAAGTGGGGTCTGGCTGGTGGGCTGGCTGGTGGGCGATGGTGCAACCGGAGTGCATTATAAAGGGTTAGCAAACAGCATTATCAGCCGTTTCTCACGATTACATTGGCCAAAGGCTGCCGGAGTGGGCAGGATGCAGCAGCAACATCCCCTCCCCCCATACTCCTGTGTCACAGCCAGCATTGATTTTCACACAAAGCGATGATGCATGGGAGAGCTCAGGCTTACACAAAACGGCACGGTAGAAATATACACCCACAGGGATGCGTATATCTAACGATAATAACAAAATAATGTAGAGCCCTTAGTGAATTAAGTGTTGGAACAGGGCCTTCAATGCTGAACAGGTCGTGGGGGTCAATTGTCCATCATTAACGATGCTGGTTAGTGTGGGTTGGTGAAGACGGGCGAGCATAGACGTAGGAGCATAGAAGTACACAACAATGGATTTTGTTGAAATGCCCTCTTTGGCCCAACAGGTAGCCAAGCACCCCATTTGACAGCCCTGTTTGTTTGTGTTCCAAGCATTATCCAGGCTCAACATTTCTTGGCTTCTGAAATTGGGCAAATACATCCCTAATATAATAAATGTGGTACGCAACACAAGTGAAATTATTCAAATGAACTAATCCCGCTCTTCACCTGCACATTTTTACTACAAATTCACTGCATCTGTACATATGTTCAACTTCTTTCGCACCGTACATAGCCAACCGTTTTGCTTCCGATGCAAACATTATTTCACTCGGCAAGCACGGTGTGACAAGTCTCATTCCATGGGCCACATTGAAGGGATTAAATATCAAATAAGGCCAAGCATGTGCGGAGAGAAGGCAGTGTACACTGAAGCCAACGAAGCCAGATGCCAAAGACATAAGCGCTAACACAAACGTCACTGCTGCCAGCGCCAAGGTCTGCTGGCAACTCCGCTGTAATATTGGGCCAGCAGTTTTTCACCATCGCTATCACCGAGTGCTGTGTACAGTTTCCACGCAATATTGCACCGGCCAAACACAAGCAAAGCGGCGTGAGGCGGCCGCGCGAAATGCCACACGTCCGCACAAACACTGAACGGTCCTGGGGAAAGGGGCTTTGAATTGCCCGCTCTGCACCTGCAGAGATATTCTTATCTTCCCCCAAGTGTTAAAATAAAATGCGGGTGGTGGCCGTGGTTCCACCGTGACCCACGCGGGGCGCGCAACGCAAACACCGCAAAGAATGTGGCCCCAAGAAGCGGCCACCACAGGTCACGACCAGGCGCTGGGTGGACCTGCCAGCTGAGCTGTAACAGCAATAAAAAGAACAGAAATGTAAAAGTGCTTCGTGGATTTATTGTTCGCTGTTGCACTGTACGGCCTAATGTGTTTTCGGGGTTGTCCCGTGTGTTGTGTGCGACACGGAGTCCGACGTTTAACTCCACGTTCCGAGAGCTTCTTTAGGAAATGATTTTGTTAGTGAAGCTATCCAGCAGAATGGCACAGAACGTCGGACACCACTCCAAACGACATGCGGTAGAATCCGAAAATGCATCGCGGAAAATAATAGCGCGGCAGTGCTTAGATTTTTTTCTCCAGTGCGGCTTCGCGAAATCTAAAAACACGATGAGCTGTCCAGCACTGGGACGTTTGGTCAAATCTAAATGCATTATCCTGCATGTTCCATCCGCGATGGAGGAGTGTACTCGAGCCATTCATGGATTGGCCACGGCCTGCACGTTACGTACTTTTGTTTAAACATTGCAATGCGCGAGGACACCGTAGAAAACTCCCTCTTACGAGGCAATAACTCTCAACACGTGTGCGCACAGATCACCCTGCGTGCTGTGCTGCCACGATGGCCACCAATCTGTGTCAGCCAACAACAGCATCGACGCTTCTTCCTGGACCCCCACCCAAACCCACCCATACCACCACCTCGCAAGACCGCTGGATCACAGAACATCCTACGCCGCAGCAGCGGGTGGCGTCCGCACGGAGAGAGAGGGGGCAGCAGCAGCAGCAGATGGTCCCACGCGTCACGAAGTAAATGGGTCGCGGTGATGCGACGGGGGGGGGGGGGACGAAGCTGCCAAGCGGCCTTGTTTGGCCCCAGCTGTTTGCTTTACAGGCGGCGGGGGCAAAGCTGTCTGCGCAAGTAAATGGGCAAAACGCGACGTTTCTAACCCGCGTGCCTGGCAAGAATCGCGTCTTGCCAATCCAGCGAGGCGGGCTTAACAGAATGCGTGTGTTGATAAGTACGTGCCTCAACGCTAATTGGATTGGAAGGTGGAAATCATGTGCTGAGCTTCCCCTAGGTCGACTCACCCTCAAATGAGTACCTTGTGCGGTGTAAACATCGCCACTGGAGAGACAAAGACGGCCGGCGTGGTGCTGGCCACCCACCCCATCGTTAAAACTCAGTTCCGGCCGTCATAGGTGCTCGCTAACAGCACTTGCCCCTAAAGTCTGTTGAGGCTATACGGGGGATCTTTGTCTTGTGCTTGGACGCTAAATGAAAGGAGGAAGTTACGAAGCGAAATGTCGGCACTGCGCTGTTTTATTGCGCTTCGTCGACCTTAAAACACGACCACGGCAGTGGCGATGGCGGTCACGCCCGTGTTGTGCACAGAATACAACTGTCCGGTTGAGAAGCTGCTCATTTTGAGCCGCAACAGTGTCCGAGACGGTGATACCAATGTACACATCTGTCGGCGGATGATGACACGGATGATATCGATGATATCGATGATGAGGCTGTAATATGGGAGGCCTCATGCACAGCGCACTTACCGGATAGCACACCGACTAACACCTGGTCAATGCCGACCACCACCGGCGTGCGGAGTCGGTTAGTGATATCACAACTCACCTAACTAAAACTACACAGTACTATTCACCATCTCTCCAGAGCGACTAAAGCGACGCTTAAGACACATTTCACAAATTGAGGAACAAACAAATATTAACGTGCGGCCCTTTTGCCAATCCAGTTGGTGATTTGTGGTTGTTTACCCACACTTCATCACGCCGACGGCTCGGCCAGGGTTTGTGGAAGGAGGTCCCAGGGTTTGTGGAAGAAGGTCCCAGGGTTTGTGAAAGGAGGTCCCAGAGTTTGTGGAGGAAGGTCCCAGGGTTTGTGGAGGAAGGTCCCAGGGTTTGTGGAAGGAGGTCCCAGGGTTTGTGGAAGGAGGTCCCAGGGTTTGTGGAAGGAGGTCCCAGGGTTTGTGGAAGGAGGTCCCAGGGTTTGTGGAAGGAGGTCCCAGGGTTTGTGGAAGGAGGTCCCAGAGTTTGTAGAGGAAGGTCCCAGGGTTTGTGGAAGGAGGTCCCAGAGTTTGTGGAGGAAGGTCCCAGGGTTTGTGGAGGAAGGTCCCAGGGTTCGTGGAAGGAGGTCCCAGGGTTTGTGAAAGGAGGTCCCAGGGTTTGTGAAAGGAGGTCCCAGAGTTTGTGGAGGAAGGTCCCAGGGTTTGTGGAGGAAGGTCCCAGGGTTTGTGGAAGGAGGTCCCAGAGTTTGTGGAAGGAGGTCCCAGGGTTTGTGGAAGGAGGTCCCAGAGTTTGTGGAGGAATGTCCCAGGGTTTGTGAAAGGAGGTCCCAGGGTTTGTGGAAGGAGGTCCCAGAGTTTGTGGAGGAAGGTCCCAGGGTTTGTGGAGGAAGGTCCCAGGGTTTGTGGAAGGAGGTCCCAGGGTTTGTGGAGGAAGGTCCCAGGGTTTGTGGAGGAAGGTCCCAGGGTTTGTGGAAGGAGGTCCCAGGGTTTGTGGAGGAAGGTCCCAGGGTTTGTGGAGGAAGGTCCCAGGGTTTGTGGAGGAAGGTCCCAGGGTTCGTGGAAGGAGGTCCCAGGGTTTGTGGATAAAGGTCCCAGGGTTTGTGGAGGAAGGTCCCAGGGTTTGTGGAGGAAGGTCCCAGGGTTTGTGGAGGAAGGTCCCAGGGTTTGTGGAGGAAGGTCCCAGGGTTTGTGGAGGAAGGTCCCAGGGTTTGTGGAGGAAGGTCCCAGGGTTTGTGGAGGAAGGTCCCAGGGTTTGTGAAAGGAGGTCCCAGGGTTTGTGAAAGGAGGTCCCAGGGTTTGTGGAGGAAGGTCCCAGGGTTTGTGGAGGAAGGTCCCAGGGTTTGTGGAGGAAGGTCCCAGGGTTTGTGAAAGGAGGTCCCAGGGTTTGTGAAAGGAGGTCCCAGGGTTTGTGAAAGGAGGTCCCAGGGTTTGTGAAAGGAGGTCCCAGGGTTTGTGGAAGGAGGTCCCAGGGTTTGTGGAGGAAGGTCCCAGGGTTTGTGGAGGAAGGTCCCAGGGTTTGTGAAAGGAGGTCCCAGGGTTTGTGAAAGGAGGTCCCAGGGTTTGTGAAAGGAGGTCCCAGGGTTTGTGGAAGGAGGTCCCAGGGTTTGTGGAAGGAGGTCCCAGGGTTTGTGGAGGAAGGTCCCAGGGTTTGTGGAGGAAGGTCCCAGGGTTTGTGGAGGAAGGTCCCAGGGTTTGTGAAAGGAGGTCCCAGGGTTTGTGAAAGGAGGTCCCAGGGTTTGTGAAAGGAGGTCCCAGGGTTTGTGGAGGAAGGTCCCAGGGTTTGTGAAAGGAGGTCCCAGGGTTTGTGAAAGGAGGTCCCAGGGTTTGTGAAAGGAGGTCCCAGGGTTTGTGAAAGGAGGTCCCAGGGTTTGTGGAGGAAGGTCCCAGGGTTTGTGAAAGGAGGTCCCAGGGTTTGTGAAAGGAGGTCCCAGGGTTTGTGAAAGGAGGTCCCAGGGTTTGTGGAGGAAGGTCCCAGGCGCACAGCGAGTCGCGAACTTCAGCAGAGAACCCAAAGTCGCGTCCGCGCTGCGCGGCGCGCACGTCAACACGGCGGCCACGTGCGGCGTGGCGCCTGGGAACTTACAACTTCCGACTCTTGCAGACGACGTCGCATTGTCGAGGGAGACGATGGAGCAGCGTGTGATACTAGCTATGGGGTACGAGGCAAGAGTGTGCACGCTGCTGTATAATGAAACAGCCCGAGTGTTTACTGCCGTGGCGGTGCGACGACCATCCTCACCGCCGTGCAGGTCTCCGGCCATCGCGCCGTCCCCTCCTCCCTCCACGGCGCCTCAGAGCAGCGGCGATGCCGTCAACCGACTTGCTCGCACAGAATGAGGCACTTTCATGAAACGGAAGCCGAGTCGATCGTACAAATGATGAGGACGACGACGACGACGAGAATAATTAGCGGCGAAGTGCGCCGCCGACTAAACGAGCCTCCTCCTCCTCCTGCTCCTGCCCGCCGCTCTTAACGAGAACTCTGCCTAGCGAAGATCCTTCGCGCTCATGGCAATCAAAGCCTCGCTCGCGCCGGACGGGGACGAGACGCGTCTGTAGCGGCGATCGACTCGAACAACTTTGAGCAAGAAGCTGGAACGGGGAACGGGGAGCGCCGAACGAGTCGGCGCAGCTGGGCCGACACGGACTCGCTGACGGGCGCGTTTAATTTCCCAGTCAGCTTAGACGGAGCCTGCCCTGGGGACGCCTCTGATTGGCCGCGCTCCTCTCGGTGTGGCCCGGGCCGAGCCAATCGTCTACGCGGGCGCGACGCCCCCCTGGGCACGCGGACCAATCGGAAGCCCGCGCTGCGCGGGGGCGCGCCCATGCGCTGTACGGAATGTGGAAGGCTGGCTCTGCAGGCCCCGTCGGGCCCCCCGCCTGCGCCTGGAACTCGGCCGGGTTCGAGGGCCACTGCCAGGCCGCGAGGGCGGCAGAAGCCCAAGGTGGCGTTAGGGAGTCGAGGTCGACTGATTACCAAGGGATAAAGTTTTATTTTCGCTTGTGCGGGTTGCGTTTTACTTCCACGGCGATATCGTGTTGTGATAATACGCCTCAAGAATGAACATACTTTGTGAGTTTAACTTTGCCACGCGCGTCATCATTTAAATGCTCGGCACGTGAGTGCGGTGAAGCCAGGTAAAAGTTACGTTGAAAAATAAATACGGGTCAAGTTACACCTGAAGAATGTATTAGTTTAATATGTCATTGATAAGAGTCGTTCAGTCAAGCCACTGTGGGCATAGGAAGTAAGGGTCCCACTATTATTTTAACTCTGTACATTTTATTTTGCCAGGTAACACCCACTAAGCTACGTAGCTCTTATTTAAAAGCGACCTGGCCACAAATGATAGCTCAACGAAGATGGCCTATCATCAAGTGGAAATTGATAGCAGCCAAATACTCTAAACGCGTGATGATTCTACATGTGGAGGGAAAACCCGGAGGACCCGGAGAAAAATCCATACGACCATGGGTAGAGAGAGACACGCAAACTCCAAATATACAGCAGCAGGCGTCAGGGTCGAACCCACGACCTCCTGTAGACCAGGTGAGGTCGGTAACATTGTCACCGTGGTCCTGTGGGTTGACCCTTGCTCTACACGGATAAGACGTGGTGGGGGGGGGGGGGCATAGGTGTACACTACAACAATATGTCTTGCTGTACTTCTCTCTGCTACCCACGTTGCCCCCCGTCACCTGTAACGCCTGTTATGCATGGTGGCCACCTATCGAAACACTTCGGGAGGGATTTAAATATCCTACGATTCTGAGATTTGACGAGGTCAAGCGGTATTCCGGGGCATTTGGTCACTGGCTTAAAACATGAAATTCACGCAAATGCACACCAATATATGAATGTTAACAAGTTGAATGATATTTAGATTCAGTTTATTTTGCAACAGCATATTTTCAAAATAGCAAACACTTTGTCACTTTCGACGCCACAGACATATTGGTGGTCAGAGCTGATATGCCGGTGGTCGGAGCTGACATGGTGGTGGTCAGAGTGGACATGATGGTGGACAAAGTTCATAACAGGTGACGTTTTGGTGGTGCACTTATGTGTACCTCTAAGGCATAAAACAATTGAAATATAATATAGCACCGTAAATGAGTACATACATTTCACACATACATATACTATATAATGGACAGCACAACAAATGTGAATACATTATTGTATTTATACATAAATGGCATATACATAATTATTTTGATTACAACTTCGGGTCTCTACCGGGAGGGGTCATCATTCACAGAAATTGCAATATGCTTGGAGCTTTATTAAATTATACATATTGTTTGGCTTTGAATCTTTGTGCTCATGATACAGTAACTGTCAAGGACTTGCCAGATGTAAATGGCTGCAATCTAGAGCTAGATTATTTTGTCACACCAAATCCCAACTAGCACCATAAGTTTGTTAACACGTTATCCACACAGTGCTCTGAAAAACCAACAAGTTTCCAGACATGTTCAGTGCAGTGACACTAAAAGGGCCCTCCCTGCCAGCCACACTCCACCCACGTGCAGTCCTTTGAGCTCAGCTTGGAGATGGGGGGGGGTCATTGTATCCCCCGCTCAGCCAACCTCGGCACAAGAGACTGTGTGTGGTTTGGAAAATTGTACACGTTGTTTCGTTCACGATCAAATGTCAGTCTTTTAACATGAAGTATATAGAATACAATAAGCAGAACAGCTGACAGTAAAGCACGACTTGAGATACTTGTACAAAGTCTAAGTTGAGTATTCGTTTTTGATTTTCGATGAAAAAAAAAATTGTCCCTGACTCGGAACTTTATGAAATTCTATTATTTTGGACTTTGAATTATCGACTAGTTAAAGACAGATTGGATTTCTGCAGACAATACAGTGTATGTGGATGATAAAATATGATGCTACTGTTTGGCTCTATTATTTATCTCATGTTAAACACGTGCTCAATGCCATGGCACGGTTGCACCTCGTGAACACATCGAGCACATTTCAACTTTTGCCTGCGGCTATTACGGCACTTTTGAGGCAACTGCATGGACGAGGGACTGCATGTGAGCTGCCAAATTAAACCCACAATAAGCCATGCTCTGCAGGCATGGGGTAGCAAATGATATATTTTAAAATTATAAAAAGAACAGCGGACAAGACAAACCTTCCCTAACCCGCATAGTCTCACGTCTGTCAGTGCATGTGGCTCCAGTTCGAGAAGGCTACGAAAACTTATTTTCAGGCTTTTCACTTCCAGGTGACGCTCGCAGGTCGTGAACAACTACTCGGCATTCTGAAGTTCAGAGTATTATAATATATAATACAGCACCGGTGTGTGGATTCCAATAGACCGAGCCTCCTCCTGGGAAGCTGTATGGATGTCAATGCAGTTGTGTCTGATGGAGGGCGTTCTGATCAAGTCACTGCCATCGCATTCGTTTCGCCTGCTCTACCTAGCCTGCTCACATTACCCAAGAGTGGAAACTCCAGGATGAAGGCTGCCACCTCCTCAAACCGGAACCACGAGCCACAGCTGCTCACGCCCTTGCCACCGACGACAATCAATTAGCACCATCCTCCCCCAGCCTCGCGATCGGACTCGGTGCCACCGCTCGGCAGCTCGCGGCGCCGTCAGTCCGCGGCCTCTCTGTTGTGTGTGTGTCTGCAACTGCCGTGGTGGTGCTCGTGGAGGCGATGGCGGTGATTGTGGTGGCGAGAGGCCTTGCGCGGCCGCGTTCTGTCTGGAGCACGGCGAAGGCGCCGTCGGGGGGCCGACCGTTCCTTCCGCCCACGTCTGTGATCTGCGTGCGAACGTTGGAACGAGCAGAGGAGGGGGGGGAGAATCACGTGCCAAGCAGTTAGCGGCAGATGAAGGCATCATGGGAATTTGGTGCACGGTCGCCGATGGTCGGATCGCCCGGAATGTGCCCGGTCTCGTCAAATGTTCGGACGCTAAGAAAGCTTGGGCTTGGGTAGTGTTTGCTTGGGTGACCACTGCTTATAGAACAGCTGTCGTAGGCTGCAGCGAGGCTACGTTGTGGTCAATAGAGGGACAGAGCAGCAAAGAAAAACATCATACACCATGCTCTGGCATGTATGCTCCCCACCTTCACCATCCTGTGATTGAGCACTTATCCACAGAAAATGCAGTTATTAGGCCACTTTGGAGATACCTTTTTTGCCAGTATCAAAGTATGAAAAATAAGAATAGGTTTTACCCTTTCTGACAATAAAACAGGTGTTAAGACGTTCAAACACCAAATAGAAACCTTTTGCAAGGAGTGATGTCTGCATTAACCACACAAGTACGTGTGGTTAATGCAGACATGATTCATGTGTAAAACCTATTCTTATTTTTTAACAATTTGGAGGGGGTTTGTTTGGCTATGATTGGAGGTTGGTTTTGTTTTACCAGGTGAAAACTCAAGAGACCAGAATAGTCTAATTGTCAAGAGTGACCTGGGGCATTAGACTGCCATTAAGGGTCAATGATTGCCATGTATAATTCCAAATTGGGGGGGTATTTTTTTCGAATTTGGTAAATTTGGACCCATGAAGCCAGCACGCAATGGGCCTACTCTTGTCAGGGGATCTTTAACACTCACCACTCACTGTGAAGCAGCCGGCACGTTGTATTGTGATAGTACACACACCGCAGCATTAACCAGGGCAACCGCTGGAATCGAACCGCGAACCTCTCAAAGTGCTCCCACCAAGGACGCGTCACCGCACAAATGATTGCCCCTTGTCAATTTGGGTGAAATGGTTGTTCCGATCGATTGTTACATGACCTAAACATTTAGCTGCCAGTTACATAAAACACCGCAAGTGAAAATACTCATTCGTTAACATTGACTTAGATTGGAGAGTAAGAGATGTGTTAATATCAGTGTTATGTAAGCCAAGGGCTAAGTCCCCGACGCACTGTGAAGAGATGTTAACTACCTCGCCTGGTATACAGGAGGGGGTTTGATCCTGACCCTGACACCTGCTGTATATTTGGAGTTTGCGTGTCCCTCTACCCATGGTCGCGTGGATTTTTTTCCGGGTGCTCCGGTTTTCCCCTCCACATTAAGAATCAGCATCATGCGTTTAAAGTATTTGGCTGCAATAAATTCCCACACGATGATAAGCCACTTGGTTGAGCTATCATTTGTGATTGCGAAGTCGCTTCTGAAAAAGGTCCGTATAGCTTAGTGGGCTTTAACTGGTAAAATAAAAATACTCTTTGGTTCTTTCGGTAAAGTCACGTAGGTAGAATAAATAATAGATCACGACGTTTCGATCGCAACACAAGCAATCGTCATCAGGTGGGACAATCACAGCGAGAAGAAACTGCTGAAGTAGGCGAGAGATCTGCCGTGGCACGAGGTTGTATAGTAGTGTATAGTGTAGTGTATATAGTGTATAGTGTAGTGTTTAGTGTAGTGTATAGTGTAGTATATAGTAGTGTATAGTGTAGTGTATATAGTGTATAGTGTAGTGTATAGTGTAGTGTATAGTAGTGTATAGTGTAGTGTATAGTAGTGTATAGTGTAGTGTATAGTAGTGTATAGTGTAGTGTATAGTAGTGTATAGTGTAGTGTATAGTGTAGTGTATAGTGTAGTGTTTAGTGTAGTGTATAGTAGTGTATAGTAGTGTATAGTGTAGTGTATACTGTAGTGTATAGTAGGCCTCGGCAGTAGGGGGGGAAGGAGAGTATGGATTCCTGCAGTCACGAAAGCTTCAAATCAAAATAAACACAGTTAAGTTTACACAATACGCGGTTTTGTTTCGTTTTTGTTTCGTTTTACAACCACAGTACCCCCCCCCCCCCGCCCCGGACATGCACGAGCATGGATCGGGCAGGAAAGGGCGGCCTTCCAGCCACGTGGCCCTGGCAGCCTGCACCAACTCACACGGTACATAAAGAAATAAGCTGGCGAAACGCCTGCTTCATATCTCTCTCTCCCTGCACGTAGGAAAAAACACAAAGGTCAGCCACGGCCTTCTGGGAGTGCATCATTTCAACACCATTGGTTCAACGCGAAGTAAACTGCGCACCACGTCTTGACAATCAGTGTCTTATCAGCAGAGGCAGGCTTGCTTGAACTCATGGCTGGTCAACTGCCAGATGTGTCTAGCTAAGGACTCCGTATCTGTTAAACAAGGGTCCTCGGTTGCCGCGAAACTATAATACAGGAATTGAAAACCGTGATGATTGAATACTGTGAATAGGCGCAGCATTTGCTGCAACAGGTAGACAGACTCCTTCGTTTACAATAAACCCACTCATTGGAATGGCGATGACGATGATTGTGTTGGTAGTTTATCATCGGTGACGGCGGTGGTTGTAAATCATATGAATGGTAATGATGATAATAATATGAATGCGATGTTTACCCAACTAAACCTCACAGAGTCTCAATTACTTTTTTTTTAATCAAATGTACTGGAACACTATGTTGGTTTAATTTTATTTGTGAGTATTTAGAATGCAGGAGGTAATTGGAGTACCTGGAAATAATCCGCACGTATGTGGCGGTGACATTCAGCAGTAGTGCAATGCCATCTCCCGGGGTCACCTCGCAGCCCCTGGCCCAAAGAACTTGGCAATCCCAAGTTGCCGAGTCGTCGCACCGACTTAGCTTCCGAGTTGGGGTGCAGTTTGGGCTATTTGGTAGTAAATTATCATAGTTATGATGGTGAAGTTGACCGTGATAGCAATATGCAATGATCCTGAGCAAATCACACGAAGCAACGATGACAAATAATCTCCATTATAGCCTTTAGGAGTCTGGTGGACCAAGTGCTGTTGGCGAGCACCTATTGAAGCCGGCAACGGCACAGGAGGGGGTGGGTCGCCAACACCACGCCCGGCCGCCTTTGTCTCCCTAGTGGCGGCAATGTTTACACAGCGCACTCGGTACTTCTTCGAAGGCTGAGTCGACTTAGGGGAGGCCTAGGACCGGTTCAGATAATCGTCACTGGTGTTGACCGTGACCGGGAATCGAACTTGGGTCGTCGGGTTCGTATCGCAGCGCCCTAACCACTGCACCACCGCTCCCCACTGTTAGTGATACACACACTCACACACGCATCCACCCACCGGGCTCTTTCTTGCAGGTGGAGGTGAATAGGTACGAGCAAGACACATCGTTCCACTTGCCGCCCTCATGCCAGATCATCACCACGCAGTTCTCGCCGCCTGGTGCTGCCCCGTCCGGCTGCTCAGACCGCCAGCTCTCGTAGACCTCACAGACACATAGACACACAGACGAGACACAGACGAGACACACGCACGTGTTCATTGCATGTTGGTGGGCAGAGCTCAAAATAGGTGTCATATTGGCAGGTTTTAATTTCCCACTGAAGGAGCTGATAGGCCGGAAACGTGGCACGTGACTGGTAGCCACAGCCAAAGAAAGAGGAACACTCTTTCACTATTATCTATTTTTATTTGACCAGATAATGAGCTATATACGAAGTGGCTTATCATGCGGAAATTCATAGCAGCCAAATACTCTAAACGCGTGTTTCTAATTGTGGAGGAAAAGTCCAGAGAACCCGGAGAAAAATCCACGCGACCGCAAGGATAACACTCAAACTCTAAATATACAACAGGCGTCAGGGTCGGGATCAAACCCACAATCTCCTGTATACCAGGCGAGGTAGTTAACATATCGAATGGTATGCCGTGCGCGTAAATATTTTGTGGGTCACTGACCTGCACACACCTGGCTGAATTTCTATCGTGCATATTCTAAGTCAGTGTAATTATTGTGAACTTGGAACGCGCTGCCCAGTACTCGCTCAGCCTCGCAGAGGGAGAACGACTCACAGGGGTGCCAGGAAGAGCCACAAACGGGAAGGCAGCAGCCAAGTGGTGAGCTGGCGCCAAACTCCCCTCCGCCCAAGCTCTGCGGTCCTCTCTCTATCAAGGTGCTAGCAGCCAATGAATGAGCGTACTTCTATAGCCGGTGTTCTTCCGAAGGCTCTGACATCATTGACCTCTACGCATATCACTCCCCTCTCTACTCGCCACTGTCCCAATTGCTCTCCCTTGCCGACCCTGCCATACAGGGCGCTCTACTGCCTCCTCCCCCACGCTCTGTGCTGATACCTCCTTGAACTTAAGATCCTCCCACGCCACACCCCCTACTGCTGGGCCAGGGGGTCAGCAATGAAAAGAACAAGAAGAGCCATTTTCTTCGAATTCGGTCAAATAAACCTCAATATTTCAAGAGCCGCAATGCACTCTGGTGAACACGAGAGGGATCCTTAATAAATAACGTCACGAAGCAGTACTTAAAGAGCCAGTTGCCGACTGCTGTGCCAGACTAATCACCATACCCGTTCATAATCCATACCGTGTACCTGTGGGACTCTGCCTTCTTTATGCTCCATACTGCCAGACTCTGGAATTCATTACCCACCTCTATCTGATGACTGTGAAAAGTTTTCAGTCTAATGTCAACTCCTTACCGCTCCTGACTCTAGTCCTGCTGCCTGTGATTCCTTTCATGACAGGTGCAAGACCTTTCGTCAGTAACTCTTCCGATAAAGGAAGGCTATTCGCGGCTGATCGTCACACGTACGACTCGAGGCCACAACTGCGCCCCCCGGCGCACTTACGCCTCTGAATGGCGATGCCGTCGCATCTTTCTCCTCCGCTCTAAAGCAGGAGCAGTTGGCGGTACCCCCCCCCCCCCCCGTGCGATAACCCCCAAAGCCGGAGGCGAACCGTGGGGCCCCGGCGCAAACTGGCTCGGTGGCATGAGCGGCGGCCGCTAGGCTTGGCGGTTTCGGCCTACCAGCGGAAGGCCGTCGCTCCACACGAAATCGCGCTCAACCGCCCGGTCGTTGAGTCCAATCCACTGGTAGTCATCGGCGAGACCTGGGAGAGGATTAACCAGAAGGACACTCTCAGCGACGACCGTGCACTCGCCGTTGTCTCCTGCGTGCTCGTGCGGGCAGCGCCGCTGCCGGGCCCAATGAGTAACCGGACAATCAAATGACAGCTCCGCTACAATGGAGGAGAGGTCATCGATTGGTGGCCGACAACTTGCGGTGATTAAACAACAAAATTAGGGCACGCAATTTACCAGATTAATGTTAGAAACTAGTGGAATTGTTCAACATAATGAATCAAACCATTTTTAACTGCAGCTCGGTTAGAATTGAGAAGAGGTCATGGATTGGTTACTTGCGAACAGCAAATGCGTGGTATTTTAAAAGAGCACAGCATTTTCCAGGTTGATGTTATAAATGATGAGTGGAGTTGTTTAAATCTATGAATCAAACCAGTGTGATAAGCTATGTGTATGACGTGACAACAGCTCTGTATTGGATGGCTCCAGGCATTCTGTATTTAATGATACAAGGCTTTTGTGTTGGATTAGACTTAAGTTTTGCATCAGATGGGTCAAAGATATCCCATTGGCCATGTTTAGTGTGGCTGGTTTGTCAATGGCCACTTTCACATGAGGCTGGATTATCTACTAACCTGTAAAGCAATGACGAAGCCAGTGTTCTTTACTACCGTTCAGAGGGGGGCCACTTTCGCCGATAAGACATCATCAGTGTGAGGGCCGCCACACATGTGAAACCATTGTTGGGTTTGACAGCAGCACGATGATGGGGGGTGTTCTCTCACATGTTGTGTGTTGCCGGGGGCCGCACGTCAGGGGCCGCACTAAAGGCTGCCAGTGGCCCACGGGCCTTGCAATGAAGAACATTGGACTAACCTCTCAAGCACAAGAACCGCAATACTACATTTATTATTGAATCTGAAGCTGAATCCATCACAGGCTGCACCGGTGGAGGGCTGCACCGGCCAGACAGAAGCTGCTTGGGCATGCGGTGGCTGGGCATGCGGGATATGTGACCCAGCCAAGGCAGCCTCGCTTGCCGGAGGAACTCACTGACGGGAATTTGGATGGTGGCGTGGGGGGGAGTTAGGGGGGAGGGTCAGAGGTAGGGGGTTCGGGGGGTGCGGCCACACCGGTGATGAAGGCGTGCTCCTCGGGCGAGTTGATGCTGGCGAGGTGAGCCCCGCGGGCACGGCAGCCGGCCTCTGCCTCCGCCCAGGAGCGGCGGCGCCCCTCGTGACGGTAGCACTGCGAGCGGAACTTGCGCCACCCGGCGGGGCAGCTCGCAGAGTCTGCGGTGGGCACACGCGCGGGCAGATGCAGACGTGCACGCGCGCGGGCACGCGCACGCAAGCGCGACCACATGGGACGCAGATATAATTAGCCAAATTAGAAAATGATCCTGCAAATCACTCAATTGGGATTGTACATAGAAATCATCACCCCCACCCCCCCTTACTACGAAAACTTGCCAGGACCTTCCTGAAAAAGAGCCGTGAGACTCGGTGAGGCTTTTCCTGGGTTAAGCGGAATGCATTTTACGCAGACACGCATGCGTAATGTGCACAAGCGTAGACACAGCTATGCACGGCAACGTGCATGCACACGCGGACAGATACAAGCACAAGCATGCACGGAGGCACACAAAGATAGATTCCCACACACACAGAAAGGCAAAAAACACAGCAAAATACAAAGGATCCCCCGTATAGCCTGAGCATATTGTTGGGACAAGTGCTGTTAGCGAGCACCCATGAATGCTGGCACGGCACACTAGGCAGTGGGTGGCCAGCACCACGCCCGACCGCCTTATATATAGATATTTACACACCGCACCAAGGTTCTCATTTGAGGCTGAGTCGACCTAGGGGAGGCCTAGGACCGGTTCAGATAATCGTCACTGGTGTTGGCCATGAGTAGGAATCAAACTTGGGTCGCCTGGTTCGTAGCGCAGCGTGGCGCTAACCGCTCCCCAGACATGCGCGCGCGTGCACACACAACAACAACCACCATTCCCCAATAAGTGGCGGTGACGTCACCACGACGCTTGTGCCAGGCTATGTGCACCTTGAGGCCACGTGAAGTGTCGAACGCCCGCTGACAGGAGGTCACGGGGCAGACCCAGGTGCCACTGGTGGACTGACTGAGATGAGTGGCTGATGCACCACCTGTGCCCCTACTGTGCCAACTTGCTGTGCTTTAGCCACCCGGCGCTCCGCTCGTTGTTGTGAGCGTCGCTTCTCCGCCCTCCGTTGTTGTTGGAGGGCGACTGCCTCCAACTGCCCAGTAGCGTCCTTCACGAGCCTCCTCCACAGAGGCCGATCTTGACACCGCTGGTACCAGTCATCGGCAACTCCACTCAGCTCCACATCCTCCTGTTCATCTCTTCTCTAGCCCGTGCCGCGTCCATTTAGCCACCTCGATCCGGCCGAACAAAAGCTGTTTAGGCATGCGGTGGCTGGGCATGTGGGCTACATGGCCCAGCCAACGCAGCCTTGCCTGCTGGAGGATTTCACCGATGGGACTTTGTCCAGATCTTTCAAGGATTTGTGAGCTCCTCACACAATCCAGCCTGGTTAAACCCAGTATGGGTCGTAGGCAAGCCAGCCTAAATGTTTCTAACCAGCGAAGATGTTCCATTAGAGGGGTCTTCATTTCGCAAGCGTATAGAAGGGAGGGAATGACTGTGGCCGAGAAGACCTGAAGCTTCGTGCGGAGCGACAGACCAGGTAGCTTCCACACAGCGTTACGCAAGATAATGCCACTCGACTGATTCGGAGTGAGACCTCTGCTGTTAAACCGGAGCCAGTCGTAAGCACACTGCCCAGATATGAGAAACTCTCCACAACTGCCTCATCACCAATTGGGAGTTGTGGGAGTGGAGTGTCCGATGGTACAAAATACCCTGACAGGTGCTTAGTTTTGGTGGGGCTGATGGTAAGGCCCCACCTCTTTAGTGGCAAGCTCCAGGTTTAGCAGCAGCACCTCCAACTCCTCCTCTGAGTGAGCAGCGATTACCAGATCATCGGCATACATAACATGGTTGAGCAATAGGGAGCCATCCCTTGACCGCACCCGGGCATAGATCAGCCTCCCATTATATCTGTACCAGATGTAAATTCCTCCGGTACAGCTATTGAAGGCCTCACGAACTACGTGGTTAAAATAGATGTTAAATAATGTGGGAGCCAGAGGACATCCCTGTCGCACCCCAAGGTGTACAGCGAATGGCTCCGACTCCCGGCCACGTAGTTTTACCCGGGCCCGCTCACCATCATGAAGGTCTTTAATGATCGTGAGCAGAGGGAAGAAAAACCCAGAGCCCAGGCCTACTGATGGTATCATAGGCCTTGACCAGGTCAATAAAGCAGAGATGTAGATTTTGTTGGAATTCCCTACACCTCTGCTGTAGCAGACGGACAGAAAATATGGCATCCGTGCAGGACCACCCTTTCCTGAAACCACATTGAGGCTCTGCAAGCCTCTCCTCAGCGTGCCTAGCAAGGCGATGTTGAGTAATCCTTGCCAGGATCTTTCCCGGCACATTGAGGAGTGAGATGCCCCTGTAGTTGTCACGGTCTTTGCGGTCCTCCTTCTTAAAGAGGGGGACCACCAGGGTATCTTTCCAGTTCTGCAGAACCCGTCTAGTGGTCCAGACTGTTGTTATGATGTAATGTAGGGCAGTCTGTGCACAAACGCCACTCAGCATTTCGCTTGGGAGATCATCTCTGCCCGGTGCCTTTCCTGGTCTCAGACTCTGGATCGCCTTTAGTACTGGCACCTCAGCCAGCCAGCCACAGGGGGTGACTTCAAATATTTGGGGCACTGCAGCCTCAGCAGGGTCATCCCCACTTTGTCCCGTGATGTTTACCATGTCGAGGGATTTCCCCTCCCTCAGGACTTCACAGAAATGCTCAGCAAATCTGCAAACCTGTTCCTGGGGGTCGGATATTGGATCACCTTTTTTCCCCCTAATGATGGTAATAGGTGTGGCGCTGCAGGTTACTTTTTTGATGGGGGTTAAATAGGGATTTGTGATCGCGGGCCATTGAGGCAGACTCCATCTCCACAGCAACCCGCATCCACCACCCATCCTTGCAGCGCCTCACGGCTCTCCAAACCTCCGAGCGAAGGCTGCGGTAAGCCCCCTCATTCTCTGACGTGGGAATGCTGTAGATGATTAGAGTGGGCCTGTCGCTTTTTCTCAACTATCCTGAACACCTTCTCTGTCAGCCAGGGTCTCTGGGGAGGTCTGTACCGTGCACCCAAAGCAGCCATTGCAGCTGCATGAGTTATAGTCCTAAACCTCGCCTATTTCCCCTCGACATCTGGAGGAGTGGGGGACGATGCCAACCCCAGCCGCAAGCGATGATGAAATTCTCACTTGCAACTTTCATTAGCTACCTGAGACCAGGCCACCTTAGGTTGGAATGGGGTCCTGGGTGCTTTATTGACCTGTCAAGGACATGGGCCCGCATCCGCTGATCCGTCACTATGTAGTCCAGCAGATGTTCTTGCTTGGACCCGGCATGCATCCATGATGTTGTGTGGATGCACTGATGCCGGAGCCGCGTGTTGGTAATTACAAGCCCCAGCCGCAAGCGATGATGACAGAAATCTAGCAGCCTCCTACCGTTGTTATTGAGCTGATCTGGCCCATGCCTTCCAATCACTCCAGACCAGGTGCCAGCATCATGACCAACTCGGGCATTGAAGTCACTCAACAAGATGACTCTATCCCGAGGGGGGCACTTTAGCCAGCAACTGTGACAGGAGGTCATAGAAGGCATCTGACTCATCGGCCTTGCCTGCATCCCTCCACGGATGTTCGTCTTCGGTGGGGGCATAAGTAACCACGACCACCACTCCTCGCCTCTGGTTGATGGGAAGGCGAGCCCAAAGCAGCCTGCGGCTTACAGATTCCCACACCTCACCACCACGCTCCCACGCCCCCTTCATTCTTTTGTTCAGAAGAAGAGCCACACCCTGTTGCTTAGAAGTCTTCTGCCCCAAGTAGAGGGCTGTCCACCCCTCATGGTGGCAGGAGCCAGAGCCGGTCCACCGGACCTCCTGAATGCCACAGAGGTCCAGGCGGTATCCGTCCAGCTCCCGACAGAGGAATGGTAGCCTCTCCTCCGCAGTGAGCGTTCGAACATTCCATGTGGCCACACGTAGTGCTTTTTGTTGTTTCTGGAGGAGCCCCGAGGGTAAAGATTAAATCTCCTGGCTCCGCCAAATGGGGTTTGGCCAGGAGACGTCATAGACGCCTGTCCCCCCGGGGCCTCCGGCACAAGCACACACAAAGACAAAGATCCCCCGTATAGCCTTAACAGACTGTAGGGGCAAGTGCTGTTAGCGAGCACCTATGAAAGCCGGAACGGTACACGAACGAGGGGGTGGGTGGCCAGCACCACGCCCGACCGCCTTTGTCTCCCCAGTGGCGATGTTTACACACCGCACCAGGTACTCATTTAAGGCTAAGTCGACCTAGGGGAGGCCCAGGACCGGTTCAGATAATCGTCACTGGTGTTAGCCGTGAGCGAGAATCGAACCCGGGTCGCCAGGTTCATAGCGCAGCGCGCTAACCGCTACACTACCGCTCCCCATACAAGCACACACAGACACACAGACACAAGCACACAGAGACACAGACACACAACGGGGAAGGCTCTAAATCCGCCTCTGGCTGTCATCGCCACGACGGCGATGTCGACGATGAGGTCCCAGGACCGTACCGAGCTCGCAGAGTCGGCCGTGGTAGCTGGGCAGGCAGAGGCAGCTGAAGGTGGGGGCTCCCCCCGGGGACTCCACGCACGTGCCCCCGTTACGGCACGGCTCCGGCAGACACTGGTCCACGTCTAGGTCACGTGCCCGCCATCCCGCGCACAGACAAAACACAAAGAGTCCTTTCCTCGTTCGCTATGCATGCAGGGCTGTTGCGGGGAAATGTTGTTAGCGAGCACCTATTAGGGGCGGCCCGCTGCACGAGGAAGTGGTGCAGGGATTTGAAAACAAAAAAAGGCCTGGCCGCCTTTGTCTCCCTATTTATACATTTTACAGGTATTAGTTTCGGGCTAAGTCGACCTAGATAATTGCCATTGACATTGGCCGTGGCTGGCAATCGAACTAACCACTGCGCCATCTCCCCCCCCACACACGCAGATAACAACAGCTGCTGCTGTTCTTCCACAGTAGCGGTAACGTCACCACAGCGCTTGTGCCAGGCTATGTGCACTGTGAGGCCACGTGAAGTGTCGAATGCTTGCTGGCAGGTTCATGGCACAGACCAGGTGTAATGGGACGACTGCCTGTGATGACTGACTGGCAGGTGCCCCACCTGTGATGACCGACTGACTGACTGACTGGTGCATCACCTGTGATGACTGCCTGGCTTGTGCCCCACCTGTGCTCCCCACTGTGCCAACTCGCCGTGTTTTATCCGCCCAGCGCTCCTCTCGTTGTTGTGAGTGACGCAGACACACACACGAAGTAATAAACAAAAAGAAAGATTTCCCTATTTTGTCTTCACACCCATTATACAACAAGAAATAGTTTGTATACCCTACATTGAAGGCAGTCCTCGACTTACAAACGGATCTTGGGAACCAATTAGGTTCGTAAGCTGAGAACTGCCCGTGCTGTTTTAGCTTATCCATATTTGTATTTTATCCACACCATCTCTCTCTCCCACTGTTATACCCCAGATAGTGGAGGGTTGGTTTAAAACTTTGAGAAAGGATGAAACGCAAACAGAAAAGAAACAAAAGTTGGCTGGCGTTGGTGGAGCGTTGGGTGGAGCGGTGGTGGAGCGTTGTCTGCCCGGAGATGCGGAGAGGCACTCACCGATCTCACAGGAGTCTCCGGTGAACCCCGGTGGACACTCGCACACAAAGAGGTCCCCGCGGGGGGAGCACGAGCCCCCGTTCTGGCACGGGGATGCAGCACAAGGCCCCGGGTTCCCTGCACCAAAGACAAACATCCCCGTGTAGCCTTAACAGAGTTTTGGGGCAAACGCTGTTTGTGAGCACCTATGAAGGCCAGCACAGCACACGAGGGGGTGGGTGGCCAGCACCACGTCCGGCCGCCTTTGGCTCCCGAGTGGGGATGTTTACACACCGCACCAGGTACTCATTTGAGGCTGAGTCGATCTAGGGGACTCAGCCTCATATGTTGTTGCTCGTGTTGGCTGTGAGCGGGAATCAAACTCAGGTCGCCGGGATTGTAGCGCTAACCCGCCACACCACCGTCCCCCCACAACACAAAAACAAAGATCCCCCGTATAGCCTTAACAGCCTGTTGGGGCAAGTGCTGTTAGCGAGCACAAAACGCACACACACACACGCACCTTCAGGCACGATGGGCTGCCCCTGGTCTGGAACTTCAGCTGCCGAGTCCGCTTGTGGGAACACGTGCCCCCCATGGAACACGTTCCCCCCATGGAACACGTGCCCCCCATGGAACACGTGACCCCCATGGTGCTGTGGCGCCAGCGCCCAGGGGTGGAGCCCGCTGAGCCAGGCCCAAGGTGCACCCTGGTGGGGCGGCCACGGCGAGCCTGGCGTGTTCGGGCGACGCGGCCGAGGCTGGTGGTTGACGCTCGGCGGGAGCATGTTGTCCAGGTAACGCTGGCGGGCCACCTCCGCACCGTTCACCTCGAAGAGGCTGCCGCCACCGCCCTTCACCAGGGACGTCCCGGTGGCGCTCGGGGCCCTCGTGGGCATCCGTGTCGCCGCAGTCGCTCTCGCCGTGGTCGCCGTGGTCGCCGTGGGCAGGGTGGCCGCCGTGGTCGCCGTGGGCAGGGTGGCCGGGCTCTTCTGGACGCTCGCCAGCACGACCGCCGCCAACGTCCTCTTCGACGCGGTCAACTTCTCCGTAAACCTGGTCGACTTCGTCAGAGTGGTCAACCTCTTCTTCAACCTGGTCAACTTCTTGATAAACATGGTCAACCTCTTCCCCAATCTGTTCAACATCTCCATCAACATCATCAACCTCTTCAGATACACTTTCAGTGTCTACATGGTCCACATCTCCATCGACATGATCACCTTCATCAACGTGTTCAGTGTCTACGTGGTCAACTTCTCCATCGACATGGTCAACTTCTTCATCAACATGTTCAGTGTCTATGTGGTCCACATCTCCATCGACATGGTCAACTTCATCAACGTGTTCAGTGTCTACGTGGTCAACTTCTCCATCGACATGGTCAACTTCTTCATCAACATGTTCAGTGTCTATGTGGTCAACTTCTCCATCAACATGATCACCTTCATCAACGTGTTCAGTGTCTATGTGGTCAACTTCTCCATCGACATGGTCAACTTCTTCATCAACATGTTCAGTGTCTATGTGGTCAACTTCTCCATCAACATGATCACCTTCATCAACGTGTTCAGTGTCTATGTGGTCAACTTCTCCATCGACATGATCACCTTCATCAACGTGTTCAGTGTCTATGTGGTCAACTTCTCCATCGACATGGTCAACTTCTTCATCAACGTGTTTAGTGTCTATGTGGTCAACTTCTCCATCGACATGGTCAACTTCTTCATCAACATGCTCGGTGTCTATGTGGTCAACTTCTCCATCAACATCGCCACCGTCTACATGGTCGCCATCACCGTTGACACCAATGCCAGACCCGCCAAGGTCCTCGCAGTTGATATTGCCGCATTCCACTTCACCGTGATCCTCGTTGCCATCGTCACCATTGCCATGGTCACCATCGCCACGTTCACCTTCTCCATGGTCCTCATCGTCACAATCAATTTCACCGTCAGCATCAACACCACGATCGTCTCCTTCGATGTCACCACCACCGCCGTCGCCATAACCACCGTAATCACAGTCGATGCCACCGTCGGGACCTGCATCGCCGTGCTCCTCGTCTCCATGGGCACCGGTGTCGCCGGGTGCAGGTGTGGTGGGTACAGCACACCTGTGCATGGGTGGGGAAGTCACGGGCGGTGTGGGGTCTGCCGAAGTGAGCCGGGTGTCCTCCACAGGTGGGATAGAGTCTTCCTCAGGCGAAATGTATTCTAACTCAGGTGAGATGTGTTCTGGCTCAGATGGAATTTGCTGTGCCTCTGGTGATATGAATTCAGACTCGGCTGTGACTTGTTCTGCCTCAGGTTCTGACTCGGGAGGGATTTGTTCTGGTTCAGGTGAGATGTGCTCTGCCTCAGGTTCTGACTCAGGCAAGATGTATTCTGGTTCAGGCGAGATATGTTCTGGCTCAGAGGGAGTTTGTTCTGCCTCTGGTGATATGAATTCAGACTTGGGTGTGACTTCTTCTGCCTCAGGTTCTGACTCAGGGGAAATGTGTTCCATTTCAAGTGGGGCTTGTTCTGTTAAAGGTTGATTGAACTCTATTAAATGATGACAGTCCTCTAATTCAGGTGAAAAGTGGTCTGACTTGGGCGAGGTTTGTTCTGTTTCGGGTGAGATGTGTCCTGTCTCAAGTGGGGGTTGTTCTGTTAAAGGTTGATGAAGGTCTGCTCTATGTTCTATTATGTGATGACAGTCCTCTAATGTAGGTGATATGTGTTGTAATTCAGGTTCTGGCTCAGATGGGATGTGTTCTGACTCAAGTTCTGATTCAGGTGGGATTGTATCTGACTCAAGTTCTGACTCAGGAGGGATTTGTTCTGGCTCAGGTTCTGACTCAGGTGGGATTTGTTCTGCCTCAGGCTCTGACTCAGGAGGGATTTGTTCTGCCTCAGGTTCTGACTCAGGTGGGATTTGTTCTGGCTCAGGCTCTGACTCAGGAGGGATTTGTTCTGCCTCAGGCTCTGACTCAGCAGGGGATTGTTCTGGCTCAGGCTCTGACTCAGCAGGGATTTGTTCTACCTCAGGCTCTGACTCAGCAGGGGATTGTTCTGCCTCAGGCTCTGACTCAGGAGGGATTTGTTCTGCCTCAGGCTCTGACTCAGGAGGGATTTGTTCTGCCTCAAGTTCTGACTCAGGAGGGAATTGTTCTGGCTCAAATGGGACTTGTTCTGACTCAAGTTCTGGTTCATGTGGGACTTGTTCTGACTCAGGCAAGATATATTCTGGTTCAGGCGAGATATGTTCTGGCTCAGATGGAGTTTGTTCTGCCTCCGGTGATATGAATTCAGACTTGGGTGTGACTTGTTCTGCCTCAGGTTCTGACTCAGGGGAAATGTGTTCCATTTCAAGTGGGGCTTGTTCTGTTAAAGGTTGATTGAACTCTATTAAATGATGACAGTCCTCTAATTCAGGTGAAAAGTGGTCTGACTCGGGCGAGGTTTGTTCTGTTTCGGGTGAGATGTGTCCTGTCTCAAGTGGGGGTTGTTCTGTTAAAGGTTGATGAAGGTCTGCTCTATGTTCTATTATGTGATGACAGTCCTCTAATGTAGGTGATATGTGTTGTAATTCTGGTTCTGGCTCAGATGGGATGTGTTCTGACTCAAGTTCTGATTCAGGTGGGATTGTATCTGACTCAAGTTCTGACTCAGGTGGGATTTGTTCTGGCTCAGGCTCTGACTCAGGTGGGATTTGTTCTGCCTCAGGCTCTGACTCAGGAGGGATTTGTTCTGCCTCAGGTTCTGACTCAGGTGGGATTTGTTCTGCCTCAGGCTCTGACTCAGGTGGGATTTGTTCTGCCTCAGGCTCTGACTCAGGTGGGATTTGTTTTGGCTCAGGCTCTGACTCAGGAGGGATTTGTTCTGCCTCAGGTTCTGACTCAGGTGGGATTTGTTCTGCCTCAGGCTCTGACTCAGGTGGGATTTGTTCTGGCTCAGGCTCTGACTCAGGAGGGAATTGTTCTGCCTCAGGTTCTGACTCAGCAGGGATTTGTTCTACCTCAGGCTCTGACTCAGGAAGGATTTGTTCTGCCTCAGGCTCTGACTCAGGAAGGATTTGTTCTGGCTCAGGCTCTGACTCAGCAGGGAATTGTTCTGGCTCAGGCTCTGACTCAGGAGGGAATTGTTCTGCCTCAGGCTCTGACTCAGCAGGGATTTGTTCTACCTCAGGCTCTGACTCAGGAAGGATTTGTTCTGGCTCAGGCTCTGACTCAGGAGGGATTTGTTCTGGCTCAGGCTCTGACTCAGCAGGGATTTGTTCTGCCTCAGGCTCTGACTCAGGAAGGATTTGTTCTGGCTCAGGCTCTGACTCAGCAGGGATTTGTTCTGCCTCAGGCTCTGACTCAGGAAGGATTTGTTCTGGCTCAGATGGGATTTGTTCCATTTCAAGCGTGGTTTGTTCTGTGTAGGGAGAACAGTCGTCTGATACAGATGAGATGTGTTCTGTCTCAGGGGGAACTTGTTCTAACACAGCAGGGATTTCTTCTGTCTGAGTTTCGCACTCAGCAGGAATTTGTTCTAACTCAGGAGGGATTTGTATGTACTCAGCAGGGATTTGTTCTGCCTCAGGCTCTGACTCAGCAGGGATTTGTTCTGCCTCAGGTTCTGACTCAGCAGGGATTTGTTCTGCCTCAGGCTCTGACTCAGCAGGGATTTGTTCTGCCTCAGGCTCTGACTCAGCAGGGATTTGTTCTGCCTCAGGCTCTGGCTCAGCAGGGAATTGTTCTGCCTCAGGCTCTGACTCAGCAGGGATTTGTTCTGCCTCAGGCTCTGACTTCAGCAGGGATTTGTTCTGCCTCAGGCTCTGGCTCAGCAGGGAATTGTTCTGCCTCAGGCTCTGACTCAGCAGGGATTTGTTCTGCCTCAGGTTCTGACTCAGGAGGGATTTGTTCTGCCTCAAGCTCTGACTCAGCAGGGATTTGTTCTGCCTCAGGCTCTGACTCAGCAGGGATTTGTTCTGCCTCAGGCTCTGACTCAGCAGGGATTTGTTCTGCCTCAGGCTCTGACTCAGGAGGGATTCGTTCTGCCTCAGGCTCTGACTCAGGAGGGAATTGTTCTGCCTCAGGCTCTAACTCAGGAGGGATTTGTTCTGCCTCAGGCTCTGACTCAGGAGGGAATTGTTCTGCCTCAGGCTCTGACTCAGGAGGGAATTGTTCTGCCTCAGGCTCTGACTCAGGAGGGAATTGTTCTGCCTCAGGCTCTGACTCAGGAGGGAATTGTTCTGCCTCAGGCTCTGACTCAGGAGGGAATTGTTCTGGCTCAGGCTCTGACTCAGGAGGGAATTGTTCTGCCTCAGGCTCTAACTCAGGAGGGATTTGTTCTGGCTCAACCTCTGACTCAGGAAGGATTTGTTCTGCCTCAGGCTCTGACTCAAGAGGGAATTGTTCTGCCTCAGGCTCTAACTCAGGAGGGATTTGTTCTGCCTCAGGCTCTGACTCAAGAGGGAATTGTTCTGCCTCAAGCTCTAACTCAGGAGGGATTTGTTCTGCCTCAGGCTCTAACTCAGGAGGGATTTGTTCTGCCTCAGGCTCTGACTCAGCAGGGATTTGTTCTGCCTCAGGCTCTAACTCAGGAGGGATTTGTTCTGCCTCAGGCTCTGACTCAGCAGGGATTTGTTCTGCCTCAGGCTCTGACTCAGGAGGGAATTGTTCTATGTAAGGAGAACAGTCCTCTAATACAGGTGAGATGTGTTCCATCTCCGGTAGCACGTGTTCTGTCTCAGGTGAGCTGTGTGTTACGTCCAGTGGGGTTTGCTCTGTTGGTGGTTGATTGAGTTCTATTAAATAATGACAGTCCTCTAATGCAGGTGAGATGTTTTCTATTTCAAGAGGGATTTGTTCTGCCTCAGATTGAAATTCAGCTGGTATTTGTTCTGTCTCAGCAGTTGTTTGTTTCGTCTCAAGTTCTGACTCAGGAGGGAATTGTTCTGCCTCAGGCTCTGACTCAGGAGGGAATTGTTCTGGCTCAGGCTCTGACTCAGGAGGGAATTGTTCTGCCTCAGGCTCTAACTCAGGAGGGATTTGTTCTGGCTCAACCTCTGACTCAGGAAGGATTTGTTCTGCCTCAGGCTCTGACTCAAGAGGGAATTGTTCTGCCTCAGGCTCTAACTCAGGAGG